AGCTGTGGTTTAAATACCTGGTTGCTCTAAATTTCAACCTGTACTATGTTTTGTTTATTATTAGGTCATGGATGTGACAGAGGGCGTATGTTATTTCTATCAAAATGGTAAGTACCTTCACACTATCTACTTTAGTAAATAGCATTATTCAATTACAATAGAGTTTGTAATTTCAATAGATTACAGCCAGAGAACCAGAGAACGATTTTTATGGCATTGTGACATACAAACGCAATATTTTATTTTCCTTTGTCCCAAATTACCTAAAAAGTTACACTAAAATATTCATTTCATTAAAATATTCCAATTTAACGGTTCGATTTGTAAGTTAAATAATTATACATGCCCAACATGCGTATTTCAGTAATAATTTATCAATTGACACATCAAATGTAGTAAAAATCACACAAAGTCACAATTCAAATTTTTTCTCAATTAAAAAACGATTAAAATGTTCCCACACAGAGCGTTTTCACATCATTCTTTTTGAACGTTTTGAAGAAGTTCGCCAGAGAATCGCAGTCCACCTTTATTCTTGGTCTTATCGCAGTCGGTTTTCAGCAAGACTCGAACACGAGAAAAGATCTTGAGTATTTCCGTACGTCTGCGATGTTGCTGACGATGATTAATCTCTGTTGCTTCCTCTTTATCATTCCTGTGGCTTTCGTTCGTACCTTCGTTCTCTTCCCCAGACTTTCTCTTATCATGCGGGCTCTTCCACGTTATCGAGACTTCAGCTGGTCTGATCTTGGTTCCTTCTTGGTACTCAAACGACTTCACTTCATTGGAAAATTTAAAGTAGATCCTCTTTATGATGCCAAAATCCGGCACCAAGACATCCACCGATTCGTGCAAGACATGAACAACAACACCTTCTTCGGTCAGAGGCCCACACTCCCGCACAAAAACGCCCAGGTATAATTCCACGCTTGCCTCCCCCGCCTTCTTTGCGGCGAGCTTTCTGTCATTGCAACGTCCAGCGACCACTTCGAGGTCTTCAGACTTGAACTCAGGTTCCGGCTCGACTTGCAAACACGCGGCAAGCAGTCGATGTACAATGACGTCGGGATATCTTCGAATGGGCGAGGTGAAATGGGTGTAAAGAGGTACGCTGAGGGCATAGTGTAGGAACTCTTCGGGATCCCCTTCAGCCGTGGCCGCACAGAAGTACTTTGCTGCCTTCATGGGTTTCATGGAAAGATGCGAAAGAACCAAATGCTCTGGAGAATTGGCGGGAAACGTATTCAAGGTTTCTTGGATTCCTTTCGAAGACTGATGTTCGAAGTTGATGCCTAACGAAACGCAGAGAGCACGAACCTCTTCCAGTTGCCTCGAGTCTGGTTTCGGATGGCAACGAAGCATGGCTCTGTCGGGAAATGCTTTGTAAATACGATGTGCGACGGCCATGTTAGCTAACAGCATGTACTCCTCGATCAACTTGTTGCTTTCACGTTGGATGTACGGATGCCATCCTATTGGTAGACCAGTTTTACCATCAAGATCAAACGAAATCTTTGCCTTGTTCAGTCGCAACGTTCCGTTCTCGAAACGCTTCCGACGCAGCTTCACCGCGATCTTGTTGAGATTACGAACGCATTTCACGATGTCAGCGATCGTTGCGCCACAGGCCAGCGGAGGATGCTCGTCCTCGCTCCAACTCTTCTCCAGGTCATCGATCATCTCTTGCGCATGCTCGTACGACAGCTTTACACGTGATCGTATGATTCCTTTCCCCATCCACTCGTCCTGAACAACTCCATTCCCGTCCATCTTCCACACGACGGAGAACGACAGCCGATCCTCGTCCGGATTCAGACTACACAATTCTTCGCACAACAGTCGGGGAAGCATCGGAATGACTTTCTGCACCATGTAGGTCGAAGTGGCCCGAGCAGAAGCCACCTCGTCTAAAGCCGTACCTTCTTTCACAAAGAAACTAACATCGGCAATGTGAACGCCAATTTCAAACGTACCATCATCAAATTTGGTGCAATGCAGTGCATCGTCAAGGTCCCGAGCCGTCGCCGGATCTATTGTGAACACGCAAACGTCTCGAAAATCGCGTCGCGATTCGAGTTCCTTCTCGGGAATTTTCCAAGGTAAATCCTTCGGTAGGCAGTCCAAAACTTCTTGGGAAAACGGACTGGAATCTATATCATTTATCAGCAGAAGACTGTCAGTCTCCGGCTCAATTTCACCAGCTTCACCGAGACTTCTTGCGAAAATACCACCAGCCAAAAAGGAATCAAGTGGTGCCTCACGACGCCATTCTGTCAAGCGAACGATCATCAGGGTTGTTGCAAAATCTTGCGGCCTCTCAAAGAAACCGGGAGGACAATCATTGTGAGCGATTCTAATCCTCGGTACACGGCTGTCGGTCGGTGAAAACAGGCCATCTGTATCATTGGGATCTTTCATTGGTCGTAAGTAACCGCAAGCAATCCGAGTATGTTTCTTTTCAATAATATACACAACTTTAGCTGTTTTCTGAAGATATTGTTCTGGTACTTCATGGATATTAATCTTATCTTGCTTGCCAGGACTTTTAGAAAAGTCACTGCCCTTTCCTACATGATTCTCACCAATATCCTTTTCTTCGGATGTTAGTTGTACATTTGCAAGCTTTTCGGTGGCATCTTCAACAGGAGTTTCATGAAATTTCATTTCTTCATGCATAATTCTCCAATTCTCTTTTGGCAAAATTTCAAGAGCAACTACATCACCATCAAGTGCCCTGTTCCGAAGCAGCATACCTGAAATTGATATGTCCCTTTTTAAGCCTTTCACGCTAACCCATGCAATCTCATAATTCTTTGCACTTATCCGTAGACTTCCTGTGTGGATCTCGTTGCGTTTCAGAGCATCTGACACTCTCTCTTTGCTCCAATACTCTTCGTAAATTTTCTTTTTCTTATGCTTTTTCTTTTTGGATGAATGACCAGCATTCTGCCTGGATTCATCAGTCACTGGAGTTTGAGGGCCTTCATTCTTCAATAGTCTCCTGGGGGAGTTCTGTCTGTGTTCCCCTGGGGTGTCATGTCTGTGATGACCAGAGGACTGTTGTGGGGTAGCATTTGATTCGGGGAACTTATCTGGACGATTTTGCCCATGCCTTGGAGTTTTCCCCCTATATTGACGAACATGATGTTTTGGAGTATCATAACCCTTCTCTGGGGTCTCTGGAACATCATGACTTTTTGCACTGGGACTCTTATTCCGTACGGAAGTTTGCCCTGTATCTTTATCCACTTCCTCGCTGTTCAATGCAAATTCATTTTTATCATCGGGCTTGTGCTTCTTCCCGCGCTTTCGCCTATGTTTCTTTGCCTTTTGCTTACCACCGTCGACTTCTTCCTTTTCCGTCACACGCTCACCAGGATTCTTAGAATTTTCCGACAGTATTATCTCGTTATATTCACTCACAGGCGATGCCATATAGCGACTTTCATAAAGGGCCGTTTTCGTTATATTATAGTGAAAAATCAAAACGGCTTGGCGATACAAACACAGATTGCTGTTAGTATAATACTCACTCTGAAGATGAATAACTAAATTCGTGTTACAATGCCGTTTTTTCAATGATTTCTAGACGCAAAATATAAACACGTCCTTGATCGGCAAAACGCGCATATATTTTGTTTGTTTACGTCACGAAATTGATCAACCGAAAGCACTGAACCACTGCACTGAACTGACTGAACTGCATAACAGTCCAGTGACCGGAAGTTGTTCCCTGCAATGCCGGTTTCAAGATTTAAGGCTAAATTTTCATATTTCTCAAACCCCGAGAGGGATTAAAAATAGAAAATGTTCGAAATACGAGCATTAAACAAACAAATCCTCTTATTGTGTTTGCATGACTTGTGTAAAATCGCCTAGTTTTTGAAATAAATTATTTTGGCGGCTGTATGTCAGAGCGCCACCGACTATTTCGGCAGCATTCAGACATACGAATCGGGTGGAAACTGGAAACGCAAAATATTCTGCACAAGATGGCGGATATTTTTCCAAAAGAATGCATGTCAACTTTTGTGCCATTTGAACTTTAAGATCTAAAATGCGCATTACGGAGTTCGTGTTTCTTCTTTGTATCGCGCAGAAATGATGGGGGACGGTCTTAGTATACAGGAGAAATACCAAAAGTTGGCCACAGAGTTTGCTAAGGTATATTGTTGTTGATAGTATTAAAAACAAGGAAACTGGACAGTGGACAATAATATTTATAGATTTGATGGTCCTTGGATTTCATGTTGCGCTGAGAGCAGTTAATTTAATTCCAGTCATGTTGCCTGATATATCACAGGAATATTCGGCCTGAGGTCTTGTACTTGCGTCATTTCAGTCAAAGAAAGATATGTGCAAACTTTTATAATCTTAGTTTCTATTTGGTCGTAAAATGTTTTGAACATGTCAGGGTCATGTCTGCGCTGTCAACCAAGACTAGCTTAGATACGAAAGTAAATCTAAATGTACACCTAGACTATCTTACTGACAATGGTGAAAACAATTTGTTTATGACGATTATGACCAAATTGAAACTTGGCTTTTGAAAGTTGGGATTCAATCAATCCATGTAAGCTAGATTGTCAGGTAACGAGGTACATACACCATGCGACTATGTCAGATAAAACCCCAAATGATTGTTTGTGATTATTAGGATTTGCTATATGGAAGCATCCCTTGGTAACAATGTAGCAGGCGATAATTTTAATAGTTTGCCATCTCTTTGATCTGTGTCATTTCACTTGCATTTAACTAAGCTGTATCCTAGATATTCTCAGAAATCCACCCTCGATTTTGATATTAAATCATAGATTACCCTTTTTTGACTTTCATTGTTCATGTTTAATATTGCAAAAACAGCTCAGAGCACAGAACACGGTCTTAAAGAAAGCTGTGATTGAAGGTCAAGATTCACAGAAAACCTTAGAGGTACATAACATATTTATACATTAAATAATGCCAATCCTAATGTATTTATTACCAGTATATGATGCATGAAGTAGTTAGAGGCACTTTGCTTTCAATGTTGAAAGTCATTATAGATGACACTCCCATTGGGTTCGTACAAAGTTTAAAGAATAGTTTAGTTTGAAGTTGAATTAGTTTTAGATTTGAAAAACAGAAGGAGAAGTTTTGATGCAGCTGTGGTAACCATGAGTTTTTTATAGGAAAGACTGAAGCACCGGGAACAAACCATCAGAAAGTATGAACAAGAATTGGACAGTCTACAGTTTAGGAATGACCAGGTACATCACAAAGCAACCCCCGTATTTTATTACACTTTATCAGTGATAGAGTTATGGTACATACATATATTTTTGCAATATACAGTTGTCTAAAAGAGTTGGTATTCTCCAAGATGAACTAGATAACGCATCAACATCTACCAAAAACAAAAGTTCAAAGGTATTTGTAGCATTCAAGTAAATTTTTTCCAGTTTTTGTAATAAATCTTGTGTCTAAAAGATTCACAAGCCAGTCTTCAATACAGTACATGTATATTCAAGCATGATGTTCTAACAATCTTATTTTTTATCTCTTTTACCTCAGCCAGCAAATACGAAATTTGCCAGCCAGCAAATGGTTGCTGATGATGTGGCGGCCGAGGAATTGCAGATGAAAATTGAGGAGAATGCCAGGCTACAACGCGAGGTAAAATACGTCTACTTGCAGGCTTTAAACCATCCTGAAGGCCAAAAGAATTTGTGTTTCCATTGAACTTTGTTTGAACCTGACCACAGTCTACTATAGTTGCAAATATTACTGAGCAAAGTCACAGATGGTTTTAATATGTGTAGTATATTATTCTTAGTGTCTTCAATTAAGCTTTAAGCTTTTTTGATTTATTTCTAGCTCTTTGAATCAAACCAGAAGCATCGAGCATCTGTACTGGATCTTCAAGAAAAGCTTGAATCATTCGAAAAGTATGGAGACCATTACTTTGCGTATTTTCCACCTTTCCTTTCAATTTGACGAACTCTGTACCAATGTAGTTGACCAATATATATACTATATACTATGTTTTATATTCTTTTGTAGAAATTCAGTGAATCACCAAAGATTAATTGATGAAAGTAATGAGAAACATAAAATCACAGTGCAAAAACTACAAGAAGAAAAAGCTATGCTGGAGGTTTGAAATTTATTGTGTTCATTATTATTTTTATGTACATATGTAAACATTTGTAGGTAAGGTAAAAAATATGATATAATATAAAAAAAACACATCCAAATTTTGATTTTTGCCAATGCTTGTCACACCAGTTATAGGTTAGTGGGTTATAGATGGATTGGTATGCCCATTTATGGAGGATTAACCTTATTCTTTAGGCAAGATTGCAAAAGTGTCTTGAAGACTTAAAAAATGTTTCCATCAAGGCAGAAAAAAGGTATCTACTAAAACGCTTTACATTAGCCTGACTGGGCCAAGCAGGGTTGAATTGACAGAGAGAGTATCTTTTTTTTCTAATTTAGTGAACAACAGGCTCATGTCTTCAATAAGAAACTAGCTGCAAAATATGGTATGATATTTTCTGTAATGCCACATGAAAGGATCAAATATATATATCTATATATATATACTTTGTTATATACTACCTGAAAAGCAAAAAAAAATAAAGCAAGCTATATATTTTTTAGAAACTGCTTCAAGAATAGTTTCTGAGAAAGTCAATTTCAATGACACATGTAAGTTTATTAGACATTGGTTGACTCTATAAATGTTAAAGAGGACTAAACCTTCTTGTTTAAAGTTCCTATTCACCATCATGATATTTTAATGAAAGAACTTGTTTTTTCTTCAAGGTTTGATGGAGTTGAATGGACTAAATGTTGCTCCACATGACTGCAAACGTCAGGTATAATTAACTCCAACTGGATAGCGCTACCTAGCTTTTGTGCAACCTGAAAGTTAAATTTGTATGAATTGATCCTGAAATACATATTTATGTTTGCTTGCAGTTTTATGCATACTAATCTGGATTTGGTTAACTGTTGTGTGTTTTCAGAACAAAATTAAAAAACTTGTCAGCGAGGCTTTGGATCTTCTCAGGACATTTCTTGCTGGGCTCTCTGATTATCATACTTACATGGAACAGGTTAGTCTTTTATATCTTATTTTTGATTGAATAAGTATTTAATATTATTCATGTGGTAAAAATAGTCCCAAGGCTAGTTAAATAATAGATGGTGACAGAATTGGCTTGACCATGGTAGAAAATAAACCCTGTTTTTTTTGTTTACCAGTCTAATGCTCTTCCAGCAGGGTTATTAGGTTGCAATTGACCTGCACCTAGTAGCTCAGTTGGAAGAGCATTAGAATTGTAAAATAAAAACTCAGGATAGGTAGTCCAATTCCCATTGTGACCAGTGCAAAGTGTTATAATTATGGATACATTTTCAAATGTTTGTAGAGAATTAGAATTTTGTTTGATGAACCAACTGATATTAGTCGAAAGGTAAGTGAGTCGTAAGGAAAAATTCTTTTGCCTAATATTATTCCTTGTGCTACTATAACCAAGATTTTCTTGCCGTAGTTGTGTGAAAACCTTCATCAGAATGCAACAATTTTACGAAATGTGGAGCAGAAATTCACAAACTTCAGCTGTCAAGTAACAAAGGATGTCTTACTTACTCTGGTAAGAAGTGTTCTTAAACATTTATTCTTATCTTTTTTTATCTGTGTAATCTTGATCTCTATCCTTTGGATCCTGATAATTTTGATCTCTATCCTTTGGATCTGATAATCTTGATCTCTATCTTTTTTATCCTGATTATTTTCATCTCTATCCTTTGGATCCTTTAATCTTGATCTCTATCTTTTTTAATTCTGATAGTCTTTATCTCTATCCTTTTGATCCTTGTATTAATCTGCATTTTTTAGTTAGATCAATCCTAACCCCATTTTTTTCTGTTTCAATATCTTGTCCTCTGTTTCAATATAATCTTGTCCGTATTTCTGTGCAGAACTCTTACCATCACGTCTTATATTCGGAGATTATATTTTGGTTACCATTCTGTTAACAGGAGACTGCAAGTGGTTTTGAAGACTTTACCGAGGCTTTTCATAAATACTCAAGTTACTTACAGAAATTACTATCATACCAAACTTTATGGTAAGAGCTGGAAATTTGTTTGGAGAAAATTTGTTTGTACAGTACATCGTCACAATTCATAATCAACCATATTCTTTATTTGCATGCTTCAATCAGCACCAAGGAAGAATGTGAAAAGACGACATATTCTGCCGCAATGGAGCAACTATGTTCAGCTATGCTAAGAGCATTTGGGAGATTTGTCGCCGTGATCAATGAACTGGACACGTATTTTAGAGTTCTGGCTTCTGCAGGTACAGTTCTCTTAGTTGGAAGATTAGTTTCCTTCTCAGGAACACTATATTTTTACATCTATACTTTACACTACTTTTTTTCGCTCTGAAAATTTCCTTGAAAAGTTTATCTACTTCGTACTTTCCGCGATTATTTCAGTTGTTTTCTTTTGAAAATTTTGAGGTTCTGGAGGTTTACCGAGCGCAAATGTTGGAAAAGTGTTTGGGTTACTTGACCTGACTGCACAGAAGTTGCAAACTGTGATGCAAGGTACATATAGAAGCTACTGTTATGTTATGATGTGGGATGGTAGTGAATAGCATGGTTAATGGTGTAATGAGGTGTGGTACACAAAGGGATAGTAATGAGTAGCATGGTTATATGGTGTGATGAGGTGTGGTACACAAAGGGATAGTAATGAGTAGCATGGTTATATGGTGTGATGAGGTGTGGTACACAAATGGATAGTAATGAGTAGCATGGTTATATGGTGTGAGGTGGTGTGGTACACATAGAGAGAGTAGTGAGTAGCATGGTTAGAAGGTGTGATGTGGTGTGGTACACAAAGGGATGGTAGTAAATGGTTAGAAGGTGTGATATGGTGTGGTACATAGAGGGGTGGTAGTGAATAGCAAGATTATGGTAAGATGTGATATGGTCAACGATTTTGAGATAATACCTACACAACTTAGTAACGCAAAATATTGTTCTCGTTTCTTCTTCTCAGGGCTGTCAACTGCATTTCATTCAAAGAAAATGGTCGAGCACCAGACCCCTACCACAACACAGGTAAAATTTTTATGTACGAAGAAAGTTTAACGGTGTGTTCGTTGTTGCCATTTTCAAAGTTACACGACAAGACAATACCTGAGTTTGCAGCAAAATGTTTGTGTTATTTGTCTGTTGAATGATGCCAATTATGTTCTATAGACTCTGAAAAGCACCGATGAATGTTTGGAAACCTGTCTTGCTTCGTTGGTAACATCGTCATCTAAGGCAAGTGAAGACCTACATCAGTTGTCCTGTGTTTATTTATTTAGAAAAACCTTAACCTGAAACCACTATAATATCTCTTTTGTTCAGATTTCTAGTTTTCTTCGTACAAACGCGGAGTTCTTCTCTTCAAGATCCGAATTTAAAGTTCGAGGTGTCTGTTCGGATAAGGTGATTCCTTCCTTTGGAAAAAAATTATTTTCAATCTTTGCCCCGCGTTCTGGTTTCACCAGGGCCAGCTTACGCTTGAATGAAAACACTTTCTTGCTAAAATTACATCTGGAAAAATGACATCCAATTTGTGTTCATGCAGATTGTCGGAGCCCCGGTAGTGAGAAACTTCAAAGAACAGAACAGGGACTATATTAAGAAATTGATAATGGTGAGTTGGTCATATTCAGATATATATCCTTCGGCGTTTCTATTAGAACTAACTTTATTTTATTTATATATTTTGTCCCTTAACAGCGATGTCAGGTACAAAATACCCTTATTTGGACATCCGCAACCTATCCACTTGTTCACCTCTAAAAAAAGAGGAGGATCGTAGCAAAAATTCTATTAAAAATTTGCGTAAACTTGTAATCCTTCAGTCCTTATTTCTTCTCTCCTATAGCCTCAACCAGAATCTATTCCTTTTGAAGTCGCTCTGAAGAATAGCAAAACGTTGCTTAGCTCAACTGAAAACAGCGAGAACTTATCGAAACAGGTTGGTACTGCTTACCCTCAAAATAATCGTTCAGAAAACAGCGATTTTCCAAGGGCAAGACGTATATATATTCATTGGTCCTGATACTGATGATTATTAGGTCATTTCGCTTCAATCAGGCCGGCAGCAGCTTCTTAAAATATTCAGAGACAAATCTTATTTGGCGAAGAAAGGGGCGCTTACTGTTTGAAAATTCTCTTGCAGGCTTCTTTAAATCTGGAGAAGATTACAAAACTCGAACAGGTAACCGCACGCTGTCTTTACCAATGATGCAACTCAGATAACAAGGTATTTGTAATAGCGAACTAAACATTAGTTGATCTGAATTTCACAGGCAAAGGAGCATTGGCTTCTCGAAGCTCAGTTACTACAAATTAAATACGAAAAAGAACACAAGGTGAGGTATAAAAATGTCCCTGCAAGACGCTACTTTGGGGGGGTCAGACGGTATTTTAACTCACTGTTGTCCGACCAGTTTATATAGTAAGGGATGGGAGGGTGCATCGTTTAAATAGTATTTTGTTTCACTAACAGCAGGTTTTTAGTCCTTTTACATCATGATCTCAAATTGTCAGAGTCATTATTTCCGTTTAATTTTTTTTTTAATAGAAAGTACTTTTCCTCCAAGAAGAAATAGAAAATTTGCAAATGAATCGAGGAGTTCCTTTGCCCAGAAAGGTTAGCGGAGTAAATTTTTATCCTCGATTGCTACCAATAGAACCGACCATTCCTCATCCGTTGCACATGTACTGTAACGATGTCCCTGCATTGAGAATTTCTGTATATCTTTGGAAACGAAACAGTAAGTGAGTGTATGTTTTATAGACAGCTGAAGACATCTCAAATACGCAATTTTCGAGCAGTTGGACACCAGAAGAGGAAGTTCAGAGACCAGATGATGTAAGTATTTAAAAAACTCTCGAGTACATAAAAAGATGTACCAATTTTTCTATTTGTAATCTGAATTTATCCTAACCATCTATAAGACAACGTGAAATATGACAACATTTTGTTATTTTATCGTCATAGCTTGGTGAGGTCAGTGTTCTGGGCACATCGGGGGTAAGTCGTATATTTTTGCAGGTTATGCATAAAATATCACATTGTTTCATCTAAAATTATAATACAACAACTGCAATTTCTGTGTTGAGATGATTGATGTTCATCAAGTTTTCTGCCTTTAAAGATTCATTTATTTTTGTTCAGAATATTTCCCTTGATCCAAAATATTCATTTGTTCTTTTTATCATTTAGAAATCGGAGACAGTATCTCGTGAGGATCACATCAAGGAACATTACAAGAAGCGCATGTCAGAGCTGACGACACAGGTGAGACCACACACTTGCTGTTGCGGAGATGTCTAAGGTCGAGGTACATAGTATTCATAATATATTTGCTTGAAAGCCGGCTGATTTTAAAACCAATACATTTTAAAAGCAAATTTGACACATTAAAAATCCGACCAATCATCCTTACTGAAATAATGAATATTAAAATAATCATTGTCACGTTTTTTTGTAGCTTCAAGTGGCTGATAGCAAGGCAGTTTTATTCCATTCTGAGGTACTTGAATGATTTACCTTTAAAACTATGCACGCCGTCAACAATACCACCAAAATTAACTCTTTTTTCCCATGTGTATTTAATCTAGTGTCAAAACATATTCAAGAGGTTACAATTGAGTTTGGAGTCCCAGAATAAAACAAAAGAAGACTTGGCAAAGGCCTTGACAAAAATCACCGAATTAGAGGTACGGTATGGGATAGCATGATGTACCCCTGGAGTCGGTTGTACGAAAGCTGGGTAGCGTTATCCCGGCACCAAAATGTTCGTTCGGTTATAACCTTAATTAAACCTCATGCAGTGATGTAAAATTAGGGGCTCTCATTCATAACTGTTAGCTCAAAAATCTGTAATATATTGCTTTCTTAGCGTTTTCTTACCGTTGAAAAATGACTATCACTGGATAGTTATTTTCCAATCTTTACAAAATGACAAAGAACGGTGGAACATCTGTTTATAAAACATTAAATCTATGATTATCAATCTTTGTCATGCGATATGATGATCAATAAGGAATTTCACAAAAGCTTGAATTTATGAATAGCACCATCCACCTTTTAAAAAACCACAAGAGCTGACCCTTCACCACTATAGAGTTGCGTTTTGCTTTGTGCAAAAAGAAGTTACCTTTTCAGAATGTGAAATATGGCTCACACAGAAACCAACGATTACACAGGACTGCGTGTTTTTGCATCAATGAAATGAGATTGCATTGAGGTTATCACATATTTCTTTTACTCAAAATCTGAATATTTTCAAGGACGAAGTGTTGACAACGAAAAACAGTTATCAGATCCAACTGGATACGATGAGCGACCATCTTTGTAGCGTGTCGGAGAAACTGACTTTACAAACAGACGAACTTGTTGCGTTGAAAACAGGCAAAAGTAAGAAAGGAAAGAACTGGTTTCAATCTTTAAAAGACAAGGGGAGTTCTGAGGATAACTTGGAATGAATCTAGAGAGGCTAGTGAACTTAATATATAATTTAAAATTAATTAAATATTGATTACGGCCCGTGTCAAACCACGGATGAAACATTGCCAATCGATAGTATGCGACGTTTGAGATATAGACTTTAATTTTAGGTAGACGCAGAGATTTGAAATATTTTTACTGCCCTAAAATAAACATAATTTCCGATATTTTGGAAATTAAAAAATGGAATTCTAATTAGTTTACAAAGTAGACCCAGTCCACAGACCGTGTTTGTGTTTACAAAATTGATTTTCATTGTTCAAAGCAAGGAACTGACCAAGATGGTCGAAGATAATTTTTTATTGTCTTTCTTCTCATTTGTCACTGCGGCCGTAATTAACATGCAGAGGACTAACAGCTGAAAGGGAACATGGCAGGAAATTAGCGTGTTTCATTTTCACTCGGAGTGATATTTTAAAACATGAGTTATACAGAACGGAATATTTGTGTACTGTATACTTTATAGTAATTCTGGCATTTTAGCTTTCGAGTTTTAAAACATGGGTGTCTCTTCGACGAAGTTTCGCCAAGCCTTGCAACGTGGAGAAGAAGAAGAGGCTATGAATTTGTTCATAAGACACCCAAATCTAAAACGGGCCGTAAGATTAAACCGTTCATTTGGTCCCAATTTCAGTCACAACACTGCTATTCACTATGTTTCAATTCATGCTATGAAACAGTTGCTTCAAGACTTACTTTCCGAAGGCGCTAATCCTTTATTGAAGAATTCGGCAGGGCAGACAGCGTTTCATTTGGTTTGCGATAGAAAAGACAATGCCTTTCGAAGATATGAAAGTTTAAAGCTTTTGCTCACTTGGCTGAACGAAAGTGAAGAAAATGAAACAGCTTCAAAGCTAACGATTGAACAGGTTGTGGATGAGGTGAGTTTTATCTTACAATTGTTTTCATTATAGCGAATAAAACCATAGCTCAATAATCTTAGGTTATAGATGTCCGTGTTTGCTATTCTCTGCAATTTTGCAATTTTCATTTTGTATTGCCACTTGATCTTTACGGCGTAATTTTCATTTTATAAGGAGCAGGTGCTGTATAAATGTCAATGCAAATTTTCTTAGAACATCCGTAGTCACCGCATGTGGTTCTTTGAAGCATGATTTTTTCTTCAATGCCAATGGCTTTTGATCAATATATATGTTTATTTTTATATTGTGTATGTTGTATTGTTATGCCAACGATACACAGGTATTGATAAGTTTCACAAGACATTCTAGTCGGTAATTTCCGTGTGGCTTAGGCTGAAAGGATTATGTTTTGAAGCTTATATGCTCAGAGAAGCAAGCAAGCAATGATATGAAACTGTACATATTTCTTGCTAAGCTTCAATCAACCCATACAGTGAACAACTAACTGCATTAACCCTATTTCAACTTTGAGTTTGTCCTTCTTCCTCAGGAAAAACTCATTAGATCAAATGAATTCTAAGGATACAGAGGGTACTGCCTTTAGGGGGTAGCTTTTTTTAATAACAACGAATTGAGGAAAGATGGAAATACCATATTAGACTTGATGATTGATAGTCATCAGATGCATAGTGCATATATTCCAACCTCTCTAGTAAGATAAGGATACGCAATTATGGTGCAAACTTTTTGATAAATGACTTTTACTGCAATATTCTTCAATGCCTGTGACACGTTTTTTTAAGGAGCTTAATTAACCTGCGATGCCAGATATTTTTTTGCTTATGCTTATACTGTCAATCATAGTAATGCATTTAGAAAACTATTCATCAATGTCCTTTAATAAATCCATTGCTAGCAATAATGGCTCAAATGTATAAAGCAAAAACAATTCTCAACTTCATTCCCGCCTGCTGCTTTGAATCATTGTATTAAATCATTTAAGGGGAAAATTATTTCAAAATTGCAAAACCCTTAGTAATTAGTCAGTAATTACCAGTAATGAAATTCATTGACATCAATGTAATATGTAAAGCATGCATAACATGCATTGTGCAACTATAGGGCCTGCCAAATAAAGATATTTTCACCTTCTTAGTATCTCACCTAGTCCTGTCCACAATTCAACCAAATTAATATGGCAATTTCTCTTAATTTAACTTAGGAACAACCCCACATATCTCTGGTACAAGCAATAACCAGGCATTCAATTAGAATTCATAGTAATATTGTCTTTATTGTGTCATAGGGAACGAACTCCCCCTTGCATTATGCTGCGAATACAGGCTTGTTAGATTGTGTGAAGGTAGGAAACCTAGCTTGTTTTGTGTGATTGGTTGGCCATAACCTTGCTGTATTAACAAGAATTCTTTTAGGAGTTGGTTTCCAATGGAGCACCGATATATTTAGAGAACAATGAAGGTCTAACAGCTTGTGATATTGCGGTCAAGAAAAACTTTCGAGAGATTGCAGAGTTTCTTGAAACAAAAATGGTGTTCAATGTGAGTATAATACAAGATTAATGAAACATTGTTATGTAATTATGCTTGACAGTTTAATTTACTGCTACTTGCTTTTCAGGAGGCAGCTGGTTTAGAAGATGAAGAAATCATTCCTGTTGATGACAAAGTATGTCTAATAAATACTTCTTAAATTATCTGTGATACTTTAGTGATAATTACTTCAACTTTTATGCTATATATTCTTATTCCTATAGGTATTGTTCTATATATTTCTTTTTTGTAGTTATGCACACTATGTGCATAGGAATTACTAGTTGTTTTGTTGCTGACTATCTATTCTGTATGTTTTGCTGCTCAGTTTTGCAATTTATGGTTTGAAGTTGCAACTGCATGGTTATGTTCGTATTGGTGCTGCACCTTTTGTTAAATTATATTGGGACTAGTTGTTAGTAAATCAATCTTTCTCTTCTTTTCCAGCTGCAATGTGGTTTGGGTACAAAAGAACTTCAAGAAACAAAGGACAAGCTTCTTGTTCAAACTGCTGACATGTTGCAGGTGCTTATACTCACCAATACTTGAAAGAGACTGCCCCTTGAATTAATTATAACATCATTGACTGTTCATCTGTCAGGTATACCCAAATTTATTGTCTAGACATCATATAAATAAATTTTCGCTCTACCCCTTTTAGATTTCACTTTTCATGGCTGAAGGACTGCTTCGATATTTTGGTATATAATGCTTTGTAGTTTTTAGTAAACTTGTATAATACCAACAAAGATTCAATATGCGAACAACTGAGCCCCCATGCAAATACTAAGCCCCCATGATAAATTCTTAGATTGGTCTCGTGAATCTCTTCTTGAAGCTTGGATGGATGATCCAATCACAGCTTGTGAAAAAGCCGGGGTCACTCCTTCTCAAGGTACATCATTTACAATGTTGTTCGGATGTTTCACCATAAGTACATGCAGTAATTAAGTAAGAAGTTGACTCCTGCATGTAATGTCTAATAGACATGTCTAATTACATTGTTGAACATTTCCCCCAGCTGTAACAACAGTATATTTCGAGCAGGTGTATCATTAAGGAACACATTGATTAGGCAATGGGGTTATGGACTCAAATATCAAAATGTTCATTCTTTTTTCATTTCAGAATCAGAAAATGATAATTCCCTGCAGGATAGTCAACCAAATGCAAAGGTTCAAAGAATTAAACTCTGTCATAAAACATTCCCATGCTATGGGAATCACAGAATTTTCATTTCTTTTATTTCCATTTTGCTTTCCATTTTCCAGTGTGAATGCACAATCTGTTGTGAGTCATTTGATGTAGAAATATTCTCAGTTTTTGTTCCCTGTGGACACAAGTTCTGTACCCCATGTTGGAAAAGGTATACTGTACTGTACATAATAATTGGTTTATACTCCAACTTATTGTGTTCAGTTCAAAGTGCGTGTGAATATCAGTTAGAGAAACTCAACAACTATCGTGAAAAGACTCTAAAAGACATTATCTTAACTCTTACAACTAGCCTTTATTACTTTATTGCAGTTACCTAAGCTTGAAAATTATTGACGGTGATATCTCGAACATCAAATGTCCGTCATTTAAGTGCACCTGTCTTGTTCCAGTGGTAAGTGCCGGTGCCCTCTATTTTGTTTTTCATTTGCGTAACTTGTTTTCAACATGGTATATATACCTTAAAAATACTCAACGGAAAAGCTCGGTCAATAATAACTGCAAGTTGAGACGGGCCTAGGGAAAGATATGGTGGGCTTTTTCTTCTTTCCAACCCAAACACTGCAGTCAGTACACAGCATCACCAGGCCTATCGACATCTTAATATATCATACGCAGTCTGATACTTACTGTATTCTATTTTCTAGGATGTAATCGAAAGCGTTGTTCCGAAAGACGTGGCCAAAAAATATGGAAGATTTGATATCAAGGTACCTAAGATAATTGCTTTATGATAAGATTTAGGCGTGGTACAAGGTGTGAAGGTCAATGTTCTCTAATTGCCAGAAACATTGCAACATATTTTGTCTCAAAATTGCACAATTATGCATTACTGGTTCCAAAATACTTTACCTTTCCGCTTACCACGACTGATATATCTTGCTTGGAGCACAAGCTAGCAAGGAAATAGCTTTCGCTGCAAGTTCCAACTTCTTCATTACGTAGGCTTTTGTTGATGCAAACCCAAACCTGAAGTGGTGTCCATTCCCTCAATGTGATAACGCAGTTCAGTTGCCCAACCATCAAAGTCGAGAATATGTTGTGGGAGCTGGAGCTGTGTCTGAGACAGCACCTCTCGTTGTCGACTGTGGAAATGAACATTACTTCTGTTGGTGAGTTCACAGGCGTTTGCACATCTGTGTTCATTCCCAGCTCATAGGAATAATCTTTTTTCCTCTCAGGTATTGCATGGAACAATCTCATGAACCCAGCACATGCGAAGGATGGAAGAGGTGGTTGGATGCAATTAAAGAGATTTTACCAAAACTACCAAAACAAGGTGAGTATTCACATGTACTTATACGTGTTATCGTTTAAAATTTAGAAGCTTTTTTGATAACAACGTCCAGTGTTTATCCCCCCTGCACCCCAACATTGCTCAACCTTGCCAAGACTGGCACTTACCCTACCCAGCCTGACATCTTCCCCACCCGACCTGACATTCTTCCTACCCAGCGTGACATTCCCCCACCCAGCCTGACATTTCCCCCACCCAGCCTGACATTTCTCCCACCTTGCCTGACACTCTCCCCACCCGACCTGATATCCTTCCCACCCGACCTGACATCCTTCCCACCCGACCTGACATCCTCCCACTCAGCGTGACATTCCCCCAACCCCAGCCAGCCAGCCATTCTCCCACCCAACCTGAGATCCTTCCACCCAGCCTGACATCCTCCCCATGCAAGGTGCAATTGAATTGTAATCGCATAGCCCGTTAACTCTAAGCATGCATCAACACAAATGGTTCCTGTTTAGATATCAAGGAATGCCCAGAGACCGAGAGAGTTGCAAACAGCTTATGGCTGATCACGAACTCAAAACCATGTCCGAAATGCAGTTCCCCAATACAGAAGAACGAAGGATGCAATCATATCAAATGCACAAAGGTTAACCACCTCATTTCATTTTATTGAATCAAATACATAAACACATCAGTATTAATTATTAAATAATCGTTCTTGATCTTGTTCAATGTAGTGTAAACACGAGTTCTGTTGGGTTTGTCTGGAGCCATGGAAGAAACACAACTCGTCAACCGGTGGCTATTTCAGGTAATTCTTATCTGCGATATTTTTTCTTTTTATTTCATTGTGTTTCTGTTTGTTTCTACGTTTCATTTTTATCTGATTTCTTCAGGTGCAATCGTTATGAGATAGTCCGCGACGTTCAGGAAAAGGTTTTAGAGAAAGCACAAACCGTAAGAAACATTTATACTCCATCTGTTCTGAGACCATCACGGCTAAAGGCGACGACCACACGATGCAACTTTGTCGGATCCAATTCACTTCTGACGTATGGAATGTAGTTTGTTACTGGTAAAGCAGTACTGCGTTGGCTTTAGTTGAATTGCTGCTCATATACTTTGCAATCAAAAGACTAGGAAACATCCATCAGAAATGAATCGGATCCGACAGAATTGGATCGTGTGATCCAGTGGTGTGAACAGACCTTTAGGTGCCTCGATAAAACTGAGCTATCATGCGTCTGGAGTCGTTTGTCCCCATTCCTCATATATCAACCTTTCTCCTATTTTATCCCCCTAGATCAGCAATGAACATAGGAGAGTTGAGGAACTAAACCACTTTCTTCATTATTATTCTCGCTTCAAGAACCACGAGAATAGTTACAAGGTAAGCGACTATACCTTTCTGAGAATGAACTATTTCTTTAGTTTTGACGATATTTTTGTTTGAAAGCTTTTCCCAACCAGTTGGTCGTGTTCTTTTTGTAGCTCGAAGAACCACTACTGAAGTCCGCCAAGGATAAGATGGTCGCATTAGCAATCGCTGCTGAATCAGGTTTGATATCCACATTAATCCACAAAGATCCAGCTTGATCTAATATTAGAGGAGAGGAAAGGGGGGGGGGAGATATATTTGCTTGTCATAAAAGCATCCTTACTTCCGCCTGTTCTGAGCCTAGCGTCGCTGCTGTCCGACTTTTACTTCAACCAGACATGATCGTTATACTTGATGACTCCTGATCTCATCATTACTTCACCCACATAGTATCCTCACTTGATCCTGTCTTGATCCCTACTTCATCCAGACATGATCCTCACTCGCTCCTCTACAGGCTTTACTTAAACCAGACATGATCCTAATACTTGATTGCTCCGGATCTGATCCTTACTTCATGCAGACAGTATCCTTACTTGCCACTGTCTTGATCCTCACTTCATGCCGACATGATCCTCACTTGCTCCCGCCTGATCCTTATATACCATCCATTCCGATCAAAAAATTCAATCTGGGGCCGGTTGTATCAAGCCCGTTTAGCTTAAACGGTGGATAAGTTCAAAATAAAAAGCAAGTCTATCGTTTTATTCAACAAGGGAACTAAATGTTTTTAACCTTAATACAAAGATACTGTTTAAAACTACATATTCAGTGCATAATATTCAAGTTCACTCATTCAAGAGAGATGTAAGAGTGTTATTTAATTTTGACTTATCCACCGTTTAAGCTAAACAGGCTTGATACAACCGGCCCCTGATCCAAACGACTCTCTTTTCTTCTTTTACCAGTCAACGTTGAAGAATGAAGAAAATATCTCGAGTTTCCTATAACGTGATTTTAATCTCTTCATACATTCCAGCTCAGTCATCTGCCTCGTCCTCACCATCAACCTCTCAACCCGACACACGTTTTGTTGAAGATGCAATAAGAAAATTATTGAAAGCCAGGAGAGTTTTACGAGCTTCTTATGGCTATGGATTCTTCTTGGGAAGAAATCAACAGAAGAAAATAATCTTTGAACTAATGCAGGTAGTTTATATGAAGACCTGTGGTACAAGAGGTCTTCCTGCTTGTACCAAGGAAAGGCGCACCTTGGAAAACATATACAAACGTAGAATGCTACGAATTTTTCTCTCTTCCCAGACCGAGCTCGAAGAAGCAACGGAGAACCTTTCTCAAATGGTAGCACGTCCGTACCTGCGCACACCCAGATCACGGATCATCAGTGCAGCTCAGTTGACGCACAGAAAGAGGGCCGATTTTCTCCTTGCGTTATCCAGAGGTCTTATACCACCTGATGACTCGCCACGGGCGAAGAGAGCTCGATACAATTACCTCAAAAGGTTTGTTTACAACCTCACAACGCTAAAATTGGATAGTATTACGCGACGGACTACTGTATACTTGCAGACAGTTCGCACGTTGGACCTCTTCGTTATCTTCCAGAGCTTTGCAGTAAAATCTTGTTAGATGATTGGAATTTTTGCCTTGCAAAATTCCGAAATTTGTATTATTTTTGCGCGCGCAAAAATTTCAGAATTTGCGTCTACCAGGCTGTCCTAAATTTCTTTTTGAGAGATGTCCTGTATGTTGTAGGTTTAGCGTTGATAATTTTAAATGTGTTTCTGTAATGCTTATTTTTCACATATGTTTTATAGATATAATGCAGTTTTACAAGAAGATTCTGATGAAGAGGTGAATATTGTATAGTTCACTTTAATCAAAATAGATGTGAGAATATAGATGTGAGAATATTGTATAGTTGAAACACCTCTAAGATACATAATTCTGGTAATAAACAGCCATTTGCCATATGTTAGATGCCCACACACCTGGCTGGTCCTTGGTATGTCCAGTGGTTTGAAAAAGGTAGTTTAGCTTCTTAGGGGAAGTCCTAACTAACTCAAAACAAATTCATTTATCTCACACTATTTTATTCTAGTTTTTGTTTGAGGAGGAACCAAGCATTCAGTTACAAAGATTGATTGAGACGACTCTGAAGTTAAACCAGGACAGAGACCATGAGCCTGATGATTCGACAGAACCCAGGAAAAGTGATATAACACAAGGTATAAATAGAACCAATTAACTGATTAGGTAAAGCACAGAAGCCATTTACTTTTATATTTACTTCTTCCTTATATGCAGCTGTGTCAATTTTCTTTGCATTTGTTGAGTCGGGATATTATAATTCTAATCTTAGGGGATCTCTATAGATCACAGTGACTGCCTTTTTCATTGTAGAAACACTGGAATACTTGCATCCAGGCAACAGTGAAGATAATGCAGACATTGGGCAAAGAAGACTAGGTACCAGCCGTATGTTGTTGGCTCAAGAGTCAGCTGATCTACAAAAGGCAATTGAATTGTCGTATTCTGACATGAAATCAGCGAATGACAGTAGAGGTAATTTAGTGTCTATATTAATTGTTGCTTGCTCTATATTCACTAATTCTACTCTGCTAGTAAACTTACTTCAAGGCACTGATCATCCAGATCATTTTAGATTGATACCAGTAACTTAAGATTTATATGCATGTTGGTACCTGCCCTCAGTACATTCTTTTCCCATCAATACAAATCTTAGTAGTGGATATATACTGCGCAGGTATAGGAATTCGAAGAAACTGAACCTTTGTTCATTTACCAGCTGACATTGACTTATCTTCTGAATTGTAGCATGCTACTATATAAAGGTTGTTTACAGGCAATCGCCTCTTGGACTTGCACCTATTTTAACTGAACATATCCTTTTTATAGGTTCAGAGACATCTAGTGATATGGATGCAGACTTTCGATACGCAATGGAACTTTATGCACAGGAATCAGAATTAAACACAGACCACAACACAATGTTGTAGAAACTATTTATATGGAAATTTTAGGGAAATGTATTCAAAAGGTAAATTTAAAAGATTATAGTTATTTTTGTGTACATATGATATGTAGATAGGGTGATATACAAAATTTAATTCACAAAAATTGTGCTATTTAAAGCCTATAATTATATGGTATCATAGGTTGTATAAAATGAATGTGTTCTAATCCATTATCATTTTACCTAGGCTGTGTAGTTTTACTATAATTAGAAACCAGTTGTCACAATTAGTCAGTCTAATGAACCTAATTAATCAATCAGTCTACCTCAATTAGTCTAATTGACTTTGCCCACACCTGCCACAACACCCAATGGTAGCCATTAAAAATGTATCTCTAACTGCCAAAACTTCCAGTTTTGAGAATATGTTATTGGATTCAATATGTATGGAGAAGTAATTACCTTCTTGGTGAGTAAGCTCGATGCAGAAAAGCATCAATTTACAAAATCTAAAATTTACTAACTATATCTATTGTTTGTTACTATTTATTATTTTTAGAAAAATTCAAATCTCTTTAGAATATCATATTTCATGTTTGGCAGCATCTTTTAACAATTGGTTGATTGTCTAGTTGTATTTTTCCTGGAGCTGTCATTGGTTCTGTTTCCTCACTGTTAACAGCAAGTTCTTCCTTAAGCTTTTTAATTTGCACTCTGTGTACCTTCTCAATAGTCTCTTGAAATAATCCTTCAACATTGGTTGCATCGAGTGCAGATGCCTCAGCAAACAACAGCTTGTGCTCCTGAGCAAAGGTCTTAACCTCCTCTGTGGGTATTGCCTGTAAATGTTTCAAGTCGCATTTGTTTCCAACAAGCATAACAACAATTTGATCTGTAGCATGTTCTTTCACTTCTTCCATCCATCGGCTGACGCTTTCGTAGGATTTCTGTTTGGTGATATCATAGACCAGAACAGCGCCGACTGCACCTCGGTAATATGCACTTGTTATTGCTCTGTAGCGTTCCTGCCCAGCCGTGTCCCAAACCTACATAACATGATGCAAAATTTAAGATAAGTCTTCCTCTAATACGTAGTGCTTGATTTCATTTTCCAGCCTGTAAGTAGATAATTGATTTCTTTTTCACATCAGGAGAAATTAAAGTAAGGCTTTTATATTTTCCCCTTTTTTTCTATTGGGCACAACTCCATACTTTTTTATTTAAAAGCAGGAGAAACACTTCATGAGTAAATGAGTCTGCTTGATTAAATATTTATTAAGTAGTGATACATTAAGTTAATGAATTTAATGTAGCAATTTACAAGCGGAAATGCGATACTTGTAGGAGAGTACACAAGGACAATATCACGATATTTACTGTGTAAATGTCAGCTTGTAGTAAACGAAATTGTCACTCGTACAAAGCAATCGCAAATACCGCCTTTCCTTAGCATTTTTAATTAAAAATGATAGTTTACTTATTAGGAGAATACTTAGTGAATTAATTAACAAGGAAAGAGAAAATATTTGCAAGAAAGTATTTGCATGTTGCAAATATATTGAAGTACTTCGGTGTAAGGAAATATTGCCCCTTCGTGTTTTCAATCTTAAAAACACCCTTGACAAATAACGAAATTAAAACTAATGCAGTTACAAGCAACGATAGTGGTTTAGTTATCTATATACCTGAGCTTTTATAGTTTTTCCGTCGATCTCCAAACTCCGCGTTGCAAACTCAACACCAATTGTTGATTTCGATTCGTGATCAAATTCGTTTCGTGTGAACCGCGATAAAAGGCAGGACTTGCCAACACCAGAGTCGCCAATAAGCACTACTTTATATAAATAATCGTAATGGTCATACCTGGAGCCCATCTGGTAGACCACAACGGTTTAAAAATTTACTAAACACGTCAAAATACAACAAAACACACGACTTTCCGACGATGTGTAGAACTTGGACTTGTATAAACACGAACGCCTACAAGCTCTCGCGCGTTCTGCACGATCCCCGCGTGAGTACGTCGTATTCGAAAGAAATTAGCATAATTTGCAGAATTCGGTGAGGGACTGGGTAATAGTGATGGCGGCGGGCTATTTGGAAAAACGTGTTTAAAACGTTGTTTTGCGAAGTTCGTATCTTGAAAGAGTATTTTTATCGTGAATTACAGAATGGAGGAGGATAGTGGCGAGAGGAGGAATGAGAGTTGCGAGAATGAGGTAGAAAAGACGGAGAAAGTCGAGAAAAAACACAAGAAAAGACAGAAGAAACTCCTGGGTGAATTGCAGGAACAGGTATGTGGGTAATAATAGTACCCGGGGGGGGGAAGGGGCGGAGGGGAGGGTGATGGTGCTGGTGCTCGCATACTGATCAGTGTAGAAAAGTATTACCAATATTGTTCCTTTGTCTGCATATGTACTGTATAGTAGCTTCACCATTTGTTGAATTGTATCATGCAGCAAATAGTATGTTGACAGACAACACTGCAACTTTGCAATTTTGATAGGCAAGTGAATCTACCCAATTAGCCTCTGCTGCATGCGATTGAGCATCACATTGCAAACAATCAGTATTGATATGATATTTATGTTTGATTGATCAATGACTGTTTATACTGGTGTCTTAATATTCCTTTCCTGCAAGTCATTTCCTTCATTCTATTATTATTTTTCATTTGCCAGATCAAATTTTACTTCAGCGGGCCAAATCTTCAGAAAGATCGTTTTTTGCGGAAAAAAATCACTGAAAGTGAAAATGGATGTAAGTTGATGTTATGCCCCTATTCTTGTGTTTATGTGAGCCAGTGTAAACCTTGGTTGAGAGGGAAGACCAGGAGTAAAGGGAAGGGATTTTAGTTGTAAAAGAACTCCTCTCCTCACACTCTGTGTAAAATAGTCTTAAATTTTAAAACTTATAACTTTTGAAATAAACATTACATTTTAATATATGAAACATACTCTGGGAAACAAAGATATCTTACACTGTTGGATGTGTTGGTTAGTTGGTAGCTATAAAGCAATCTTCTAATTCTCTTATCACAGGTGTAGAAATTAAGACCATTGCAAGCTTTAACCGAATGAAACAATTATGTGATGATATCACACTGATTGTTAAAGCTATGAAGCTTTGTCCATCTGTTGAAGTATGTATTTTAATAAACTGTGTCATATTGATGTAATATATTATACAGCTTAGCTTTCTCCCTCTTTGTTTCCCCCTGTTTCCCCACATGTCCTGCTTCTATCATCTTTTCTTTCATCTTATCCTCTCTCAATCTTCCATCCTCTCCCATTCCTCCAGGCTCCACCCTCTCTTATCCTCACCCATTCCCCATCCTCTCCCATTCCCCATCCTCTCCTTTGTCTTTTGTTCCCCTATTTTCTCCCATTTCTTTGTCCTCAACTGTTCCTCCATCATCTCCAACTGATCCATCTTCTCTAAACTCCTTGCAGGTAATCGATGATAAATGGGTGAAACCATCACAACCACTTCCTCAGCCAAAGAATGTTGACTCTGTCACAGTTTATGTGGTAAGTTTTTAATGAAGTGCACATTTTAATATATAGCTAATATTTCGTGGCACATCCTAGTTAATTATTACATTCTTCTGAAAATGTTCAGGAGAGGCTCCCTTCTAACGCAGATCATAACTGGATCAAATCATTGTTTTCATCTTGTGGAACCGTTGTTTATATCAGGTACGCAAACTTTCAAAACATTCAGGCATGGATCGAGAGAATGGTTTAAGATATAGCTGTTAATCAAATCAAGAGCTGCACTTGCAGTCAAAATGCATGAACAGTACATACAGTGTATGTAGTTATAATGATATAATGTTGATAGGATATTGCCTTTGGATTGAAAAGAATAGATTTGATAAGGAAAGTGGTGCCCTTATTGGCCCCCCTTTGCTAAGGGATGGGGTCCACACCTGTTTGTACCCCTCCCTAATAAACCCATCCAAACAAGTGGCATCTTGTGTTTAACCTTGTGTTTAACTTGTCAACTGCAGTCGTTTTAGAATGAGTACAGTAAATGTCGGGACATTTGGTTTGTGATCTTTTTCATTTATTGGATTATATTGTTTAATGTTTCCACTTGTAGTTTGCCTCGCTTCGCTGAGACCAGAGAAATAAAGGGATTTGCTTTTGTTGAATTTGAGAAGGAAAGCGAAGCCGAGGCCGCGCTGAAGGTATGTAACGAACTTGGGATTCATCAAATCCTCGCTATGCGCACAGTTCACCTGCATGCTGAGATGAAGATTATACTTTCTACTTCGTAAACAACATAGACACACAGTAACATTAAATTCTCAACGCAATTCTTAAAGCTTGTCTTCATCACCAACAACCGTCACCTTGACGTCTTCAACGCTTTGATGCATCTTAAAGTATAGGCTTGCTAGTAAAGAGATTTTTTAGTATGGTAAAGTTCTAATGTAGCTTGCAACTGTCGACAGTAGGAGTTTAGACTGGGTGAAGTTTAGGCAATTGCATTGATTGAAGGGTGATTCAAAAGACGATTTGAATAAGTCAGTGGTGTAACTATAGACTGTTCCGGTGGCTAATAATTTTTATCACAGAAACAGACAACTGAAAGGTTTTCTAAACATAACCTGTGTTTACACCAATGGATTGATTGCAGGTGTCATCATTCATGAACTTTAATATGCCTGTATCGGTTCTGTTTTTTAAAGTTTAATTAAGCTGATAGAATAGCGAGCAGAGTCCATAGACTCATCGAAAGTTGTCTCCTTGAGTTGTACCATTACTTTCATCTGTGTGTGTGAATTTATTGTTTCCACACACAGCAATTTGGACGGGATTTCATCGTAAAAATATGTTCAAAGCTTATTAAACGATCTTTCAAATACGTTTAGATGTTTGCTGAGGAGAAAAACGATGAAGGGGAAGACCAGCCGGAGGATAAACCGCAAGACGACCATGATGTGATTGATGAACACGCGGAAAAACAAAACAAAAAGACTAAAAAACGCAAAGCTAAAGTGAGCGAGTCTGAAAGCGACGATATGAAAGGAAAGTGTAAAAGATCTAAGCGCAGGAAAGAAGGAAGTTCAAGTACAATTTCTGATGCTATTGAGACCAGTCATGATAGGTCGAGGAACGTGAAAAATGAACAGAAGAAAGACGTTGAAGGGAGCATTAAGAAGGAAGTTTGTGAGGAAAGTAGTGGCAATGAAGCTAGTGGAAAGGATAATGAACCAAAGGGAAGTGATGATGTTCCAGACAGAACTGAACGTAAGGAACGGAAGCGGAGGAGATCTGAGGCGAGTGATGATGAAGAAGATACGACCAGTAAGAAGATTAAAGAGTCCTCAGAAGCTGAAGATGTGGGTGGTGCTTCAAGTAAGAAGAACGATTGCGAGGCTAATGCCCAGGGTGACGCGGGCGAAATGGGTGGTGCTAATAAGAAAAAGAAGAAACGCAAACGGAAGAGGAAGGAAAAGCAAAAGGTGGAAGTACCTCGACTTCGTGTCATATCTAAGTAAGTATATTCAGATTTTGAGAACACAATGATTCCATATCATCATATAGGAACTTTTTTCAGAGAGACTAGATCAGAACAGACAAGTAAAAAAGAATACGTATAAGCTATTATAGCTCTAACAACAATGTACTCATCCTTCACAGGAAGGATTGGCTTAAGATGAAACAGGAATATCTAAACCTTCAGAAAGCTGCCATGGGAGAAGCGAAAGAAAAATTGAGAAAAGAGTCAAAGAAGAAGACTGAACTAGCTTCTGAAACAGCCGCGAAAACTCAAGAAGACGACAGCGACAGAACTTCTGGGAGAGGTAGTGAAGGAAGAAGCGATGAAAAGGCCAGCAAAGCCGTAAAAGACTTACCTGAAAAGCTGAAAATGCAACATGGCGTTGTGTTGAAGTTCTCTTGTGAAGACAAAATTAATAACAGCCAGTTAAGGGTATGTTTGTTACTTCCATGAACTGACGCGATAGAAAACTTCCTGAGAATCTTTTCTTTATAACTTTATAACACTGTGTGTAGATACCACCACATAAATTTCTAGGACCAATTTCATCTGCGTGTATACAAAAAATCCCTTGAAATGCGCCTATCCGTCTTAGGATTTCTTATTACGCACAGATTTCTATTATTAGCCACGATGTTTTAAAGACTTAATTGATTTACCACATTATTGTTAACACCATTTTCGTCATCCTTACTGTTGCCTTTTATACAGTATGGCAGCGCCTCAGATTCCTGTGGCTACGTATTTCTAAAGAAAAATCTATTTCATTCTTAGGGAGTATTTTCAAACATCGCTCCTGTTTTGTACTTGGATAAAGATCTTGACAGCAATACGGTAATTCATTTTTAATGTTTATAAGAAAATTCCATGCGCTCCTCTTAAATCCACCATTAAGGAATACTATTCTATACATTACTTGTTCAAAAATATTTATTTTGTACTCATACAAACGTCTTCTTCACTTATGGTAAAGGGCTACGTTCGTTTTGCAACCAAGGAAGCCTGTGATAAAGTTGCAGATTCGTTTTCAAAAACTGGTTCCTTGGAGAACATCACAGTCAGAAAGTTGACAGGTTGGTAATTTCAATGAGAGGTGATTCTTGCTGGACCTCCAGAAACAGTTTACAAAAAATGTATTTTTACAGAAACGTATTTTTCTTACAGAAAATGAAGACACAGATTATTGGGAGCAAATAAATAGTGATCGATTTAAGCGTCTTCAACAAGGAAACAAACAAAACAGAAATAAAAGAGGACGGCAAAAGGTAAATGGATCATATTTCAGCCCTCCCTTGGAGGAACATTTTTTGCACTGTTATTGATATCAGAATCAGAACTCTTTCAAATTTAATCCCACCTTTTCCCATTAAGATCACAAAGAAAATGGATGATCGAAATGCAAAAAAGCAAGTGCATGTTCATTTTGAAGACTGAGGAGGTTGCCTTCAAGTTTCAAGGTCAGTTATATGATATGTTGTGTGGGATTACTATAGATATAGAAACAATGGTATACCATACACAGAATTTAGGTTCAATTTAACCGAATTTTACAAAAAATAAATACAAAAGAATCAAACTATATCAACATTTTAGTGAGAAACTGTTTGAGGAAACTTAGGTATATTCACTTTCACTGATTATGTTTTGAGCTGCTTATTCATCCTTTTTTGCAATAGTTCTATCAGGAGAGTAATGGTTTCCTCTTGTCCATAGCTTCAAATCTTTACTTGTCTTTTTGCTTTTCTGTAAGGTCCTGTGAGTTTCACTGTTCTTTTTACTAGAATTTTCAATATTTATAGCTGCATTCTTAGCTGAAAATGCCCTCCTCTGTAATTCTGGGAGTTTGTAATTTAGGTTTATAACTGTTGGTTCAATGGAGCATTTAGATGCATGTTTTGCACCTGAATTTTTGCCATAGCTACTTGAGTATATATGTTGTGATGACTCTTTTGAAAGGCTAGTCGTATTTTCTTCATTTTTGCGGTTGAAATAAGGTGAGGGTAGAAGAACATGTTTGTTTGTCTTTGTGTCCAATGCTTCTGTGGTCTCCCTAGAGAGTGTGGATCGAAAGAATTCTCGTCTTAAAGCTTTCATGAGCAGGTTTTAGTTTGATGGACTCCTGGTTGATTGTAACATATATACGGTACCTTGTCCCAAGTTGTTTGTCAACGTTTATCTCAGACTCTTCAACTGTTACTTCTTTGTGTGGCTTTTGTTCTGGTCTTGCTGTTTTATGATTTTGATGGTACCTATAATCATAAATAAATTATTGTGCTTTTCCTAGAAATTACCTAACAAAATTAACAATCAGTGTCTCTTCTTGTTAACAAATTTGTGATATACCTGGGTAATGGTGCAGCATTTTGGACAAACACAAATTTTTGAGTTAGCTTCCTCTTTGAAATCAGAGTTTGAAGTGTTGATATGCTTCCCTAAATTTAAATGCAATTGGATGAAATTATGTGATGCAACAATAATGTATTATAATGTTCATATTTACACAACATTAATGCAAATCTTGCCTTGCATGTTCTGTCATATATTTCTTGAAGACCAGTCACATCAGATTTTGTGATAAGCCGATCTAGTGCATGGTCGACCTTGCTGCTGTGCCGTCGTAGACTAGATGTATCGACAGTATAAAATCTTGGTGTTTTTCTATAAAAATTGAAGCATAGGCTTTTGCAATTACAATACATATGCATGCAGGCTAGTTGGGGCGAAATCACTTTATAGGAATTTGACATTGACAATTTCACCTTGTTTTAAACGTTCTTTCGGTCATAGTTTGCGGCAATGAAAATGCAGATCTATGGGTATCCTCTGTGTTCTTTATCTGCAAAATAAATATATTTACATTTGGACGGTATTGTGAGATACATTCACATGGTGACAAGTAAAATATATACATGTTTAATGGTATAAAATTCCATTTGTATCATCCAAACATTGAAATACCTTGGTCTTTGTTATGTTGGGGGTTGAATGTTCCTTGAAATGACCATAGAGATACAGTGATTTGCCCTGGACAAATATTGCATGACTATTTTTAAGATTTGGACAACCGAGTGACAACTGATATATCCGACTTCAAATGTATAGCTCTTACTTTTGTGTTTTGTGAGTTGTTGAGAACCTTTGCTACGATTCCTCTTGGAGGAAAGGAGTTTGTAATTCTCATTGGTAATTCAGTTGTGCTATGATCCAACATAGATGTACTGTGATGCAAATTTGTCATCTCTTAGAACACTGAATTGCAATTGCTTTCAATAAGAAATAAATAAATGAAGTTAAACAGAAGGAAATGAGCAATGTACTGATAAAACCCTGCCAAAGTTTGAATATAGTTTGGGGACTATACAGAGTGGATTTTTGTATTTTAGGCATGGACAAATGCCTCTGCAATGGGGGGTCCACTGTCTTCACTGGTTGTGGAAGTTGCAAGATGAGGCAAAATTTGAGAACCTGGATGAATCTGTGATGATCGAAAGGTGAAAAATCAAACATTGGAAGCAAACATTAGGGGGTCAGTTGTCTCCTGGGGTCAGGGGCATAAAAATAGTGTACTCTTTAGAAATCCCATGTGTAGTGTGAACTGGCACATATAATTACCACTTTCTGTCTGCCCAATATACACCTGGCTGGAATGGTATATATGTACATATATTGCAGAGGGAGTTTACCTACCCAGGGATCATGATAACTTGCTCATCACTAATCTGTCTAATGGGAACTTTGTGTATTTAGTGAAGCGACTAAAAGCATTTAAAGATATGGGATGATGGGATTAATAGGAATATCAAAGATTACTATGTTTGATGGGGAGATTAATTATTAATGCTACTAATATACTCCATATACTCACCTGCTATGGTCACCCGCTGGTTTTCTAACCATTCATATTTTGAGACCTGATCTTCACACCAATAAATTCACCCGTATAGACATAAAATCACACAAATACGACATTTCCAAGAAGCATACTGCTATTATTGCATTTTCGTTAATACAAAACGTGTTTATCCAACGTCGCTGACGTCATGGTTGTCTAGGCGACAACCTGGAGAATGTTGCAAATTAGTCTTGAAATGAACGTGATGTTAATTTATTGTAAATACTTAGTGCAGATGGACTATGTCAAAAAAACTGTCATGAATTATTCCCATCTCTTATGTAAATTGTTAATACTGCGTTTCCATGTATAGTACGTGTGATAGGTTATATTTATTCGCCAAATATCGACACAAAAGTATCCTCATTAATTTGAGTCGAATTAGTAGCACCGAATGGTGCAATCTGATTGGCTGCTACAACACTGACTTGTTGCTTCCCCGCATGAGAACCGGTCGACACTTTGTAAAAGCCGAATGTGCCGATCGCCTTTTGCCGCTCGCAAAATCACTGATCTTTTGACAAAACCTTCGAGAGTGCTAGCAATATGCTTCGCGGCATAAAAACGGAAGAGTCGGGCATGCAATTTATCGAGCAAACGAGTCCCCCACAGGTAAGCGCAGATGTGGAATATTTTTTGATATTAATACTGCCACTTATTCTTTGTGTATTATTGTAACATTTTCGAACGTTCGTAACTCACACCCCTTTTCTTGTGCCCGCCCACTGACACTGTCTATCTTACGTCAAGGATTCCTCCAAATCTCCCTTGGTTTTGTTGGCAGCAACATGTAGTAAAATTGGCCACGAAGAGGAGTCGTTATCGAGTCCCCCCTCGTCGTCTTTTGTCGCTCAAAACAATCAGACGACGGCGTCACAATGTGGCCTAACGGCTTGCCTTGAAGACGCTAGTCAACACGGACAAGGACAGTACGTTGTGATACCAGTTTCCGAGGGAAACACTAGCTTTATCTCTCAGGGAAATGGCCAAAACGATGGACAACTACAGCACGAAACGCCGCAAGGACTTCGACAGATTTATCGAGCGAGCGTATCAGATGGCTCGCCTTCTTCTCCAAACATAATATATTCAGCATTAAGCCAGGCCGATGCGGGGAGCATTGAAGCGACACAAGGCCAATCTCAACAGCAATGGACGGCAACTACAGCTCCTATGTCTACAGGAAAGACTTATCCTGTCAATTCTGCAATGTGGCAAGGAAAAGCGGACGGTTGGTTGCCTTCGCAAAGTGAAATAACAAACCAACAAGCAGTTGGCCAATATCACAACATCACTGCAACAGAGGCATCTCGTCTGAATAATGTTGCCTTGTCCAGTAACAACCAATATTCAGTCACCATGACAGTGCAACAAACCAACAACCCGCCAGTGGTAGCACCGATTAACCAACCAATGGCCAGTATGAACCACGGTTCACAGGCTTCCATTGTCCTTAACAATACGACAGCAAATAGCAACATGTTAGACTGGGTGCAAAATAACACTGGTACAATTGCAACTGTTCAAATGACTCCCAACCAAGATTCAAAGGACGCCGGCAATCCACAGGATATGAACGGAAATCGTACCATGGATGATAGCGGTAATACGGTAACACGTAGGGTTCGGCGTGTTGCTTGCACATGTCCAAACTGCCGAGATGGGGAGGGACGAATGGCAAATGGCAAAAAAATCCATATCTGTCACATTCAAGGCTGTGGAAAGGTTTATGGGAAAACTTCACATCTTCGAGCTCATCTTCGATGGCATACAGGTGAACGACCTTTTGTTTGCAATTGGCTGTTCTGTGGCAAGCGGTTTACCAGATCTGACGAACTTCAACGGCACCGACGAACCCATACAGGGGAAAAGAAATTTGCTTGCGAACAATGCGGAAAACGGTTCATGAGAAGCGATCATTTGTCAAAGCATGTGAAGACACATGGTAACACTTCAAGGAGAGCTACCGGACAGACAAGTAGGGCAAGTAATGTGTCAGTGAAGAGCGAAACCATTTTACAGACAGCGAATGCAAGCAATGTTACCCAAGTTCAGGTCATTAACGCCTTGGAAAACGCCACACCGCAATCATTTTCTTCCACCGACGAACAGATAACCACTCAGCTACAGGAACAAGTCACATCTCAGCAACAAGATGTCACCATGATGCAACTAACACAACAACAACCAAACCTGCAACAGACACAACAAGGGCAGATACAACTGCAAACTCTTGGACAGCAACCGCAACAACAAATAGAGTTAACCCAACAACAAATTCAGTTAGTGCAACAACAGCAACCACAAACCATCACCTTAGACGACGGGACTATCTTTCAGATTCAGTGTACCCCAGGAGAAGCTGAACTTATCAATGTACAAAGATGTTAACAAAAACTTTTCAAGTCATAACTTTGATCATATTTTTGTTTATTTATAGAATATACATGTGCAACAGTGTAAGATTGTAAATTTTTGATATTACTGTTTATTATTTTTGACTGGATCTTGTAGTTATTACTTCCGAATGTAAGACCACATTGTTAGGACTTGGTTTATTCTATTGGGAAGAGCAAGAAAAATATTGTATTAGCAGCATTATTTACACCAGTTGTCAGAGAGCATGTTTTGACAAAATCCCCCTCTAAGAATGGTATAGGATGAATGTGAGTTTGGTTTCCTAGCACATTACATATTTGACTCACCTGTACAAAAGCTGTATTTTCTGCTTTGAAACAGTGTGACCGTATATGAATATTTTATAAGCAAACTCCCTACTCTTGAATCTGGCATAAAAATTACCATATCTTGTCACATTCCTTTGCAATGTCATTTTGCAGCAATTCTGCACTGTGCATGCCCTGAAGGGTAAATTAAATATTTAATATGTTATAATTCGTTATATTCATAATTTTCCACCACAATTGATCAGTAATCATAATTGAACCCTAAATTTTACATAGACCAGGCCGAAATTGGAAAATTTTGCTTTCAACACAGGGACTGCGGAGGAGCAGGGTGGCTCGCTGGGCTTTAGCCCCACCAATAATTTTTCCGTAATTAGTCTTTAATTTCGAATATTTTTTAGTTCGCTCAAATTTACAAGCAATACAAGCGCCAAAATGCTGGAAACTTTACATAGGACAAGCATTTGACCATTAAAACAGCGTGGTTATCCATTTCAAAATATTTGACATCATAACCAAAGTATGGTTATATTGTTTAATGTTTGTATATGAGCGCCAAACATGCTGGAAACTTTACGTTGGACAAGCATTTGACCATTAAAACAGCGTGGTTATCCATTTCAAAAAATTTGACATCATAACCAAAGCATGGTTATATTGTTTAATGTTTGTATATGAGCGCCAAACATGCTGGAAACTTTACATAGGGCAAGCATTTGACCATTAAAACATCGTGGTTATCGATGTCAAAATATTTGACATCATAACCAAAACATGGTTATAGTGTTTAATGTTTGTATATGAGCGCCAAACATGCTGGAAACTTTACATTGGACAAGCATTTGACCATTAAAACAGCGTGGTTATCGATGTCAAAATATTTGACATCATAACCAAAGCAAGGTTATACTGTTTATTGTTTGTTATGAGCGCTAAACATGCTGGAAACTTTACATACTATCTATTATTTTCTATTAATCCTTAAATTGAGAGGCATTTACGAAAAACGCTCCGCGGTCCCTGCAACAAAAATGAACAAAAAACAAAATGCAGTTCTTGCAATTTGCAAAATTTTGAAATCTCAATCAGTCAATCCCCTGTTCAATACATTTTGTTTGTTTTACATAAAGTACTTCAGTGTTTCGCAAATTTGCACGTTTTTTTTACAAAAGATTTCAATAGTTTCCAAACAGATTATCGTATTATAAAAATATCAAAATATGGTTTGGGAAGAGGTGGAAACTGCTAGAGAAGAAAACAGATACGAGTTGGTCTTACATGGAAGCGAAATTTCTGAAAGAATTTCTGCTAAAGGCTTGGACGAATCCATATTTGCATTGACCAATCTTAACTTTCTGCAAATATCTCAAACCGTGTTGAAGGTTCTTCCATCATCTCTTGGGGAGCTAACGAACCTTCGAACTTTGGATTTGCATCAAAATAAATTGTCCAAACTACCTTCTTCCATAGGGAAACTCTCTGATTTGAAGTTTTTTGATGTTTCTGGGAATGCATTGGATGAACTACCTGTTGAATTGGGAGATCTATCCAACATACATACCCTAAACCTAAGCTGTAATGAGTTGAAATGTTTACCATCTTTTGAGAAGCTTCTACATCTTTCCAAATTTGATTGCTCACATAATGATTTGTCATGTCTACCGGAGGGCATTCATCAATTGGAGAGCCTATATGAACTCCGTGCTTCAAACAATAATATCAAAACCATCTCCACAGAGACCTGCCATAATGTCGCTCTGAAAGTGCTAGATCTTTCTCACAATGAACTCACAACTGTTCCAGCAGAGCTTGCTGATTGCCACAAGTTGAAGGAACTGATGCTTTCTGAAAATCCTATCGCAGATAACCGATTGAAGAAGCTTATTGCCCAGTGTTCCACAAAATCTGTGTTGGATTACGTACGAAATATGAGCAGCAAGGGAAAAGGCAAGGTCAAGAAGAGCAAGAAACACAGTTCTAAGAGTGACGGGGATAAAAATGCGGAGGAGTCTCAAGTTGTCATCAAAGTTGAAAGGAGTGACGACTACAGGGTTGTTGTGAAGCCGAGTGTAATCAATGTCCGCCCATATGTAGTGTGTGTCATTGCAAAACAGATTGATCTTGGTCAGCCTGATATGTTTAAGAAGTTTATTAACATGCAGGTATTAGTTTGTTTTTGAACAACTTTTTATTAACTTAACCTAATACACTAGTCACTAGTACATACATGCCTATATAAACCTTGGACATGATAATAAGGGCACAGAATACCTATCAGAAGTAGAACTCCTGTACTTTTTTCGTAAGTGTGATTCGTCATGATTCGGCACTTAGCAAGTGCATTAAATTGAGGCAGTCACCCCCTGCGAATGTCTAAAATGAACCCATTTTTAATATTGGCAGGGGGGTGATTGCCTCAATATAATGCACTTGCTAAGTGACGAATCATGACGAATCACACTTTTGAAAAAATAGTATAGAGTTATTCTTTTGATAGGTATTCTGTGATAAGGGGGTGTGGATTCATGTTCTCATAATATTTATGGCAGAAGATATGCTAATATTAATAAACTCCTCCCAAATATTTAACAATTATTTGCAGAAGGCCAGGTAAATATTGCTGAATAAAAACCGAGACAAAGCCTGTCAAAAGAAAACAATTAAAAGCCGTTAAATTAATTGTACATGATGTTTGGGGGTGATGATTTATTTATTTACTTATGCGTACCCTGGTTGTTGGGAATATTGCTAACCCACACTGTTTTTTTTCATTCATTCACTGCCCTCCTTATCACTTTAGTGCTAGAGTATAAAATCTTTTGTCAAGAGATACATTTGGTTGTGGTCATGTTACAAATTGATGAAACATTCTTGTTGCATTTAATTTCAGACAAAGTTGCATGAAACAGCTTGTGATCATAGAGCTGTTGCAACTATTGCCACACATTGTACGAACTCGTTGTCATTTCCACTTGTCTATGAAGCTCTGCCTCTGGATGAGATCAGTCTTGTTCCTTTGGGAAAGAGCAAGTCTTTTACCGCAACCGAATTGGTAAATGATTTGAAGGCAACTGCAATCAAAGAGAAGCAGAGGACAAAACGTCAATCAAAGTCAGGATTATTAAAGTAAGAAGTAAACTTAAAGTAAGCTAGTAACCTCACACTTGGCAGAAAGCTCTATCATTTGTTTATTTCCATAGGATAGTAATTTCTGAGGATTGCATATACTGGTCATTGAAGTACTCAGGTTTTCTCGTTCCAATTGCATAATAATGTGTGCTTTTTTAGATATTTATCTCTTGTTGAAAATGCTGAAATTCTTGCCTGCATTAAAACCAATGATGGTGATGTCATTTCGCTTCCTCCTATCACCAACAGTGAAGCAAGCAAGGTTATAAAGATTTTTTAATAAATATACAGTTTTCTACAACATTTTGTCAGATTGACATACAAATGCTAAATTTGTGAATCACTTACAGGTCTCATCAAATTGCACTGATATCCTGATTGAAGTGACATCACCTTGTGATATAAACGTTTGTAAAAATATCATGGATGAACTAATAAAGAGAATGTTTGAGACAGGAATGTATTCAAACATGGAACATTTGAAAGGAAGTGGGGCTGTAGGTGACCCAGGTAATTAATTGACAAGATATGGTTTTCAAATTGTTGAATGCATGAATGGTGGTTAGTATATAAGTTAAGAATGACTAAGCAAAAATTACAGTATTTCTTATTCTTACTAAAGTTCTTGTGCATATTTTTTAAGGTAAGAAGGAACTGATTTTGATACAAGTTCGTGGAACTGATCATGAAGGAAATATCAAAGTTGTCTATCCATCAAAAAATGATTTATCCTTTCAAGGAATTCATGTCCAATTTATTTAAATTGACTTTGTAGAATTATGAAAAGGCTATTGAACAGACATTTTCTATGTCATATTGAAAGTATATATATATATATATATATATATATATATATATATATATATATATATATATATATATATATATATATATATATATATATATATATATATATATATATATATATTATATATATATATACGAAATTGTAAGAGAATCTGAACGGAATGTTTTTCATTAAAAAACACCATACGCGTTTGAAAGAGCATTCTATTAGGCTCTCTTCTAGTGCTGTAGGCCAACATTTTTCTGCATGTGAACATGCACAATTTTTAGCTACTCTACAAACAAGAAAACGTTAAAACGTCATCAAAAAATTCCTTATCCACTTGAAAAAAAAATCTGGTGACGGAGCTGGCCGCAGGGATGGGCGGCCCCGCCCAACCGGGGTGGAACATTTTGGGATGGAACACGCAATTTGGGGGTATACTGGGATATTGGATATGCCAAATTGCGGGAAAATTCGAAATCCACGCGGGATTGCTCTTATGGCAGTGTTATTTTGGAGGATTTTTAACTCGAACTTCACAGGTCGAACTTTATCGCAGTTAAATGTATTTTATGAAAAGAAAATTTATATTCTGATTCGGAATAGGGGTATGTATTATATATTACTTTATTTTGAGCGTATCGCTGCGCCCGTATTCCTTCATTTTGCTCGTTTAAATCGTATTCAAACTTTCCAGAGCTTGCCAGCTTCGCCATGTTGTAGTCGTGCGATCTCGACCGATTCTTTCAGCAGTTTCTCAAGCTTTTATGCTAAGAACTTTAGAATGGCCTTCGCGTTCGCTTATTGTAAGTCAGATTCATACTTTTTGCGTACTTAGATTAAAAAAAAATTGACGAGAAATTTGATGCAACGACCGTCGGACACAAGTGAAAATGGCTCGGTGAGTAAGTAATGCCTTCTTAATGGCAAGGCTTACCCCCTTACCATTTTGGTCAATTTTGACGATTTTTTAACTGTTCAAAAACTGTCTTAAAATGCTAAAAATTGCTTCCTAAGACTAATACCTTTCATTTTAGAGCATTTTAAGACAGTTTTTGAACCGTTCAAAAAGTCGTCAAAATTGATCAAAATGGTAAGGGGTAAGCCTTACCATTTTGGTCAATTTTGAAGACTTTTTCAATGTTCCAAAAACCAACCAAATATACTCTAAAATGAAAGATATTAGTCTTAGAAAGCCATTTTTAGCATTTTAAGACAGTTTTTAAGACAGCTTAAAAATCGTCAAAATTGACCAAAATGGTAAGGGCTTACCCCCTTACCATTTTGGTCAATTTTGACGATTTTTCAACTGTTCAGAAACTGTCTTAAAATGCTAAAAATGGCTTCCTAAGACTAATATCTTTCATTTTAGAGCATTTTAAAACAGTTTATGAACAGTTCAAAATGTCGTCAAAATTGACCGAAATGGTAAGTCATTCCCCTTACCATTTTGGTCAATTTTGACGACTTTTTGAACTGTTCAAAAACTGTCTTAAAATACGAAAAATGGCTTCCTAAGACTAATATCTTTCATTTTAGATCATATTTGGTTGGTTTTTGGAACATTGAAAAAGTCGTCAAAAATGATACCAAATAGTACAGGATTGTTTGACATCAGAAATACAAAAAATTCGGCACACAGCGACAATTCACCTTTTAAAACGAAACCAAAAAACTAGAAGCAAAAAACAAATTGTGCTTCAAAACAAAACTAGAATGCACTGCTTTTAAACTGTTGAAATATAGGAAAGGACAACTTTTTTCTAGGCGTTTAGCGATTCGTCTATAGTAACATCGCTCACGATGATGTTCGGAGTTGATCGGCATGTTGTCGTACATTATCATACCACGTGATCTGCTATGATCACATGGTAATTTTCGTCTATAAAACTAATCTCAACGTTAAAAAAAAATTTCTTCGAATAGGTGGCGATCGAAGGTGGACAGCAAGATCAAAGCTCAGCAAGATTGAAGATTGTTCGAGGAAGAAGGAGTTCGCCGTTGACTAAAAGGTGGGTTCCGGCGATTATATGCGTAATCTGCGGTTGCTTTGTCCGACCCCAGTAGGGGGACCGTTTGCCTAGAGCGTTTTGGTCCCCCGCACGCTGCTAGTTCCCACTTGTAGGCCTTTACACTAATCTACGGGAAGGCCGTAGGCCTTCCTTAAGGAGTACAGTGTAGCTGAGCCGAACCCTTTTTTTTAGTTGTATATAGGTTTATCTGAAGAGCTAGTTGTCAAGATGAAGGTGAAGACTCGCCCGGCCAAATTCAAAATGGCGATGCCAAAGAAAACCATCCACGTGGACCGTTCGCTGACCTTTCTGAGCAAGATTATTGTGCTGTCTGGTCAAAGTTAAGTATTATTTTTTGATGTTTGTGTGCCTTCTGCTAATTGTCGGCCAGAAATAACAAAAAGCCATACACAATATGAAATATTCTGCGTACAAGGTTATCTAAAGTTTCGAGCTTAATAATTCTGCCTGCAATGATGATAATTTTTTACTGAAAATTTATGTCATGAGCAACTTCCGCACCCATAGACTGAAGCAGAACTGAACAATTTGTCATTAACGTTTATCTCAACAGCCAGTTATCAAGACGAACGTCAAGAGAACAGTTGAAATAGAAAATAGAAATCAGTTCAAGACTCGCCTGGCCGCCGAATTCAAAATGGCGATCCCATCCACGTGGACCGTTCGCGGATCTTTCTGAGCAAGATTGTTGTGCTGTCTAGTCAAAGTTAAGTATTTTACTTTACTGTTTATGTGCTTTCAGCTAAAACTAGACAATAATTAAGATAGTTGAAAATGCAATTTTATATTCAAGATTTTCCTTGGTCAAGAGTGCAACATGAGCTCTGGATATGAACTTAACTGTCAGATGAACATTGGAAGTGACAAGATTTCTGCACAGAGGTAATTTGATTGTTCCTTCAAAATTTATATTAGCCTTGCAGCTGAAATTCTTGTAGTGACTTTGTAATACATATCAACTGCCCGGATATATATTTTGTTATTTATTATAAGGGGGAATTTGCTGCAACTAGGATCTTTTTCATGAAAATCGTCAGGCAGTCACAATTTTGTTAAGATTACTAAGTGAACTTTGCTTCTATACTCCTTATGTGTCACCAATGATAAATTCTTGTGCCGGTCTTTGAATAAATATAGCAACCATAGTTATATATAGAGGGATGAAGTAACCATAGAATACTTGACGAAAAACTAGACCATAATTAAGATAGTTGAAAATGAAATTTTGTATTAATAATGTCTTCTTTATATATTCAAGCCTTTCCTTGGTCAAGAGTGCAACCAGCCACGTGAGCTGCAGTTGATATGAACTTTACTGGCAGACGAACATTGGAAATGACAAGATTTCTGCGCAGAGGTAATTTGATTGTTCCTTCAAAATTTATATTAGCCTTGCAGCTGAAATTCTTGTAGTGACTTTGTAATACATATCAACTGCCCGGATATATATTTTGTGATTTATTATAAGGGGGAATTTGCTGCAACTAGGATCTTTCTTATGAAAATCGTCAGCCAGTCACAAATTTTGTTAAGATACTAAGTGAACTTTGCTTCTATACTCGCTATGTGTCACCAGTAATAAATTCCTGTGCTGGTCTTTAAATAAATATAGCAACCATAGTTATATATAGAGGGATGAAGTAACCATAGAATGGCTGACCAAAAACTAGTCAATAATTAAGATAGTTGAAAATGGAATTTTAAATTAATCATGTCTTCTTATATTCAAGATTTTCCCTGGTCAAGAGTGCAACATGAGCTGCTATGGATATTAACTTTACTGCCAGATGAACATTGGAAGTGAAAAAGATTTCTGCGCATAGGTAATTTGATTGTTCCTTCAAAATTTATATTAGCCTTGCAGCTGAAATTCTTGTAGTGACTTTGTAATACATATCAACTGCCCGGATATATATTTTGTTATTTATTATAAGGGGGAATTTGCTGCAACTAGGATCTTTTTCATGAAAATCGTCAGGCAGTCACAATTTTGTTAAGATTACTAAGTGAACTTTGCTTCTATACTCCTTATGTGTCACCAATGATAAATTCTTGTGCCGGTCTTTGAATAAATATAGCAACCATAGTTATATATAGAGGGATGAAGTAACCATAGAATACTTGACGAAAAACTAGACCATAATTAAGATAGTTGAAAATGAAATTTTGTATTAATAATGTCTTCTTTATATATTCAAGCCTTTCCTTGGTCAAGAGTGCAACCAGCCACATAAGCTGCTGTGGATATGAACTTTACTGTCAGAGGAAAATTGGAAGTGAACAAGATTTCTGCAGAGAGGTAATTCGATTGTTCCTTCAAAATTTATATTAGCCTTGCAGCTGAAATTCTTGTAGTGACCTTGTAATACATATCAACTGCCCAGATATATATTTTGTCAAGATTGCTAAGTGAACTTTATTTCTATGCTCCCTATTTGTCACCAATGATAAATTCCTGTGGTGGGCTTTGAATAAATATAGCAACCATATATATAGAGGGATGAAGTAACCATAGAATACCTGACCAAAAACTAGACAATAATTAAGATAGTTCAAAATGGAATTTTATATTAATCATGTGTTCTTCTAAAAGGATTGATGAAATGCTTTTTCTCTTTAGAATGAATGAAGTTGAAGAAAGTTGAAAGGCACCCCAGAAGAACCTGAATTATTTTAGCCCTATCCTAGATTCATTAATTAATATATTTTAGTGTGTGATAACATGTGTGAAATGTGATCAATTATGTGACAATTTTCAAAACTTGGATTTATAAAGAGAAATTTTTCTTTGTAAAGTTTAAGAAGTAAACCTTTTTGTCTGGTGGTGTTGGTGTTTTGATTTTGCATGTTATTCCCTGTGCTTTCACAATTGAAAATATTTTGGCAGTTGCTTTTGGCTTTTTCTCATACTTCTTTTCTCTTTAATTTCTTCTGAGTATTAGTATTTTTTCTAAATATATTTTCTCTTATTATTTTTTTGCTGAAATTCTTTTTTTCTTTGGTGTTGAAGAAAGTTGAAAGGCACCCAGATTCATTAATTAATATTTTTAGTGTGAAATGTGATGAATTATGTGACAATTTTCAAAACTTGGATTTATAAATCTTTTTTCTTTGTAAAGTTTAAGAAATAAACCTTTTTTGTATGATGGTGTTAGTGTTTTTATTTTGCAAGTTCTTCTGTGTGACTTAACAATTCTAAATTAAACCTCTTAGTATTTTTTTAGTATTTTTTCTAAGTTAAACCTGTTAGTATTTTCTTCTATTTCTCTAGTTTTTTTTTCTCTAGTTTTTTCTTCTATTTCTCTATTTTTTCTTTTATTTCTCTAGTTTTTTTTCTATTTTCTCTTGTCTTTTATTCTCTGGTTTTTTTTCTCTAGTTTTTTCTCAGTTTTTCTAGTTAGTTTTTTTTTCTCTGGTTTTTTCTTCTATTTCTCGAGTTTTTTTTCTATTTAGTTTTTTTCTCTAGTTTTTTCTTAATGTTTTTCTCTTGTTTTTTTTTCTCTTTTAGTTTTTAGTTTTTTTCTCTGGTTTTTTCTTCTATTTCTCTATTTTTTTTTCTACTTAGTTTTTTTCTCTAGTTTTTCTACTTAGTTTTTTTCTCTGGTTTTTTCTTCTATTTCTCTAGTTTTTTTTTTCTACTTAGTTTTTTCTCTAGTTTTTTCTTAATGTTTTTCTCTTGTTTTTTCTCTAGTTTCTCTACTTAGTTTTTTTCTCTAGTTTTTTTTCTCTAGTTTTTTTTTTTTTTTTTTTTTTTCTCTTAGTTTTTTTTTATTTCTTTTTTCTTTTTTTTTTTTTTTCTATTTCTCTATTTTTTCTTCTATTTCTCTAGTTTTTTTCTCTTGTCTTTTATTCTCTAGTTTTTCTAGTTAGTTTTCTTTTAGTTAGTTTTTTTCTCTGGTTTTTTCTTCTATTTCTCTAGTTTTTTTTTCTATTTTCCTACTTAGTTTTTTCTCTAGTTTTTTCTTAATGTTTTTCTCTTGTTTTTTCTCTAGTTTCTCTACTTAGTTTTTTCTCTAATTTTTCCTTCTCTAGTTTTTTCTTCTATTTCTCTAGTTTTTTTCTCTTGTCTTTTATTCTCTAGTTTTTCTCTAGTTTTTCTAGTTAGTTTTCTTTTAGTTAGTTTTTTTCTCTCTTTTTTTTCTATTTCTCTAGTTTTTTTTCTACTTAGTTTTTTTCTCTAGTTTCTTCTTAATGTTTTGCTCTAAGTATTTTCTAAATGTTTTTTGAAAAGTTTAAGAAGAAACTTGATTTTTGTCTTGTGGTCTCTAGTTTTTTATTTTCTATTTTTTTCTTCTAAGAATTCTCTTTTATTCTTCGAAAAGTATTATGTCTTGGGCTACCTGTGTCAAGTCAGACACAGGTAGCCCAAGATAGACACAGGTAGCCCAAGACAAAATACATCTTCGTAAAAAAAAATCTAAGAGAATTTCAAAAGAGTGAAAAAAATTAAATTTTTTCACTCTCGAGAAAATCACCCTGTCAAATTTTCGTGAAAAAAATTAAGGTAAGTAAACATGAGTTTTTTAAAAGCGGGAAATTGTTCATTTTTTTCCCGGCCGACTTTCTTCATTTTCAGGCTTTTTAGAAGACACGTGTTTTTATAATACTGTTTTTTCTTGAGCTTTTCTTTCAATTTTCAGGTACTTTTGAAGGCGATAATTTTTTTTTGGTTTTTAAATTTCAAATTTTTCCAATTTACTGTCTTTTGCAAAGGCCGAAAAGTCTTTTAACTGTTTTATTCATTCCAAATCACACCGAAATTTTTTAGGCTAATTTTGTTGCATTGCCAGGAGTTGAAACACTAGTCCTCGGATTGAGAGACGAACGTCTTAACCATTAAACCACCGCATCATTTGTCGAAAGCTATTGTTCTTTATTTGACCTAATCCTTTTCGATGAAGTTTAAATTAAAGAATAATTTCTGTGGGAAAAATCGAACTTTTCCCATGCAGGATTCGAACCTGGGTTCACAACCTGGTAGCCCGTAGTCTTAACCACTGGGCCACAGCATCATTTATCAATAGTTCTTGTTCTTTATTTACTTAATCCTATTCAAAGAATTTTAAATTAAATAGCAATTTAGGTGGGAAAAATTACACTTACCCTTGCAGGATTCTTAACCACTAGGCCACCGCATAGTGTGTTGATACGTGCCATAAAATAATACATTTCAATACTTGAAGGCAAAATTGACGACTTTTTCAATGTTCAAAAAACCAACCAAATATGATCTAAAATGAAAGATATAAGTCTTAGGAAGCAATTTTTAGCATTTTAAAACAGTTTTTGAACAGGTGAAAAAGTCGTCAAAATTGACCAAAATGGTAAGGGGTAAGCCTTACCATTTTGGTCAACTTTGACGACTTTTTCAATGTTCTAAAAACCAACCAAATATGATCTAAAATGAAAGATATTAGTCTTTGGAAGCCTTTTTTAGCATTTTAAGACAGTTTTTGAACAGTTGAAAAAGTGGTAAAAATTGACCAAAATCGTAAGGGGTATGACTTACCTTTTTGACGACTTTTTCAATGTTCCAAAAACAAACCAAATATGATCTAAAATGAAGGATATAAGTCTTAGGAAGTACTTTTTAGCAATTTAAGACAGTTTTTGAACAGTTCAAAAAGTGGTCAAAATTGACCAAAATGGTAAGGGGTAAGCCTTACCATTTTGGTCAACTTTGACGACTTTTTTATGTTCCAAAAACCAACCAAATATGATCTAAAATGAAAGATATAAGTCTTAGCAAGCAATTTCTTGCATTATAAGACAGTTTTTGAACAGTTGAAAAAGTGGTCAAAATTGACCAAAATCGTAAGGGGTATGACTTACCATTTTTGACGACTTTTTCAATGTTCCAAAAACCAGCCAAATATGATCTAAAATGAAAGATATAAGTCTTAGGAAGCAATTTTTAGCATTTTAAGACAGTTTTTGAACAGTTCAAAAAGTGGTCAAAATTGACCAAAATGGTAAGGGGTAAGGGGTAAGCCTTACCATTTTGGTCAATTTTGACGACTTTTTCAGTGTTCCATAAACCAACCAAATATGATCTAAAATGAAAGATATAAGTCTTAAGAAGCAATTTTTCGCATTATAAGACAGTTTTTGAACATTTGAAAAAGTGGTCAAAATTGACCAAAATCGTAAGGGGTATGACTTACCATTTTTGACGACTTTTTCAATGTTCCCAAAACCAACCAAATATGATCTAAAATGAAAGATATTAGTCTTAGGAAGCAATTTTTAGCATTTTAAGACAGTTGTTGAACAGTTCAAAAAGTGGTCAAAATTGACCAAAATGGTAAGGGGTAAGCCTTACCATTTTGGTCAATTTTGACGACTTTTTCAATGTTCCAAAAACAAACCAAATATGATTTAAAATGAAAGATATAAGTCTTAGGAAGCAATTTTTCGCATTATATGACAGTCTTTGAACAGTTGAAAAAGTGGTCAAAATTGACCAAAATGGTAAGGGGAATGACTTACCATTTTTGACGACTTTTTCAATGTTCCCAAAACCAACCAAATATGATCTAAAATGAAAGATATTAGTCTTAGGAAGCAATTTTTCGTATTTTAAGACGTAAGCCTTACCATTTTGGTCAATTTTGACGACTTTTTCAATTGTTCAAAAGCTGTCTAATCTTAAAATGCTCTAAAATGAAAGGTATTAGTGTTAGGAAGCAAGTTTTAGCATCTTAAGACAGTTTTTGAACAGTTGAAAAAGTCGTCAAAATCGACCAAAATGGTAAGGGGTAAGCCTTACCATTTCGGTCAATTTTGACGACATTTTGAACTGTTCATAAACTGTCTTAAAATGCTCTAAAATGAAAGATATTAGTCTTAGGAAGCCATTTTTAGCATTTTAAGACAGTTTCTGAACAGTTGAAAAAGTCGTCAAAATTGACCAAAATGGTAGGGGGTATATAAGCCTTACCATTTTGGTCAATTTTGACGATTTTTAAGCTGTCTTAAAAACTGTCTTAAAAGATAACCCAGGGTTAGCGATTTGCTAAAGGAATTAAGTGAATGAAGAGCATTTAAAATTTTGTTGATTTCATTTTTCATTGACGAGGAATGCAAAAATTTGTTTGAGATTAGTTTTTGACCAAGGATTAACATGGTGATAAGTAACAAAACAAGTACTCTTCTGTGGAAAAGTATTACATTGTAATTAATGCTGTAAATTTTGAAAACATTTCAGATATATTTACAGGATTTCATACGTACATGATAACATTGACATAGTGATGATCAAACTGAAATTTCTCTATCACAATTTAAAACAGTAAGCATGATTGACAGTGTAATTAGGGCCATAGCTGGACAAATTAATTGGGAGGGGGGTTGCAAATTCATATGTTCAATAATCATGTTTAATATTTATTGGAATTAAGAACAATAGCATAGAAAAAATATTAGTCAGATATGAGACAAATATATGAATATTCATTCACACCCCTAATTAAGCTTCCAGCTAGGACCTCAGGTGTACAAGGTAATCAAACAACTTATCTTAAAGCTTATATCCAAGTACTGAGAAAGTTCTTATGAATAGTGCAGGCCAGAGACATGTCTAAAATTCTTGTGAAGTGTACCCAGCTGATCATAACCATAAGAAACATTGATTCAAAGACAATACAAAGTGATTTTGACCCAACATATTTCTTTTCTTCCTATCATGGACCTATCACTTTCAAATAGATTTGTATATCACCTGCATGTCCTCATTCTGTTTTAAATACTTAAAATTATGAATGAATTATTCTAATTGCTGAAGCATTTGTAGTTGTTTCAGAACTTTACTCTGGCTTGTCTCACGAATCTCTCCAGCCAAAAACATTTCATCAACAACAGCGTAAACCTTGAAAAATGAACAAAAATAGCACATTTTCAAATGTTATAAGTAAGTGCCCGAAAAAATATGTCAAATGTAATAGGTTGGTTGTTCAATTTGTTACATACACCACTATAGCCTGTGCATTTGATTTCATATTCACAGGTACTATACACCTGGTGCTAAAGAAAGCTAGATAGCACTATTCACAGGATAGTGGTTTTTTCAATTGCTCAAAAATTGCCTGTTGCTCAGTATAACTTGATTAAGTCTTGAGAGCTGCACACTACCCAAAGTTTGAGGGGTGAAACCAACATAAAACCTTGCACTAATTTGAAGATAATAGTATCCTACGGTTCTTACCTATACTTTATTTACATATGCTGCACATAACATATACTTTATTTACATATGTTGCACATAACATACACTATACCTTATAAAAATTGAATACTAAATCCAGCTCACAGACATTATGGAAAAATTCATTCAAAACCTAAAAAAAATGTAATTGTATCGTGAAGATGTATTTGGAGATGTATTACATTTGTCCAAAAAAATGTAATTGTATTGTGAAGATGTAGTTGGAGATGTATTACATTTGTCCAAGGTGACACAATGTAGCATGCCAATGTTTTACATGTGTGTATCCTGTATCTTCAGGGATGCCGGGATTGATGCAGGGGGGGGGAAGCCCAACTGCCCCACCTCTCTTCCGGCACCCTTTTGTACTTTCATTTACTTACTTCCACAAAGTTGTGTATGGCTTCTAGGTAATAGAGGTTGTTATCCTGGACATCAACACAAATACAGAAATATAAGCCAGCATATCTTCTATAAACAATCTTGAAATTCCTGAACTGGAAGAAAAATAAGCTATTAGACAATTGCTGTATTTAACAAAACCAATATGAATATAATGAAAAATATAAGATTTTATAGGAAAAAAGGGTATATTTTTATATACCGCAACAGCCTATAAGAAGGTATATTAAACAAGATCCATTCAAAAAAGTTCATAAATAAACTTTGTTTATTTGCCTAAGTTGTAAATTGTATCAGGTTTCATCACCATACATTTGTTTGTACAAATTGATTTAAAGGTTAGTTACAATTTAATAATCAATGCATTTAGCCATAGTAGACTTCTATTGGTGGTTGTCACATAAGAATTAAATGTGTTAGGGATTAGACAGATTAAAATAATAAATTAGAGAAACCTGGGTCACTGACTGGGCAATGGGTTAAGTGATAATGTTGCAATGCTTCATTCATATCAAGTCTCTGGTACATATTCAACATTTATAACGAAACAACCCCTCTGTTGTTCCGTTTTAAAAATTGTAGTGAAAATATTTTCAAGGTATCCAATCCATGTTTGCAATATGATAGAGAAAGACTCAATAGTCAATATCATATCATATACACGTATCTGAATTGCTATAAATTCATAGAATCGCGTGTTTGTCTAGTAAAACAAAGCGCACCTATCAAGTAAAACAATATCAATAAACACTTACTTCAACAAAATTTGTGTGTTTAGCGTCCCTTACTGTGACCAAAGCGTGGACTTCTTCGATTAATTTCTGTTTTTCATCATCGTCGAAATTCATATACCACTTCGCTAAGCGCGTCTTTCCCGCCCGGTTTTGAATAAGAATGAAACGAATCTATAGCAAAAAAGCACAGAAATATGATGTAGATACAACCTGAAACTTTATTTTACCGTATTTGAAGTAAATATACAGAAATTACGAACAAAATTTAAACAAACCATTTTCCAAAACTTGGTCTTGTAATCTTGCAAAATTCGTCTCGACGCTCGACGACTCTTGACGGACGCTTACGAGTATTTCCGAACGTCGATAGAGGAAATCACACCTGATTAAGGTGTCCGCCCGCAGATTCCAGTGGACTTTTGTATTGAAATAGTTGCAGAAGTCAAAAAATTGTTATAAATGTTTTGGAAAATTGAAATACGTTTATAAAAAAAACTAAGTTTTTGAATGCAATGGTTTTCTTCATAACTTTGGCCGTGAACACAGCGCAAAAATGTCATATGCGAAAAACGCGAGCAAGCCACTTTAAGTCCTAGTCAGTTGCCATGTCAACGGCGTCGTAAACAAATTGCTGTGCAGAAAAAGTTGGAAATTTGCACCGTACTTTGCTGATTTCTTTTGCAGAAAAATGTCAAAGGGAAAGAAAGTAGAATTACAAGTATGTTTAAGTAGTTTCCTATCCTAAAATATGATATACTGTATCGATAATGAATTGGCATTCAAAATAATTGGAGTCGATCTATAAAGTTTATGCATTGTTCATAATTTTGCATATTTTTTACTTTTTTGCACATTTTATTTTTCCCTCGGGGACAAAACTACATCAGGGATCTAACAGCTAACAAAAGATTAGATGTCTTTAGCGATAGCTAGCGATTAAAATTGGTAAAAAAAAATGTAGAGCCAAAAATAAACGTATTTTAATTATCATTTGTACCTTTATTTTCGTGGTACGTTGGTAAAGGTTTTGGGTTATCAAAACCAGATTATAAAATCCATAGCCATAAGCCATACAGTTCTCAAAAAGCTTGTTCTAGAAACCCTCGCTGGAAATATATGTACTAAAAACTTCAACAACTATGTACTTGCAGACTGACTTGCAGTGCAATCTCTGGAAAGCATGTCTGCAAACTTTTGCGTTGTCTATTAAGAATAAAATTCCCGCCATGAAGTTTCAAATAATAATTGCATTAAATATTGATGTTCGGCTTTGCAAATCATATACCTGTCATAATATAACTCATTCTGTGTTTACAGAAACAATATTTACTTTATAACACTTCGTATGATTAATTATAACGCGCTTGTTGCTATGCTGTGTAAAAATAGTGTAATTTCTGCTGTAGCAGCTTGTACTTTATTATAAATGGCGTATTTGAAAAAAAACCCAGAAGCGCAAAAAGACCTTCAGGCATGTAAAACCTGTTTAATATATGTTTACAAACGAAAAATATATAAATTGTTGACTTTGTTGTTGCAGATTATATATCTAATTCTAAAAATGTATGTTCTATACTTGTGCATATATTAATATAACTTGTAACAATTATATAAAAAAATAAAAGAATATACTACTTCATAAGATGAAAAGAAATTTCTTGTGCATATAATCTATGGATTTCCTAAAGAGTAATATTCTGAACAGACCCAAACATAGCGACTATGGTATGTTTGATAAATGTGTGTATCCTAACAATATTACATATATATGCAGTTCATATATGTTGAGAATAGCATTATGGCAATGATATATTGTCAACATTTGATGATAGTCATTAGTCAGTCTCCGTAACTTGGGAAGAAGACTTGAAGCATAAGTCTGATAATTGAAGTTTCATTGAGAAATTATTACAGAATGGCCTAGCTTGCTTTGAAAGTCCTAATAGCTAGCTTGTCAATAGAATCAGTTTCAAATTGTAATAGTCTAGAACTGTAATTCCAGTTTATAAGTCTTAAAGTGTATGTTTCTGTCCCTTTCATACCAAGGCAGAAGTATAAAATTAATGTCCAAAGATGCACACAAATATATTAGTATCCCATATATTAATTGTGATATATAGCAAGCATAATTAAGACACAAAAAACTTGTCTTGCTTGCCTTCATTATGAGAAACATTTGTTGTGACCCTTCTTGTTATTATTTAGTGTGAAGTATTCAGTTGCAAAACTCACACATATTCATTTTTACTGTCCAGGTCAGTGTGAGTAGTCAAGACCAGTGGGAAGAACTTCTTCAAAAAGATGGCCTCATTGGTAGGATTTTAGTTAAATATGTCATATTAATAATATATAACTAACAACTGGGGTATATGCATGAGGTGGTACTAAGATTTTTCTGTTGAAGAAGGAGTAGTGTCAATTGCCTTGTATCCATTCTAATAATATATCCTGCCCATATAGTTGTCGATGCCTATGCTGCATGGTGTGGACCATGTAAAGCTATTGTGAGCACATTGAAACGAATAAAAAATGAACTAGGAGATGATCTGCTACATTTTGCTACAGTAAGTTCGTAATGTGCTGTACGTACTACAGCTCAGGTATATCTCAGACTGCAAGAGATGTACCAGTTGGGAACCATGATAGGAAAACAAAATAAGAGCTAGATGAAGCTAAGGCTTTGCTATTGTTGTGTCTTGTATGGCAGTGCATATATATCCATATAGTTCTAGCTGTTTAACATCATTGGTTATTAACTGGTGATTACTGCACTTTTAGGCAGAAACAGACCAGATTGATTCACTCTCTCTATATAGAGGAAAATCTCAACCTACTTTTCTTTTTTACTCTGTAAGTAAATCGGTAATTTCAATGACTGACTGATTTTGATGTGAATTTATAAAATGATCAACTAGTCTGTAATGCTTTCACTTGTACTTGCTTAATTGGTTATCAGTTAATGCAACATAATTGTGTATCTATATCTAGAATGGAGTTCTTGTTTATGTGATCCGCGGCTGCAATTGTCCCTTCATGATTAAGACCATTACAACCCAACTGGAAAGGGAGCACAAAATTCTGGAAGGGAAGGCAGAGCGTTCAGAGGTATGATTGAAGAAGATTAAGAATAACACCCCAATCATTTGATCATATTTGAATGTAAATTTGTGCGTAATAAGTATTAAATTAAAATAACACTCCAATCTCTCCACATGCATGCCATGATTATGTATATGCCTGCAATTACTGCCTCTCAATGTTTAATCATAAGTAATGGTTCAATATTGATCATGCACAGTACATTTCTGTTCTTTAATTAGTATATTGATGAAGTTGTTGGTGCTAAGCCCAAGGAAGATGAAAAACTTACAAAGGAGGAGGGTGAAGAAGATGAAGAAATAGGTATAATTTCATTAGTTTTTGACAGACCTGAACAAAACCCAACAAGTAAAATCCTACCAAAAGAGCTAGAAAGGGCTCGTACCTGTGATATGTATAGCTGGCTGCATCTCCTTGGTGTAGATGTCACATCTTCATGCACATGTAGTAGAGATATTTGATTTTCTTTTAGCTGCAAAGATGACAGAGTCAATGTTACATTTGAACAGTAAAGTTAGCTTTAGAGATATGGAAGGATATGTTGAGACAGGTAGCAATTATCTAGTGAAGGACAGAATTCCTAGTTTAGTTTTAGATATATATTTAGAGACTTAATAAGCCTATATTACACTAGCTGACACTACAGGAAAGAAAGTAATTTGCTACACTTTCTAGCTGTGTGATACATATGTCAAATTGAAGGTTACCACTAGAACAGACCATCGATCATCTATTTCATTTTTAGAAGTTCGGAAGGAGGTGTCATTGGCTATTATTAAACCAGATGCAGTGAAAGCAGGTCTTGTTGAGGATATTATTGAGAAGGTGATTAAGTTGTAGTAAAATACAAATTTTGTTTGTTTCGTTTAAGTATGTCTTCTAATCATTCTAGTTGGGAATTAATAGATTTGTGTAGTCTGGCTTCTTTGTGGAATCGAGCCAAGCTGCGATGCTTTGCTTTTTGTTGAAGGTGAAATCAGAAGGAATGGAGATATTACGACAGGAAGAGAGAACACTGACGAGAGAGGAGGCAGCCGAGTTTTATAAACAACATGAAGGATCTGAACACTTTGAGAACCTTGTGGAGTTTATGAGCAGGTTAGTACATGCATGGTGTATTCTTATTGTGGATGTATTAACTAGCCTCGTGATGGAAATCTAACCAATGCAATAGCCTAGCAGTGGACTAAACAACTGAGATACACAGTCTAGCTGCTTAAGTTAAGTCAGTAAATTCGTCTTTGGAAGAAATAAGGAGAGATCAGGATATTCTTGTATATCATAACAGAGTGAACAGACACCATACTGCATGGGATACGTACCTCGCCCAGGGCTGATGTCTTCAATCTCTTACTACAATGTTTTTGATAACTTTCCAGTGGTCCATGTATGACATTGATCATCAGTAAGGAGGGAGCAGGCGAGGGAATTATTCCACAATTCAGAGATCTCATTGGTCCAAAAGATGTGAATATTGCAAAAGAAGAGGCCCCAAATAGGTGTGTATATACTCGACATAGAGTTTCCATGTTCACATGTGGAATTTTGCATAGATTAACACCTGGTTTTTCTTCTCAGTATTCGTGCTGTGTACGGAACCAGTTCAGTGATGAATGCAATCCATGCTTGTGATACCTCTGAAAGTGCTGCAAGGTAGACGAAGATGTATTTGAGTTATTATTTAAATAGTTTTGCTGCAATTTTATCAATTTAGGGCAGGTTCCTGCCCTCAAAGCTGCCCAACCCAACCCAACCCATGGTTAACGCAAATCTTTAATTTCCAGGGTTCAATCATTGCAGCCCAGACTTTGACTTGCGCCAGTGTCACACACGTGCAAGTCAAAGTCTAGGCTGCCTACGTTTCAATATGTAGTCAGAAATATTTTTTTTTGTATGAATGAAATTTTTTCCAGGAAGTGTTAAAACGAAAAGTTTAACAGTCATATCGCGAATAGCTTTTATTAGAGTAAGTATTTCAACTAGCTGTTTTTGGTAAATCTTATAGGGAATTGGCGTTCTTCTTCCCCGACTTTGTCTCGCCGACCGTTAAAACTAAAAAAGTCGCAAAGGAAAGCAGTCACCGGACGCTGGCTCTGATACGACCTGATGCATTACGTCATCATAAAGGTTAGTGCATAGTCAGACTGGAAGTACACAGAGTACAGAGAATGACCACTTTATTATATAAAACCCATTACAGTTTAATTAAGTAATTACTCAGCTGAGATAACTTCAACAGATTTATTTACAAGGGATATTGTATACAACAGGAATAACAGCAAGGTCTTTCGTTTGTGACTTTGTACAGTAGCTACCAACAATGAAACTTTGATATCCATTTTCACAGATGAGATTCTGGAGAAGATCAAGGAATCAGGATTCTCCATTGCAATGGCAAAAGAAGTGACTTTAACTCAGGAGGAAGCGGAAGATTTCTATGCTGAACATAGGGGGAAAGACTTCTTTGAACCTCTTGTGCGAAACATGTGCAGGTAAACTCCATATATACCTCTTGTGCAACCCTCGAAACACTCGTGGAAATCCTCCTGCAGGAACGCTCGTTGAAGCTTGACGAAGTATTCGGACCCTAAATATATATAACCAATTGATGTCTATGTTTTTCAGTGGTCCAGTTATGGCGTTGTGTCTCGCGAGAGAGGATGCGGTGGAAGGATGGAGGAATCTGTTAGGACCCAAGGAAGTCGATGTTGCGAAGTCGGAAGCACCAGAAAGGTATGAAAACTCGTACCTCTTCTTCATCTACTTCAATTGATGGAGTGTAGGAAACCCATATATTCTTGTACAACTTTGCTCAACGCCTTTCCTTCCAATTTTTCAGTTTCCGTGCGCAGTTCCACGTGGACGAGAGCGATATGAACCCGCTGCATGGCTCTGAATCACATTCTGCCGCCCGGAGGGAGATTGAGAAGATATTCCCAGTCGAGACGACTGTTGCTGTTATCAAACCTGAGACAGCCGAAGAAAGTGCAGGTGGGAATATGTTTTCAGGATTCAGGAATGGTCTCAGGTAACACTTAACGAACATTTGACCACGTTCGTTTTCTCTCGCAGAACAAATCGTGGACCGTATCAAAGAGGCAGGATTTCGAATCATTTCCCGGAAGGATGTTGGTTTGACGAAGGAACTCGCAGGGCAGTTTTATCACGAACACGAAGGAAAAGACTTTTTCAACGGACTCACTGATTACATGAGCAGGTTTGTATATGCAGACCTCCTCATGCCAAACTGCCCTAAAAGCGCAACTCTTGTGTGGATACTTCAGACACAAAGCATCCACTTTACTAAACCCGCAAATAATCATCGACGGCAAGAAACACATTGCAATATGAAGCTAGTAGGATAACGAGAATCACTGAGCAAAACTGTACTATACATAGTGATGAGTAAGATTCGACCATGGTCGAGTTTGCCGGAAAATGACTAACTCGACCATGGTCGAGTTCGCCAAAAAACGACTAACTCGACCATGGTCGAGTTCGCCGGAAAACGACTAATTCGACCACGGTCGAGTTCGCCGGAAAACGACTAATTCGACCATGGTCGAGTTCGCCGGAAAACGACTAACTCGACCATGGTCGAGTTCGCCGGAAAACGACTAACTCGACCATGGTCGAGTTCGCCGGAAAACGACTAACTCGACCATGGTCGAGTTCGCCGAAAAACGACTAACTCGACCATGGTCGAGTTCGCCGGAAAACGACTAATTCGACCATGGTCGAGTTCGCCGGAAAACGACTAACTCGACCATGGTCGAGTTCGCCGGAAAACGACTAATTCGACCATGGTCGAGTTCGAAAACGACTAACTCGACGTCGAGTTCGCCGGAAAACGACTAATTCGACCATGGTCGAGTTCGCGGGAAAACGACTAATTCGACCATGGTCGAGTTCGCCGGAAAACGACTAATTCGACCATGGTCGAGTTCGCCGGAAAATGACTAATTCGACCATGGTCGAGTTCGCCGGAAAACGACTAACTCGACCATGGTTGAGTTCCCCGGAAAATGACTAATTCGACCATGGTCGAGTTCGCCGGAAAATGACTAATTCGACCATGGTCGAGTTCGCCGGAAAACGACTAACTCGACCATGGTTGAGTTCGCCGGAAAACGACTAATTCGACCATGGTCGAGTTCTGGTGTTACACGGAGTAAAATGCTGAAAATAGGGCGCGTTAATTGCCAAGCACGTTGTGTGGATAGATGCAGTATGAATGAATGAATAAATGATGAATAAATGAATGTATACGTTTAGTGGTCAGAGCACAGTTTTGCTTTTGGAAAGAGAGGATGCGGTCACAGGATGGAGAGCCATGATGGGTCCAACAGATCCCGAGGAGGCAAGAGAGAAAGCGCCAGACTCGTAAGTAAAGAACTTCTATCTAGATCATTCATGTCGCCTTGTTGTTCATGTTTATCGCGAGCATCTGGGATGACAATTGTCAGCAGTTATTTAAATTCTTTACTAATTCCTGGCAAAATAATCGTAGGATTCACCTGTGAACTAGGCTGTCAACGTGCATCAGGCCAGAGTGTTTTCACCAAGTTGTTTGTCTGATATTTTTTCTTTGGTTCTTATTCCTTTCAGTATCCGCGCTGTATTCGGCAAAGACATCTGTAGAAATGCGGTGCACGGTGCGTCGAACTTGGACAAAGCTGGACAAGTCATCGACGAATTGTTTCCCGAGGTGGAGCTCCTGCCAAATGGCAAAACCATAGGTGATGATTGCTTTGTAATTTTGATTCTTGAGAGATACACGTCTATATTGAAAGCCATCAGGGCCGAATATCCTGTTCATCTTTTTTTGTTAATATTTCGTCGTCAAATGTTACAGTGTCTCCTCAAATTCCGACGTCTGAAGGGAATGCATTAAGTGAGAACCAGGAACGCGACCAGAATAACTTGCAAGGTATTGGGATGGGAAAGGACAGTCATCAATCAACTCGATCTCCATAAACTTCAATGCATTCGCTGTTTATTGTTTTATTTCTTATGTGAGGGTTTCCACATCGGTTCGTCCAGCACGGATGTCTCCAGCAACGCTTGCACCTCTCGACCATATTAAACAAATCTGTCGTTGTTTGATGTATTAGATTGTATTCAAAATGTTTGTTCCAAAGTGTGTTAATAAGTTTTCTCGTCGTCCATGGCGCGTTGAAAGCTAGAATGTTGACTATCGCAGTTATCCCATCCCAAGCTGAAATGCATGGGATGGGATATATAGCATTATAATTATTTTGTGGGTGTGATTTTGATGTATCCATCATTCTGTTGTATTTTTCAGACGGTGAAACGCAGGGCACTGAAGAGGGAGCTGCAGATGGCGGTGTCCAAGGAGAGAAGGACGGTGGTGAACGTACAGAGGCTGGAGAACAACAGCTGGATGGTGATGGAAACATGACTAAGGAAGATGATGGTGCACAAGGTGAGGCTGATGGTACGCCCAGAAGTGATGGCACCACAGGTGATGATGCACCAACTGCTGGTACAACAAACACTGAGAGTGTTACTAAAGAGAAGGAGGATAGTACAACTGATGCTATCGTTGATTCAGCTGTTGCTGATGGTGCTGCAGAAACCACTCCAGATGTTACTGGTAGTAGTGAGACTGCTAATCAAGACGGCGATACCAAGCCAGATGATGGTGCCACTACTAAAAACACCAAAGATTCCACCGCGGTTCAAAAGACTGACGAGAGCACGACAATAGATGATAATGCAACGACTGACAGCAAGGTTGGAGAAGAAGCAACAACAGATGGTACCACTCCAACACAGAACGAAGGCAGCGGTGATGGCCAAAACACACATGATGCCACAACAGATGAACAACCAAGTAGCGCATTAAAACCAGGTCAAGATGATCCATCAAAACCAGATCAAGATGATCCAGCTGATCTATCAAAGGTAGATCAAGATAATCCAACAAAAACAGACCAAGATGATCCACCAAAACCCGATCAAGATCCACCTGCTACCACAAAAGATGATCCTGAAGCAGTTCAACAAACTTGAGTGAAATAATGATAGCAAACGTTCGTAAATAAATAAAACCAGGTGTAAATAGTGCAGCGAAATATTTATTCACATTATTAATATATTTTTAAAAGAGAATAGGCTTGAACACTTTTAGCGAGGCGCGGTTGTCACATCGTACTTGTAATACTGCTTTTTATCGCCAAAAAGCGATACTGACTAAGGATTCTCGAGCACGTCATAGAATTTACATGCAATGCTGCATTGTATCAAGCAAAGTAGATGACTTAAAGTCTGTGATCATAAACTTAACATTTCGCATGAGGGTCCTTAAAATCTGCTAGAACTACATTTGTAACACCGACAATCGCTCTTGATTGTTCTCAGAATTTCCTCTGTTGTTTTGGCCGATATTTTCCTGTTAGCGAAGATGCTGCTGATTACTACATGTGCTGAACTTTGTGGAAAATTGTCGGGAAAATGGATGCTATATGTTTTCTGGTTATGCTGGATCGTCAGTTGCATATTATGGTGAATAGAGTCCCTACTCATCTCAACTTTACTTGCTGGAGCTGGAAAGGCACGAGTACATTGATTATAGATACTTCTCAAAGTCTCTTCACCCCGTGATGTTGTATACCACTGCAATGGTCGCTCTGGGCTCCTGGATGCTCGATCATCGCGCCTGTCCACAGGAACACGTCTTTCATGAGGAATCACGGGCCTGTCCACAGGAACACGTCTTTCATGAGTATCTTCTCTGAGCCTGCGCTCAGGCGAACGGCTGCGGTGTGTTGCACGGTCAGACTTAAACTTTACGAATGGACTTTCCATTGGTAATTCCTGAAGGGGTCAGAGAGCAAACCAAAGATGAATATTCAATGCAGATGAAACAAAGGCATTTTAAATTTTTCGTTTCATACACATGTTTTGCATCTACAGCAACACTACATACTGAACTTGAATACTTTGTACCTTAATAAAACATTTGATAGGAGCAAGACCATCTGGTTGAGTCAAAGACGGTTCCAATACTGCACCATCATTAAATATAACCAACCATCTTCCACGACCGTGTCGACGATGACCTCGACTCATTGACTGTGGTATACACTGACCGAGTAATTCAAGGCCCAATCTCTCCGCGGGTGAACTACTGCCTTCTTCACAAATATATTGCACGACAGGAGACGTGGAGTGGGTCCACAAACCGTATAAGTCCCAGCACCGACCTTGATGTTGTTTCATTCGTTGTGCATCTCCACTGAAGATGTACACGGCGTAAGGGTAGCTGTAGCGAGAATGATCTCTTTCGTGCGAGCTTTGCATCTTCTATCGTTTTGTAACCGGTAGAGGAGACCTTGTTGCTGCTATCAAGCGTTTATCCCTTCTTTATACACCTCTATCAAGCGTTACAAGTCTATCAAGCGTTTGTTCACAAACTCTACATTCGAGTACACTGTGTTCTCGCCTCAAATCTTTCTACAAATGCGACAAATTACAAATCGTAAACAGTCTAGCAATAGTTTCTTCCGGCTTTTCTTACGACATGATTTCGGCGGAATTCCAGGAATCATTCTTTCCCGGAATTGCGAATTCTTGGTATTACAAACATTTGCATATGAGTGTTGAATTTCACGTCTACGATACGAAATTCCTGCTTGATATTTTATCAGTTCGATATCTTTTTTATATGAACGAACGCGGTTAAAATTCTATTTTGATCTTCTTTCCCTTTTGCTGAAGATTTTAATGTTAGACGTCATGAGATGCTATGTTTACATTGTAGCCATGGCAATCCACCAGTTAGTCCACTATGTTTTCCTCTCAGGAATGATGGATTATAAAATTAATTACAAGGCAGAAGTCATGACTCATTGCAGAAAATCTACTTGCTCTGAGCCCGGTTGTAAAAAACTTTTTAACTACATTTTGCATAGTTAAATCCCAGTTAACTCAGAAATATACGACTCTGATTGGCCAACTCCGTCCTTAAAAGCAACTACAGTAACTATAGTCTTTTATACAAGTGGCCCCTAAAGGCTGAAGGCAATTTTATGAGTTGAATGAGGCACAAAAGGTTCCAAACCATTATTCCTTTTAACAGCTAATAACTTATAGTTCCAAAAACTTTAATTGAATTAGCTGTATATTAGCCGCAATATTATAGTTTGAAGCAAGACATGACCTTTGTGTTTGCATTTTTGTCGTGACGTAATCCTCATCCAATTAACAAGATTTCAAAAGAGTGACGCACGCATGTCGTGTCAGCCTATTGTAGCTTATTTTAGACACTTTCATGTTTGCCGCCCTTCCAAGCTTTGAGTCTCGGTTGGAGAGACGTTTCCCAAACCAACATTTCCTTCGTTCAATGATCGAGTATCATTCGTATAACATTTGCACGTCAAATAAGCTGTTTTTCGCTAAATTCGTATGTGATAAAGTTGCAATGCATAACAATTATGATAATATCGACTAAATCATTGCGTGACTCAGCAGAACTTAGAGGAAGCCATGGGGCTCTTGGTTTGTCAACTGGTTACCACTTTATGGAGAAATGCAGTTCTTGTAGATTTATTTCCATAGCAAATGCGATGCATCAAAATGAGTTTACTTTTCACTTAACAAAAATCAGATTTCAATGCATGTTAATTATAATGTCCACGAATATTGTATTTGGCTTGTAATATAGGTCTTAATATTTATCAATAACCCTCGTTGGAAACTGTTTTTGCTGCCATGAAGTACAACGATACTGGTCGTGTCGAAAATGGCCAGGTATCAAAGCTAGTAAAGTTGCAAGGAAATGAAACGGTGAACTAATTAAAATATCGATGTATATATATACATGAGGCCGGTAATTTTCATTAACGAAAGCCGCGTAATCCCACAAAGACGCAGGTATCCGTAGGAATAATCCTGTTCATCCGCGTTGATTTTTATTGCATTTGGCGTTCTTAATATGGAAATCTGTCTGACCTTTTGTAAGCTGGTCTTCTTAATTTAGTGGTAATTTTAAGCAGGACAATAGCATCAAGGGATTAAGATGACACTTTTTGTAGGTTCGCATGTTTTTTTACACTGTAATTAGCGAACGTGGTCACCTGCTGTGGTCAGGTTCTGCCCACCGTAAGACAGTAATAACTTCGAACACCGGGTTACAATAAGATATTGATCCTTTGTCGTAGGGTTATAATGAAAAATACTACCCTCGTTAGAATGTGTTATATGAATGATACTGATTGGATTCATAGGAATGAAATGTTACATGCATGAAAACGATACACCTATAACCAATACGGGCATACCTACGATACATACAAAGTATGCATACCTACGATAGTTAACACCTAATTAGTTTGTTTCTATCGCTGAAAAAAACACTACGTTTTCCTCTCAAGTTTAAATTCACAAATTGTACGCATCTTTCGCATAGCGTAGATGATGCTAGGAATGTCATCAAGAGCCAACTAAAGATTTTCTTATTCTGTAAAATAGGTAAATATCTTGTACACAATGAATAAGTTCTGCATGAAGTTTCACTGGCTCTACCATCATTAATCATGTTTTGAAGCAATATACAACACACAGCGTTCGCAGTTGGAGAGTATATATATATGAATTATTTTCCCAACTCTTCTTTTTTGGCCCTTAAGGCGCGATTTTTTCCTACTGTTAAAAACTTTACACAACTTAACGTCTGAACGCAACAATCAAATGGAACCATGATTGAGCGAATGTCACTCACAAAACCTGGCTAAATACACGTGAGTGATATTTCATATATTGACATGTTGTGGGACCCCACACTGCTCGATCGCTGATGTTTCAAATTCCGCGGTGAACATCTGTCGCCAAACAACTATTTTACGCATCTATCAACATATGTCGCATTCAATACACAACAACTTTATTTCATAACTAAAATATCTTTCCGTTGTTTTTTGCGGTACAGTTGCATGCAAAGTCCTATAATATTTAAGTTTTTTATTGTTTATTGTTTGCTCAACTAATATAATCAAATATAAAGCGGCCACTCTTTTTCTATCTCATGAATTTTGTTCTATGAGCAAGAAGATGAATGGAACCCATGTAGCAAGACAATGCCGGGTCTAAAAAGAGCATCGCAGAATGAGTAAAACTGTAAATCCTGGCTTCGAAATACTGTAAAATTAATCAGAAAGATACAGCTATGCGAAATCGATAAATTTAGAATATTAGTTGTATTACGGGCGAAAAGACAACCAATTTAGCTTCAAAAAAGGTATTTTTCACGGCGCGTGATATAAAAGTTTCCCAATTTACGAACTTTGCAGGACTATATTTTCGACGTTCTAAATATTTTGTAATTATAAGTAAGCAATTGCGGTTTTTCTATTTTAATCATAGAAAGCTCTAATAACCACCCTCTAACAATCACCCTGAAATAACCACCCTGAAATAATCACTCTCCAAAAGCCACCCTCTAATAACCACCATGAAATAACCACCCTCGAATAGCCACCCTGAAATAACCACCCTCTAAAAGCCACCCTGAAATAACCACTCTCTAATAGCCACCCTCCGCTATGATAACCACCCTCTAATAAACACCCCCTACTATGATAACCACTCTATAATAATCACCCTCCAATAACCACCCTCTACTATGATAACCACTCTCTAATACCCCTCTATAACCACCAAATATCTTAATTCTTATAATCAATCTGAGCCCGTCAATTGACACCGTCCAAAAACACTCCGGCTAAGTCCTAAGGATCTCTCCTCCTCGTTTTAACGTTATTTATAAGGTTTGTTTTTGTTTTAATGCCAAAGTCATTAAGTAGGACTTAAATTTTGAGTAGGGGAGCTTTTTTTGATATATAGAGCTCCGGGGCTCCTTTCGATAATAACAAACATAACTTTTCAGACCCAGTTCATGATGCAGACCTCACGATTTAACGAAGTCTGGGTAGAAAGATGATTTAGTTCCCGTGAAAACCTCGCTTTTAATTAATAATTCTAACCTAAAGCAAGATTTTATTTCCGAAATATTTTAGCCTTAATTAGTTCATTCTTTCCTAAATGACACTTATTGTTCTTCGACTTCCGAAACAGACGAAGTTTTAAAAGTCTCTAAAAGCAAAACAAACGAACACAGCGGACGTTTCCGTTCCCTGGCCGGCTATTTCCGATCTTGATAGGCTCGCTACTTAACCCACATCAAAACCTTCAGGATTCTGCAGCAAATTAAGTTGTTTTCACGACCCAACTGTGAATTGCTCGTATTTTTGGCCTTTTCTACGGACAAAAACAGTAGGATCAAAACGTATCCTTTCTTCGTAATGGGAACCACTGCATGCGCTCATGATAAACGTTGCCTTGGAACAAACGAGCTGATATTTCAACTTTCATTTTTTAATTGAAAGAATATCAAAAATTCAAATAATCTTCCCCTACGGGAGGGGTAAACGACATTAATTCTTAACAACATCAAGCTGGCTTCAATTTTCACTGATCAGAGTTTCTATACTGCGTGGGTATCATACCCAGTTCATTTCAATGCAAAAAATTCAGTCTTGCTTTTTTTGCACACTCTCAACTCTCAGTAATGCTCAATCCAGGCACAATTTAGCAATCATGCTAACGTTTAGGAATGAAATATTACTATGAAATATTATAATATACGTAATATTCATTAAACTTAACTATGCTTTGCTGGTGATGAAGTTAAAGTACATGCACTGAAGGAAACCTCTACTATAAAAGTGACTACAATTTTCCTCGTTTTATACCCCAATGAAAGTATACTATATTATCCCTATAAACATATGTAATCACACAGCATACATAAACATGATAAGCGCAAAGATCGAAGGCAACTTGCATTAATAATGCAAAAACAGTTTAAAATCTCGGCACGAATTACTCAGCATGCATGTTTGAAAAATACGACAAACTTACTTGTCAGAAACAATTGGGGCAATAAAATTTCATGATTAATTATTGAAGATCGATGCATACGGTATGTAGATGATATGAAATCTGAATCATAATTACAAAAAGCTTTTATTGAAAAGCCACTCAGGTCGCACAAAGGTGAACTCTATTTGGATACAGTTGTGTGGCCAAGTTCAGTATATAAGAGTGCTGTTTTCACGAAAATAAATTCTATACTCACATTCTTGCGACTCGAATTAATAATTTACTTTATTGATTGCTTAGTCTGTAGTTTATTGGCGACAATCACGTCCTTGCAATGGCTAATCAGCAAACTATATACACAAACATCGGAACAGAGTTTGCAATATAACGTGGAGGACTTTATGCAAACGTGGCGTTTTATCTTCAGTCATCATAATGCAGTAGATTGATCTCATGATAACATGCATTCAACACTATATTTTACCACGCCTATCTCAAGAATGGGGAACATACCCCTATAATAGAAACCCTCAGAACTATACAGCCTGACATTTGCGCTATGAAGTGCTTTATATTGTTAAGCGTGCTGGAATTATAGCCAATTTCAACCCTAATATGGAGTTCGGCACACGTGCATGTAGCAATGGTTGATCAACTAATAGTACTCTCAAAGTATATTAAAATATAGATGATTGAGACTTTGAAGATGAAAATGCTGAACAAAGCACCTCTTTAACCACCAAACATACATAGAGCATATATATATATAGAAGATAAATATTCATTTCTGATATTCAATATAATTGTGGTTTAACAGTCACCATGCCTGAACTCAGTCTGTGTGTGAAAAGGATTATCCGTCTACGTGCACAAGGGCGTCCCTTGTACCGTTTAGGCGTCCAGTTCTCACGGTCAGAGGGAAAAAATATTTCTAATATAAATTGGCTCCAACGCAAATTAATAGCGTTTGTTTCCGCTTTTGTGGGAGAACACAAAAAACTTTTACGATGCACACGCACGTAATCTCAAATCACCGTGGCAAGATTGTGAAGAACGTTTTGCGATTAGCTTTCGCTTTTCCAAGTTAAGCATATATCATTTGGCGCATATTTTTCAAAAGATTTTCGGCAACACTTTCAATGAAGAATATTGCGCCAAATCTTTACAATTATCGTTGAGGACACTGACCAGTGTCGTGATAACTTTGAGAAATGACATTGGCGCGCGATAACCACAGATAAATATCTCAAAGTATTTATAGTAGCCAAGCTATCTATAGAATTCATCATGCATAGGTATACATACTGTGTAATTTAAGCAGAAACTAAAATTACCTGCATATACGTATCTCTGGGTACCATTCGGCTGAATCGCATCACATTGTTGAAATCTTGCACACAAACCCTATATAAAAAAGATTGTATTCCGTGTCGATCATTCGATACATTTGATGTTTGACATATTTTTTTTTCGTTAAGTGAAATAAAAATTTTCTCCTTGACTTGACTAAGACAATACATCACACTTGGCCACCACGCCCCCTTCTGCTTTTAAACGGAGCATTTGTTTTGAAAGTCAGGTAGAACGGTGGGAACCTAAATTATTGGTCTTGCTTCGTTAATTCTGTATTTGTATACTACATACTAGACCTCGCATACGAGTGTGGAGCGCAGACTGCTGGAATATTAGAAACGTTTAACAATTGGATCGAAACAAAGACATCATTCACTTGCTATGCATTTTGTTCGTCATCCTCTCTACGTGTTTTAAAGATATTTCAAGTTGATGATGTGCAATTTGAGGGAAGTCATTTGAATAAAGCTTTGTTTCACTCAAGTTTGACTCGAAATGTAGTACTGACGAAGTGTTCATCCGTGTTCATATTGTTCAGAGCGTCCGGAGTAGTCGAAAAGTTCACATCAAAATTACGAATCTCTGGAGGCTTGTGTAAAAAGTTGCTGGAAGACAAGCCAATTCTTAAGCAACGTATTTTTCTGATTTTTGATCGGAATTGTCGCCGTTACATGGGGAAGCGTGGATGCGTGAGAGGAATTCATAATTATAGAGTCACTTTATGAATTCAGGACACACGTTGAAAGATTTGGAAAAGATATACTGTGTTATTACGAAAGAGTTTCAAAGTCGGCGCATACCCTACCCTTGTTGGAGATCTTATTAAAATAATAATGAAAATTCAGCTGTTCTATCTTATCCTAATCACAATAACAACAACAATAACAAATTTAGCTGGCGGGGAACTTCATCTTCAAATGCCGTTGACAATAAATCCAGTCGTTCAAGAAATTGTGACTATACGAGGGCCAATCGTGCAGTTTTTCTCGGGACTGAACACGGAGTTCTACGCCAGGTTAAGCGTTGTCGATATGGTCGCTCAACTAGGACAGGGCTTGACTCAGGTCATGCGAAATTCCGTCCAAGGTGCGGTGGTTTTGGGAGAAGCCGCAAGATCAGACGGACTGAAGACCGATCAATTATTGTACAATCCTCGCAATAAATGGACAATAAACATCTCTTTGACCGATATTCGGGGAGTTTTAACAACGAGGGAGCAACATTTGTACCCAATTTCTGACAATATTACATTAAGTCTGCTACAGGACCTTGGAATTCGAGTCCTGGAAAGTAGATATAACTTGTCTCTTAGAGAACAAGCCGAACAATTGCACTTGTCAAATTCCAGTAGTTTTCAAGCTATTCAACAAGACTGGATTAATTTTGTCAAGTTTATAACGAAACGTAAGATCGACGAATTGGCAGCCAGACATGGTGTGGATATGAAAACACTTGCAAAGGCAATAAACGTGTCTTTGGGTGAGGTGTATGATATGACTTTGGGAGAATTGGATGAAATACTTTTGAAAGAGTTTGATTTTTATGTTTCAACAACTCCACAAACAACTCCAGAAGCAACGACGAGTAGAGGGACAACGAGATTACCAAGCACTTCAAGTTCACCCTCTTCATCAACTGAGGCCCCCACAACCCCAACTGAAGACCCCACAACCCCAACTGAAGACCCCACCACACCAACCTACCCCAAAACAAGTCTGCCAACACTACCAACCATCGGAAGTCGAACTACGGGTAAATCAACGTGGCGAAATCTCAATGTAACCACAAAAGCGGTAGGCGAGCCAACGGAAGAAAAGAGCGAGTCGACTAAAATAAACTTGGCTCTATTCATAGGAGTCTCTGGTGGCTTGCTTTTGTTGCTTGTGGCGAGCTCGTCTGTTTGGTGTTTCCGTCGAAAGCGAAGAGACACGCCGGAGAAAGAGAAAAATACAAATACAAACAGCGTGAATATGACAAACTTATGGTTGGATAAAACTGACAGCTCAATTCCCTCGAGTCCTGACGAGGTTCGAGAGAATGAACATCGTAGGTTCGTACGCAGTGTAAGTGCGTCTACGTTAGGAGTTGATTCGAGATTCAAAGGTCTTAGATACAGTTCTCCTAGACCTTCGTCTACGACTTTTGCCTCCACAACAAAGATTCCGATCTCGAGGAACAGTTTTATCTATGATAGCCGGAAAGAGATTTTTGTATAGAATAGTATTAAATATATAAAGAGCCGAGATATATTAGAACGAAGCGGAGAACCTACGCGTGAAGCTGTGTGAAGAAACACTTTTAGAATGGTACAGAAGATGACGGCCACCTTCTTCATCGAAACAAAACCTTTCGTTTTTGGTATTTTCTCACGCGGTGGTAGCCACTAGAGTTGACCTTCATCTACTGTATTTGATAAATACTCGACAGACTCCCTCTTGAAAAATCAATGAACTGTAAAGTAGACAAAATACAACACTTTGATACTCAAAGGTCTGAAGAGACATGAATATTTCCGCAAGTTGATATACCAGACTGTTGACCAACGAGGCTTCCAATAGAAGTATTACGATATAGAATATCTTATAGACCCATACCTCAAGACACATAGCATATGCGAACACTTGTCAAAATGAAATCACAATGATTTATATCACGAAAAGACGCGTAATATATAAATTGTACTTTTTTAAATACTAACAAGCACAGAGTCTGGGTATCCGTATAATATTGGACAAGGTGGAAGCCGAGTAAAATGACTATGGAGTTGAACAAATCTTTAACTGTATGATGCATTTCAGTTAATGTAAATTAATAATATTCTTGTATGTTTGCATGGTGACAGTCCATAAGAAATTTAGCTTGTAGGTACACCACGTAAGTATTTAATAAAGTATTAAATACTTACGTCGTGTACATACACTGAAGCTAAATTACTTAATATAAATTAGTAAATACCATTCCTAGGGTAATGTTAAGAATTGCTGATTACCAATGAGGAGGCAGCTATACTAATAAGCGAATGTAATTTAATTTATACCATGTATAACTATTTGGTATGAACCGTTTTCAATTGTAAATAAACCTTTTCTAAATAGCTAATAAATTTTGTTATGTTCCAACCGTTTGTTTCTTGAACGTTTGAACATTGAGCAAAATTCCTGTCCACTAGATATCTCATAAGTTCTTACAAGAAGTTCTTTTCAGTTTAAAAAGGAAAAAATAACTGAAGACTCTTTCTCTAGAGAGAGTATGCCTGACAAGTTCCTCGCGATAGCCTCAGCCGGCAGACGAGCAATATAGTTGAAACACAACTGCAAAGGGCTAATGAAGGTGAAACATTGTCGAAACGGTTCACGTGTTATTCCTTTTCACGGCAAAACAAGTACATAGCTATGTCTCAATATCGTTATCTTTCTGCTCTTCAACATCAAAACCCTTCATGAGCAAAACAACAGCGACGTTCTCGTTCTCGATGCCGGAAAGTAGAGCGCTTTTGAGCAGACGTTTACTGAGCAAGCGCGCAATTTCACGCCTTGTATATGAAGAATCCGTGTTGTAGTGCGTGAAAAGTCTCGATAATTCTTGTAAATCTTCATCGTCTTGTTCGGATTCCGAGAAATAGCATTTCTTCGAATTTTTCGCCGTCTCTTCTTCTTCCAAGAGAGGATCATCCTGTATAACAGACGCGCGCCTAATCACTATGGTTGGATTGTCTGGGTTCCACTTCACCATCTGAGGGACACGTGCATCGATAGGATTCACGTTCTGTTTCCTCAGGTAAGCCCGGTATTCTGAGTCGAGATGGACACTGGGAATTTCAAGAAAGCCTAGACCTTCGGGAGTTTTGCTTTTTAACAAATTCTCCTGTGAATTTTGCCGTTTATTTGACGCGTCGCGCAGGAATTTCCTCAACAGAAACAAGACATCTTCGTAACTAAATACTTTCCAGATACCTTCAGAGGCCAAAACTATCATTTTGTCCGTCGGTGCCAAATTTACAACACGAAACTTCGGCTTGTTAATAACGCATATTTTTAGTCGCCAATCTCCTTGGTTGCCCAAACCGCGCGTGGTGTCCAGGACTCCGTTCACGAGCGCGCATCTTTCCGTCTTCACGATGACTCCGCAATTTCTGCGCACGCGCAGGCGTTCCTTGCGGTTGTAGAGATCGTGCGATGAGGTAATCCCTCGAATCGTGTTGTTCCCTCTGACCAGAAATCCCCTGACGTTGCCTTCATTAGCGACGTAAAGGCTCTCGTTGAGAAGAAGACACGTAACAGCAGAGCAGCCGCTCCATCGTTTCCAGGGATGCTCTCCCTCACCGAGAAGTTGGATTCTGTCAATCCGCCGGTAAGCTTCTTGGAAAGCCGACTTGATGATCTCGGAATTCTGGCCATTTTCTGAGAAATGATGTTGCAGGTTTTCGCGAATGTCCCTGTGCAGCTCACGTGCGCACAAATTCGTGACGTAACTGCCGTTGTATCCTTGATATACGCCGAAAAATAGTCCCGTGTTTCCAAGAAAATTATCGACATGAACGGTCTTGGTTATGGTTACACCACGTTCCGGTGTGCGATGTTTGCTAATGCCGAGGAGCAAGCCTGAATTGTAAGCCTTTCCTTCCGTCCTGATGTCTTTCTCTGAAAAGGAACAAGTGAAGTTTTAGGAAACAAAATAGCTACAGTATCACAAAATAGGATCATTCGTTTTTAAAACAGTTACCATCAAAAAAACTCGATAAAGTTAGCTGCGCTTCAAAAAATACCCCACGAACCTCGCCAACGTGACGTGTTGATTACGTGTTCTTCGGTTCCTTCAACCTCAAACTTTAAAATTTCAAATGCCATATTTATCTTCTGAGTTAAATAGAAAATCTGCGCTTGGTCAAAAGCTTGCCTTTCCATTACATCTGTCACGGCTTTGTTCCTTCGACGGAGCAGACCTCGCATTGTTTTGGGCGGAAAATCTAACATGAAATAAAACAGGGAATTTAACCACTTTCTAGCAGGTGAGAAATTTCAGAAAAAGATCAAGTTGAACTCGTAAGTCGTGTACAAAGGAGAAATGGAACAAAACTATCCGAAAAGATGAAAGTGTATATTACAGAAGTACAAAACCTCATGGTGCATTGTTAAACAGTCGAAGTATAATGGAAGATGTAGTTTAAATTTCCATTGATTTGTATAATTGTTTAGCATTGAGTGGAGTTTATTGAAAAAGTAGAAAGAATCTGAGAAACTCTGAGGATAGTGTCAGTCATAGTTTATGGTATAAAAACAAGAAGTTGACGAAATGACTGGAGTCACTTCATTCAGACACAATCTGTAGAAACTCACCTGGGGAATATTTCAGAATATCCAAAGCTTCGTGCCTTCTTCGATGCCGGATCAAAGACCGCACAGGGATTTCATTTCTGCATTTTCTACAGAACACAACAACGTTGGAGTAGCGCAACGGCTGTGAAGATGCTGTTCCCACTCTTGACGTTGCTGTTGACGATAACATCCGTTCGCTAACATTGTCCGGTTTTGGTGTGGGACAGAACGAGGCCTGATCGCTATCATTGTCTCGTGAATGTTCCGTGCTATCATCGTTCAGTTCGAGTTCATAAACATTGATTGTGATCCCAGTCAGATCCGCACCACCGGAATTGCGGGCGCCAGACTCTTGCGGCTTCGCCCTGAAATGTTTGGGCAAAAACGGCAGCTCTTTTAGAAAACGTGAAAAAGACGACATGTACCAAGTTTCTTCGATAAAACTGAAGGATATTTATCGATACACGCATTCAAGAACACTGCAACTAACCAGTAACGTGAAAATACATAATATATTTCAGGATAACATAGAGTAAATATTGACATGCAATTAACTGAACATCTTGACAAATGCTTTCATTTTTCATTAAAATTTAACATGCTGTACGGAACCGAACAACTGACTTTCTTCATGAGATCTCAAGCAAAAGTTCACTCAATAACCAAATTCATTCTCTAGTTCATAGTTGTACAGCAATAAGCAAAATAACCGATTGTTTACTCAAGATGAAGTGAAGAACTAAATGTTTGCAAAAGAGCTTTAAATCGACTTAAGTTAAGATGCACGTCGTTAAAAAAATGCAAATACGAGGTTATTTATTATGCTTGCTTAGAGATTTTCTTTGATAAAATATTCCTTTGAATAACCACAGTTCAGGTTTAACGTTAACCAACAATTAATAATATAACACGGGTTTTTCGCTTACCCCAACACCATTCTGTGAAAAAATTCTGTTACCTTGAGTTGAAAGTCTACAAGTTGAATGTCTTTTGTGTTCTAATTGCAATAACTTGTTCTAATTGCATGCGTAAATTAATTATGTGATGTCATTGATACCTAACATGTTATTGGTCTTTGGGACAGATGAAAGTGAGATGCAGAAGTCTCTTTTCTGATTCCATTCATGTTATCAACATGCACTACAGTCTATCAACATACGAAAGCAATAAAAGAAAGCAATTGGTCAAAGTCTGGCAAATACTATGTTGTCGATATCCGCTAGAGCATCCAGTAAATGTTTGAGATCATTCGACGCTATCAAGCGCATTCGGGGAGCAGCACGTTGTGGTGTCATCGGGTGTCTCCGAGGGACTTCTAGCGGTGCTTAGGATCACAATGTTACACGCAGATACAAGGATAGCACCGATGACGCTATAAACATTTGGTTGGTGGTTCAGGAATATCATCTGAAATACGAACGCTAGAACGATATCAAACGTTCGAACCAGAGCCACTGTACTCGCCTTCTCTGTGCACAACGATTTACACAGCAAGCATTGACCCCCTAGAAATAAATTTGAAGTTTAAGACGCCTTCCACAAACAACTTACACATGCATTGCTAATTACAAAGACTCAGAACCTTTGAGCAATAAGTAAACTTTGTACTAGTAAGCTGACTCGGTGATGGGGAGAAATTGGAGCAATTGACATTGATTTCAGTTTCTCTTGACTTATAAGCTTTCAACTTGTGCTTTATATAAAACTCTATTTGAGGTTGAAATTTCAGTACAGTGAATTTTCATTAGCGTAATATATTTTGAATACTCACAGGTCAAATAACTCAATAAAGTAATTGAAAAAATGATTTGAAAAATGAAGACAAACTCAAAAATCTTACCTACGGCGCATAACCCAATAAGAACGATGTAAAATTGGTGGCCGCAGATGATGTGGCGAAAAACATCAGGTATGGTACACACAAGACCAGTTCCTATGACTCCAACCAAGGCGAGATAGAAAGACGATATGACGTAGTGCACGGATTGTAGTTTCTTCAGGGTTATGATGCTGATCGAGGTAAGAACAGCTCCACTGAGAGCCACGATGCAGGAGATAAAATGTTGCTTTGACTCAAAATTTGAGGCAACGCTACTGCCCGGCTGTGCGATCATCACCACGCCAAGGAAACACAGCAGGCCCGAGATCGCATCGAGTTTGCTCCATCTTTCAGAGAGAAAGCAATACGCCAGAATTCCGGTAAAAATTGGCGAAGAAAAAATGATCACCGTTGCGTCGGAGAGCGGCATGGTCTGCAGCGCGTAGAATTGAAAACAGAGCGCCGATGATCCGGCGATTCCGCGCAGGACGAGCAAGAGAGTCGCGCGATAGTTCTCTCGGTTGGGTAACGGATTTGCGCTGTGGAATATCATCATCGGGACGGTGAAAAGGAGTTGAATTAAACTTCGGAAGAACACGGTTTGAACGGCGTGAATTTCGTTGACAATGTGGACGAGAACGGAAGACGAGGCGAAGAAAAGACACGAGAGGATGGCATAAAGTAGACCCGGGCGTGAAAATATCCCCTTCAGCTTTCCCAGAAGCCAAAAACTTGGGATATTTTTGCCCAGGTTATTGCAAACATTCGCGAGTTGTGTGCCCATGTTGATATTTATGATGAAATGAGCTGCCGCCCTACTGACCTAACTTATCATTTGCTTTTCAAAGTAGAATAAAGATGCAGGTGTTTGTAACGAATTCAATTTTCACTTTAAGATCTCCAACATTTAATCAACACCCAGATACAACACTTTGACAACTTTGCCTTTTGACAAGATTTGTTTGATTAAATATTCAACATACCTTTTTCACCTGGATGTCAACTTTACATTGTTCTTTATAAAATGATATGTAGGTCATATGTGAGCCACAGATGGTAATGCCACAAAATGAGTTCTTTCAAATTGCTGCAAAATATAAGGTGTTCATCAAAAGTGGACTCTAGAATTGTGTATCCTAATAAATTGTGTAGCCTGCATTAAAATAATTGCAGTTAATTTCATCAAATTAATACCAAAAGGTGTATCTTTTTAAATTCAATTTCTGCAGATCCAAGGATTATACTGATTGCATGATTTGCTTTCAAACGCAAACTATATAAGTTTTATTTCATGGGGAACTTTTTTCATATTATGAAAATTGGATCCAGCCAACATATTGCTTTAAGCGAAGCCATTCAAACAAGTTAGGTTTACACATTTTCAGACTATTTTTCAGAAAAACTATTTTTGGATGAAACTTCAATGTTTAAAAAAATTCAAAATGTTTAATATACCACAATCACTTTCAAGGCTTTAGCTGTCATATCAGATTTTAAAACCTTGTCAACATTATGAAAATTGACAGGAATTACAGTCTTACTGAGACAGGTGCTAATCAGTTATGTATTTAAAAGATAGTGTCAAAATGGACTGTGCTCTTGGGAAGAGAAAACAATTTTCGTTTAAATACGAAATATTTCTTACAGAACCTAAGATAAATAAATCAGTCGTGCACGAACCTGCCCGAGGCGTGTATACATACTAGAAAATGAGTAAAAATACATACCTCTCATAAATCTGTTAAAAACATCTTCAAATTTCATGTATTACTGTACAACTTGTCAGTCTTTAATCTTTGACGTTTTCTTCATCGAAGAATACAACAATTTTTCCAAATTTACTAAGATTGTATATTTTATAGACGTTTTAAAATCAATTTCTTGAATACTTTTTTCAAAAGACCGACATTTTGAAAAATATCCAGGTTCGCGCCATTGGCCCTGACCGTCCCTGTTGATCCCATAATATGATCCCATTCATCCCGATGATAAGGTGGTTATCCCAGTTTATCCATACCATGATTTGCGCGCTGCAGAAAAAACATCCAGTGGTCTAAAAGACTTTCTACAAAAGTTTATTTTTGCTTTTCGGCATCTCACTGTACAATTCATATTTGCGTAATACGTTTCTTCTATATATTACATAAAATATTCGATAAATATACTATACATTTAAAAAAATCTACACATTTGTATGAACAATAAAATAATATTTGAAAAAACTACGATGTTCATGTTTTTATAAAACGTCTTCTGTCTTTTTACGGGTGGCGTAGCGACTCTGCTTGGCAGCCTTTGCCACTTGAGTGTATCTGACGTGACTAAAAACACTAAATATCTTATACTGTTGTTCAGTGTGTGTTGTTCAAAGGCCTTGACACATCTTTACCGTTTCTAAACTTTCTCGACAAAATTTATCATTCACCAAAGTGGATTAAGTGTTTGCAGACAAGTGGTGCTAAATGAAAATGCTTTCACAGCACAGTTACCTGATCGTTTTGCTCTTCAAAGTTTTTCTGGACCGTTCACAGCGCAAGGCTGCTTCTTTCTTTCCGTAAATCTTGTCTGTTAAACTTACTTTCCAACTGAGCAAGGCGATAGCTTTTTGATACGAAAAACGCAGACATGACCGCCTTGTAGACCGACACAAACGGTTCCATCTGTTGCGCATGCGATGGCACGAACATACTGCTCGAAATGAAACTCCTCCAGAAATTCTCCATTTTTCAAATCCCACAATTTTAACGTCTTGTCGCGCGCTCCTGACAATAGAAATTCGTCTCCTGGCACAACCGCCATGGACCTGATGTCGTTGGTGTGACCACGAAGTTTATGGTACGTCGCTCCTGTCTTGAAGTCCCAGAGCAGCAAAGAATGATGAGGGCCTGAAATGATAATTTGGTATACTCGACCTCAGTAATGAAAAAAATAGTGAAGGTCGAATATATATATCGGTATATGGTATACTCGACCTTGGTGATAAAAAAATAGTATACTGGTAATAATGGTATACTGGTATTTATTGCTAACCTTTCGAAGCAACACGTTCAGATTCATGGTTAATACGCACGACCTGCTCTCTCCCAGCACCACCATGCTTTTGCAAAGTAACCTGACCGTCAGCCAAACGCCACTGCACGATGCTGAAGCTGTGAATACACACTGCAATGAGAGAGGCGCCTACGGCCCGCAGAGCTGCAATTCCATGACACTTAAATTTGTACGTTTGCACTATTCCTGCAGCATTGATTCGATGAACCTGCAACGAAAACAAAGATACCGTTTGTATCATTAGCTAGGACGCAGTAAGAGCATTTTCAGTAGGATTTTTTAACTAGCCAGGATCCTGGAAGTCTTCAAATTCACCTCTTGAAATCAACAAGTAATCGATGTGTTAATCAATCTGTGTTATTTATTAGTTCAATTTCGCAAGGGGCAATTTTGCATCGGCAAACTTGAAAAAAATAGACGGAGGATTTAAAGTTCTACCAGAGGGATTTCTGCCTAAACACCTCTTGAAAAGCGACGTCCCAAAGTGGTTGTTGTAGTTAAATTCAGGGATTTCAACGTACCTTGCTTCCATAGGAACCAATCACAATGTCTTCAGATTTGGGCACGAACGCCAGGGTGGTTATGGGATTCGCGTGGATCTTATCATGTGACCACAGTTGGCTCCAGAAAGGTGGAACTGTTTTTGTGACGTACCAAAATTTCACAGAACCACTGACGGATCCCGACACGAAGAAGGCAAATTCGTTACTTGGATGGCTTTTAACTTGGGTAATGGCTTCCGAATGAGCCTGATATTTATGCTCATCTTTAAGTCCTACGAAACAATCGTATAACAACACTTCTCCGTTTTCACAACCAAGCAATATACATTTTGAGCCAAGCGGAGTAGCACAGGCCACTTTAATTGTTGGTTGAACCACAGAAGGTTGAGGTAATTCCAATTCAGCCTCGTTGTTGTTATGAATAAGTCTTAACTCGACTCGATTTGCCTCGTCAACAAATACAAAACGTTCGTCGTCTTTCAAGATGCTAACCAAGCGTACGCTGGCTCCGGATTGGGTCTTCTGGAACGTTTGAACAATGTTGGAGCTCTCCAAGTCCATCAGAGACATCGTTCCCGAACTGCTCCCAGACAAAGCTAGTTTTCCATTTGATGTTATGTCAATGGCAGTAACTACCGAGTCACGAGGATGACCTGAAGTTAAAGAAATATCTGATGCTACATGACGTATGTATACCTGACGAGAAGTTAATTACAGTGAAATGAGATCTCAAGTAAACCTGGAATAAAAGGAAGCGAAAAGGAGTGGAATCTGAAATGAGTTGAATGAAGAAGCGGAATGAACTGAAAACTGGGGAGAATGCTTACCTGCATTGTATCTGATTTCACGTGATGTCGTTAGTTCCCAATAAATAAACGAACTATCAGTAGGAATTCCTGACAATATAGCCTGAGCGTCGGGCAATACAACCATAGACGTACACTTTGGACAAGGGCCTTGGCAAATATTCTGCACTACTTGTTGTGTTTTGAGATCGATCAAAAAAACTTCCATATTTCTGCTACACGTTTTGATCATGTTCTTATCACGAGCTTCGTCCATCGTCGCAAAGGCAGGTGCTATCTCCATGGTCGTAAACACGGGTAAGGTGATACACATTAATGGTACATCGTAGTTTCTCCAATCCCAGATAAAGACTTGGTCATCATTGCAACCAACCACGACCAGCTTGCCGTCTGGTGAGAAGCGAACTATTCGAGGTTGGTTATCCGGTCTCTCTATACCAGAAATATCGCTTCCAAGAATCAGGTCCCAGACCTATCGGAATTGCACAAAAATATATACATGTGTTTCTACATTTTAGCCTTGTATATTCTCTGGCAGAAGTGCTGAGCTGCTGATTTTTGAGTTCGAGAAAAATCCCGGTACACAATCATGTCTCCTGGGGAAGGTAGTATAAAAAGTTGTAGTCAACTTTTAACTATAGTTAGCGACAGAATTGGCAAATCGCAATCATGTATCTGTGAGTAAAGTTCGGAGTCAAGCAGCCTAAAATGTAGTCAAGCATTTTACACAACCGGCTCTTGTTTTACTTTACCTTAATCGAGGATGTTGCATCTTTCCCCAGTGTTACGACATGGCGACAATCGTCAGATACAGAGACATTTACAGCTCTTCTCTTTACACCTAGAATAAAGGACATACAATTACGTCCCCCTCAATACTTGGATAATATAAGGCGAAACGCTAAATAGCTACCAAAGGGTGCCAACAAACAATTTTATTGATGCAGTACCTCTAAAAGTGAAACATTCCTCGGCGGTCTCACAGTTCCAGACCTTGAAAGTCCCATCCATGGACGAGGAGACAAATCTCGAACCATCACGTGCCACTGCAATGTCGATGACGTCTCCCGCATGACCACGTGATCTGTCTTGCTTCGTGTACAAATCAGTGTCCAGATCCCACACTCTAAAACTCTTATCTTGCGAGCCGGACAGCGCCATTGTTCCATCAGAAACAACTGTGACAGACCTACGATGCATAATGATGATTGTGGTAAAATACCTGTGGTAAAATACCTTTCTTTACTTACCGCTTACGTTGTTAAACAATGCACTTCTACAGTGAAAGAGTTATCAAAACAAATTTGTTTGCAGAAGATGCATTCTGTTATAGAAAATGATTCATTTGTCATAACCCGGGTGGCGAAATATTGACATGCAGTCGCAGATACACAGCCTCTCGTAAAGTTACCAGATCAACCAACCTGATAGCTTGACTGTGGCCTTTCAAACTGAAAAGCAACTTTCCGGTGTTGAAGCACCACAATCTGACAATCATTTCTTGACCTCCAGAGATGATATATTTCGAATCTGGTGTGACAGCAACACAGTAGACGTCGCCTTGATGACCACGAAGACAACGTATTTCTTGATATGTTGTCAACTCCCAAATTTTCAACGTTTTATCCCCAGAGGCTGATACAAGCATCGAAGGATGATCTTCGGAACCTGGAAAACAACGAGAGCGAATGTTGCGTGCGTTAAAGCACAGTTAAATATCGAGAAAAATAAAGTTGAACTTGAAAACAACTAAACAAGTTCTACCAACGCTTTCAATGATGTTGTTACTCATAACTGGAAAAAACGCAGAGGAACACGTTTTTCAACTTCTAGGACCCAAGAGGGTGATTTTCTGGTCACACATGTGACATTGCTGTTTCTTCAGGCTTCATATTTTGCATATGTAACAAAATAGAATAGCATTGTCACGCGTGTGACCAGAAAATCACCCAAGAGCTTTAAAACAGTCTTATTACCAACGCAGTCTAAACCTAAGATTATCTATTCACCTACTTGTCGCCACAACACAGTAGACAGTGGCAGTATGACCGTTCAATGTAGCTTCTAAAGCTAACGTATCCGCCCGCCATAACTTGATGGTGCTATCGTGCGACGCAGTAACGATGTATGAACCATCTTTGGTGGTACACATGCCACGAATGTGCTGTCCATCGTGGGCACCAACCACACTTATCAGTCCACCAGTGTTCACGTCCCATTCTCGAAGGTTCCCTATACGTTATTAGAAATTAGTTAAATTGTTGACTTGTTCTCAAAGACCATCTAGAAATTGTCACTTTAGCAGTCACGACAAGCTATAGAAATATACTTTTAGTTTAGGATTGATACTATTGGAATCTGAAATACCAACAGTCACATTGAATAACTATTGTTCATATGCATAACTCAGCCATTTAAAGAATCCTGACAAGCAAATACTTTACTTATAGGACATTTTCTTTGAAAAGACTCTATGTCTTCGTTGATATAATACACCGTTTTCTCGTAGCAAAGAAAATTCAAGTTAAACGATCAAAATCTAAGAGCGTTGTTCTGTTTATATAAACACAAACAAATAATGAATAGTACCGAAACACAGGAAGACTAACTTGTGAAAAAATTTGAGATACTTGCCATCATTTGATCCAGTAAACAGTCGTTTATCATCTTCACTAAAATCCAGTGCATTTACATAACCACCTTCTCCAGCTTGTAACTCAAAGAGCAGATCATAGCTGTCCAAATTCCAAAGCCTTGCGGTAGAATCATAAGATCCGGATGCGAGAATTGTCCCACTGTGAGAAAGGGCCAAGCAATAGACGGCCATCGTATGTCCTTCAAGCAATTGTAGCTGTCTGCCTGCTCGAACAAACGCATAGATATAAAACAAATTTGTTCAAAAAGAAAGAGTTGTTTAAAACTGTTAACCACTAGGCCTGAGTTCAATTTTCATTTTTCAATGAATGCATATAAAACCCTTTGCTTCGCCGGAAATTCAAAAAAAAAAATATCGAATCTAACAAGAATCAGTCGAGATATCACTTTACCATCGTAAAATAAACCTCCTATAATTTTACCTACTAATTTGAACCACCATTAACAACTATCTTATAAAGAATGAGATGGTTACCTGTTTCTAATTCGTGAACCTTAATTGAGCCGTCCGCCAAGGCAGAAATGACAATTGTACCGTTCGCACTGATGGTTGTAACTAATGAAAATATAGTATCGCTGTGGTTTCGAAATATCCTGATTAGTGCTCCTTCCGGCTCAGACAGGCAGGGAAATAACGGGATAAGACGACGAGTCTCTTCGCTCGTTTTACGGGCAAGTTCCAATAGCTTATTCACGCTTGGATGTTCGTCTGCATACGATAGCAATCGACCTAAAACACAAAATTATTGCACACAAGAAAAGGTTAAAGATAATTTCAGGTATGAAGTTCCTTTGGTAAAGTTATCTTCGTTTACCCAGAAGTTGTAGACCGATGGAGTCCGGGTGCTTTTCGATAACATCGGCAGATAGCATCAACGAGGATTTGAGAAGTTTAATTTCGTGCGAGGCGGTGCCCAGAAAACGAAAATCCGAGATCAGGGAAGGTAAGTTGGTCTGCTTTACTTTTTGGTCGAGCCAATGATAGTTGAAAAACAAAGCGAGTAGTTCTCCGTATTCTTCCGAAGAATGAATATGATATGGAAGGTATTTGAAGTAGTAGTCTTTATTGCCCTGAAATCCTGGCCATTCACCGTCCTTGCAATGACTACGAAGTGCGTCTAGGAACATACGCCTGGCGTCGGTAATCGTCTCTCGACATTTTCCACGCGCAAAGTCCAAGATGAGATCGTGGACCCGGTAGCTGTTTTTCCCATGGATTTCCGGTCCTAGAAAGAGTTAAGAAAAATGTGGGAAAAATTTACACCAAAACTTAATTTCAGTGTTTCTGAAAATGCAGTTATATTCTCCTTTCTCTCATTTCTTTCTCTACTCATCTCCCCTTCTTTTTTCCCCCCTCCTTTTTTCTCCATTTTCCTTCCTCTCTTCCTTCCCCTTCCTTGCATTCTCTTTCCCTTTCGTCTCTCTTTCATTCTCTCCCCTATTTCTCTTCCCCACTTTTCTCTATTTCTCTTCCTTCCCTCGCCCATTCTGTCCACCCTCCCTCCCCTCCCCTCCCTCTCCTCTTCTGACCTTCTTTTGCTGTCCCTCGTCTTCTCCGCCAAGGACCTCTCAAAAAATACCTTTTTGAATCAGGGACTTCCTCTCAAGAACACTAAGTGAGCGTCTTCCCGCTCTGGGATTGAATATTTCTCTTCCGTCTCGTGGTAAAGACCAAAACAATTCAAGCATATCTGAAGGGATGTCTGTGTCTTCAGGAAATATGGCGAAATCTAGGAACCTCTGTTGCTCGCTTCGTTCCAAGCGCTGGTAGCTGACATTGATGGCGGCCAGTAGGTTATCATGTGGATAAGCATCTGTTGGAAACAGCGAACGTAATTCAGCCAGGTCAGCGTTCTTAAGATCATCCAGTATGTCCTGCCAATCCTGTTCCACACGAGTGTCGGTTAAATTTGAACCAACTAAGGAAAGAGCGAGGGGCAGACCTCGACACTGCTCTAAAAGTTCAACAACAATTCGTTTCATATTTGGACTAAACTTCGACTGTTCGGCTTTTACGTTTGCGCTTTGATACAGCAGTTTGCGGGATTTATCCTGTGCCATCGTCTGAAGTTCGTACAAGGCAGCACTTTTTAAGCCGCGAACAACATCAGCATCTCTCGTAGTGATCAATAATTGACATTTTCCAGAAAGGAAATCGAAGACACTTGCGTGTTCAACGTTCCAAACATCGTCAAGCACTACCAGACAATCTTTGCTAACCTAAAATTACACAAAATATTCATTCGACGCGTTAATATGCGGTCTAATCTACGCACAAATATAGATTCCTCGAACTTATTTAGAAATAAAAATATGGTTAACTTGGCCATAAATAACCGAAAATTTTTAAAAGTAAGTAAAAAAATTCCCGGCGATGACACAAGACATCTTGAGAGTCAATATAAAGTGATTCTGTTTGAAGACTTTGGAAGTCGAAAGTTTACAGTCTCAACCTGTGTCTTGTTTGAAACATATATTGCCCCTCAAGATATCTTGTCTTTTCAGAATTCGTTTTTTGAAACTGCGTTTTTTGCAAGGAGGCCAGCAGATATGGCCAGCTCTTCTGTTGTGATTTCTCTCATCGAGACGATTTTTGCTCCCAATTTTACTTCAGTAAGAATTCTTCATGATCGAAAATGACATAAGTAAACACGAGGCAGACAATTCCAAATGCTGTAATACATACGGTATTCGCTCGTAGCCACATCTGCGCGTCTTCAATGTTGCTAAACGATGCAGTCCCCCCAAGAGCTTTAACCAGGACATTGATCAGGGCTAAACAGTCCGGGGTTTGACCAATATCAAGCCAGACAACCTGACGTGTGATTGCGGCAGACCAGGCGATGGCTTGGGCTAGGACTGTCTTACCCAGGCCACCCATACCACGAATACCAATGACGTCACCGCTACGAACTCCGACCACGCCCACACTGTTATTTCCCGCGTCAAGTAACTTCAACAGCTCGTTCACTTCTGAGGGTCGCTCGACCATGTCACGGGGTAGATTGCGTAGCCCGAACGGAACTGTGAAAAAGAGTTTTTACGTGATTCTAATCTATCTATTTTACCTAATCATTTCCTCAAGGTCATAGTGAAAAAACAATTTTTACAGGATTCAAACCATTAAGACACCATTTCCTGCACTTCACAAATCGTTTGCTGTGCAAAGGCATTATTTATTTTACCTAATCCTTTTTTTTTAAATGTCACATAATATGTGCTCAAAATCTTGCTTGAAATATGTACTCAAATCATTTTGCAACAGTACTAAAATTTTAAACATTTAAAACATTTCGCAAACCTGGATAAAAAAAGTATGTTAACTACATAATCTAAAAACATTGTGAGAATAAAAATATTTGATATTTTAAATGTTTTTCCATGCACCAAAATATGCATCAAAATTTTAAAAATTCTCTCCTTAACTTAGCTAGTCAACAAAGCATTAATCTCTACAAATTTACCTTTTTTGAATATGCGGTTGTTCTTGTTAAACTCGTCAATTTGTTGAGCAAGATCACTTCTTGGGATAAATTCAACCATTCCTCTCAACTGAGATAAGTCACTTGGGGAGATCAAGCAAGCTCTTATCATTGCTGCCAAGATATCCAGCGAGGAAAGACCTTGATCATCAAGGTTTTGTAGAATATCATGACCTTCAGTTTGCAAGTACTCTCTCATCTTTTCAACAAATCGAGCTTGATTTAATTCATCCGACACTTGCACAAGGAATTTCCTAAATGGAGAGATCTTCTGATGTAAAGGATCTAAAAAGAATAAAATTCTATTTGTTGATTAAAACTTCACACAGGGCAAACTAAAAAATTCCTCAAGCAGGGTGGAATTAAGTACAGTCTAATAAAGCAACAAAACAGACAACAGATGCATAATTACCTCTATCAACTTTGAACTCTGAACAAATGTCATTTGCAATGTTATGCATTGAGATAGCATCAAACATCTCACAAAGCATCAGGCCTTCATTGCGCCCTGGTTTATTACGGGTCAACAACCCTTTCGACTCCAACTTTGCTATCAATTCCACAAATAATCTGTTGTCATTGATGTCAATATCCAAGATGACATCTTGAAGCAAGAATTTGAGCTGTTTCAGTTTAACATCTGGTGTTGCACGTGATAATTTTAGGCACAACTTGTTATATTTTTGGGAATCTAGTATGCAATTTGAAGTCATCTTGCTTCATTTGAAATCACCAAACTGCAATTTATAATTATAAATAAATATTTCATTCCATAATTATCATTCAAGAGCTAATTAATTGATTGGTTAATTAAAAGATGTTCCAGAGATGTTTAAACTGGTCTAATTTATTGGTCTAATATATATGAATAAACACACAGTAAAAATATATGAATTACTAGTGAAAGCAAAGAACAGATATTAAAATTATTAAAATATACTTGCCGCTTGAATTCCTTCGAAACTGATCCGAGACCGTTTGTTTCTACATTGAACCAGTCAAGCCACAAGGCTAAATGATTAAAGTACCAGGAAAATTTTTTTGAAAAATGGCAATGTTATCATTGAGAATAAGGCTGGTAATTCCTAGAAAAATACAATATTGAATCTCGTGATTTTGTACGCAACAGTACGCATAAATTAATTATTAACGAAGTAACGAGTAATTGATCATTGTAAACCCGCAAAGTATTTATATAAACAAAGGCATTGAAATTTATTATATCTATAATTAAGTTATAAAAAAGATTTAACGATACGAATCTTGCGACTTTCTAGGTAATAATTTACTCATAAGAATCAATATTGAAGTATTAAAATAAACGGATGTTGCACACAAAGTATTCATGAATGACGAATAAACGGTATTTTAAATTGATTTATCAATAATGTAATATATCGCGGTTACCTTCAGCTCCAGGGGTCATGGCAGAGGACACGACACGTCGACACTCGAGTATTTCGAGCCACGATTGATCATTGTTTTGCACAATTTATGGTAATTTGGTCTGATATGATTTGATTGCGGGACAATCGTAATCTACCCGACTGCGCATATACGTCAATAATTTGCGATTTATACATTATTTTTTTCAATTTTCAGTCATATCATCAACCTCGCCGTAAAACATTAATTGGAAATGTACCATTTAACTAAAACATTTATTCCAACTTTTTTTTACACAAAGACAACTAGAATCTTTCTAGAAAGAATTATAAAAATACATCTACGAATTAATAGCACCGTAAATTTGCAACATCTATAATTTCTACGAAATTGCAATTTCAATTTACTCCTAATTCCATTGTGTTCTCTTCACAAGATTCGCAATACCCCTACGTCAAGAATATCAACAGAACTCTCTATGCTAGAACGCCTCATTTTCGTATTTATTACAATAGAACATTAGAAAACATTTTCGGTAAAAATTGTTCGAAATTCTGGCTTATTTTTGAGATGAGGCAAAGGTGGGGTGTTTCTTCGTGGGGTGCTTTTTTCCGGGTTTCTTAACCAAGAGTTTCCTCCGCTGATCAGGTTGCAATTTTCATCCGTAGTTGACCCGTTTGATCCATGTCTATCCTCCCTTGCCAAGGGCGTTTCCTTGGGCGTGTTCTTCTTCGATGGCTAACAAAGAAATATAAAAGCGTTCTCTCTCAGCGAACATCGAGTTTTTAGAGGTTTTCCTGCATTAAAGGCTGTGGTCTGTGCACAAAGCCTTACGCACCTTGTTTCTGGATCTTGGTGATGAGGAAAAACATCGCGTGGCACCAGAAGAATTCCTGAACGAAAAACCATCCACAATCATCAAAATTGTCGCAGCGAAGAAAAATGAAATTGGATTGAAAAATGAAAGACCTCAACACAAAAAAGTTGCAATATCTCTCTTTGACTTTCTGCAAGATTTTTCGCATTTTTTATACAGGCCTCGAGTGAAATTTGCTTAAAAGGTATCTGGTATCCTTAACCTGAAGTTTAGGACGCTTTCAGACCCGTTGGTTGTGAAGGGAACACACATTTTTTGGTTGAAAAACAAACAAACACACAACAACCTTCTGTTAGCTCTACTCCGTCCTTGTCTCTTAGCTCTCTTGGCTTTCATATCACATGATAAAGTCGCGCTGTGTGGAGAATCAAACACGTACTTATCTCCGACCGGGGTCTGACCCATCAGCTTTGTGAATTCCAGGGTTATTTCGCCCGGACGTAAAGCTTCCGGGGATTCGTAGTTCCGGGCATCGACCACCTTGACATGTTGCGTTTCGTGAGAAGCATCTTTCTTTGCGCTTGACGCTGCAATGAAAAGTTGATTCTTTTGACTGTTGATATAGTTTCTATAGGACTATCAAAGGTGAAACATCATGCTCTCTTATGAAACTTATTTACTTCCCAAATATAATTTCTATATGTCCATACCAATTAGAGAAATATCATTCTCCCTGAAGAACCTTATCTACTCCAAGTTTCTAAATCAGTGCATGAAACTTACCTTGCGCAGACAGAGGCATGGTCCGGGGTATTGGTCGTTTCGGCGTCATGAACATCTGTGTTGAACCAGTCACGCTGAATGGTGAGCTGATCACGTGACATTGAGCTTGGCTTTGTAAATCTTTGCTGGTGATTTTCCTGGAGGGAGGAAATAGCATTATATAAGATTTAAAATGTTGCCAGGGATCGATATTAATTCTTTTTGGTATATAACACAGCCTTGTCCCCAGCCATCTACTTTCTTGCACTCCTTTTAAGTCAATCGTGTTAACCTTAGGCTTTATATATGTGCGACAGTAAGGTCATATATCTTACACATCATGCACAGGAAACCAAGCTTACCTTTTGCTAAGGGGAGCAAGGTCTTTGTCAACTTCTCTTTCTAATGGCTTCCTCTTCTGATCTTTCATAACTCCACGCAGGTCTGCTGTGCTGACCAAATGTTTGGTAAACATTGCACAATCATCTGAAATATTTGTTGCCCATGCGTTTAGCCATAACACTACGTAATACTGTATTCCATTGGTTGGAAATTTGATTTTGACATGCACACCTTAGTTACAGGCTGGTCAAGTCTCAAACCATTTAAACGACCATACCTTTTGCCTTGATGTTAACTTCTACATTCCTTTTTTGACGGGAAAACTCTGCCTTCACACTTTTTGATCTTCTGTGATTTGATTGACGAAACTTGTTCACCTTGCCAGTGACAAAAGCTGAAAAAAGATGTTTTTATTTTTTATATTAAAACCTACAAATTGAAATTCTGAAAATGAAATAAATAGAAACAGCCCTAGTGTCCAAATAAAAAATCCAAACCTGAAATTGATGTGGGTCGGCTCCTTCCTCTTAAACCAAGTCGTTCGCCATCAAGTTCGTCGCTGGAAGATAGCCCTGCATCATTGATATTGCTGTCCTTTGCTTCACAGAGAATATCCTCGGAGACAACACCAATCCCTGATGCATTTTCCAACAAAATTTGTACAACTAATGTTTGTTCTTTCAACAGTTTCTCAGAGCTATTAACATTATCCTTTTTCCCAGCAGAGTGCATGAAATTTGGTGTGAGAACAATGGCCAAGTTTGCTGTTCCCATTTTACTCTCTTCGGATTTCTCTGCAACTTTCGACATAAATTTTACAAAATACTGCAGAGTGTATAGATGTTCGATGGGTAGTAAGATACAGAGAAGTAATATTGCCATTGTTTGTTCATTTTTGCTACCAAGCTGCAGGCTTTTCAAAAAGTGGTCATGGAGTTGGTTTGTGAGAAGTGGCTCTGGTAATTCACGAAAGAATTGCTTTAAAAGACTTGCAACATCATGAGGCTGTGCTTCAGCAAACGTGCCACCTTCTTCGATAGTTTTCTGTAGTGAAAGATAAAGAATGTGAGATTATATAAGAAATTCAATTTAGAAGGGAAACAATATTTGAAACAATATTTTATTTTCAAAGCTTAAACTAACCCTGAGTTGCCTCTGTCGGACAGAAGAACCAGATTTTCGGAAAAGGCCTTCACTGCTAAGATGATTTTCCAAACATGTTGTGGCCTCAACCAGAAATCTAGGTGAAAAATTGTTACAATTCATAATGATACCAGTTAAATGTCAGTTTAATTATAGTTAATTCACATTTATGTATGAAACTGTGGGTGATTCATAATGAAATTCAATCACGAAAACATCAAAACACATACCTGGGAACAGGACAATAATCGTTACAGCCAATATTCTTTGTTGTTAGTCGGTCCAGGGGAATCCCAAAAACAGCATTTGGGTTGTCATATGAACCCTGATACAAAGCAGTGATCGGGAATATCAAGAGAAAAATTCATTAGGGAATTTTGAGATGATTTTAGGTTCAAAAAACAAAATGAGGATCATATTACCATAACCATGTAAGGTTATAAATCTTTGGAAAAATGATTGTAAATTTCACAGGGTTTTTCACAAGAAATTTTATAACAATGAAAATACTATAAAAAATTGGGTTCAAAACTTGTGAATTAATATTTAAATTTCCGCCAGAGTAACAGGCTTAATTGCTACAATTTGATACCATACAACCCTCAGTCCTTTTGCAAGCCTCTAGTCTGAAAAATAGCACACATATTTTTAAAAAATATGTCCACTTGCATATTGAGAAACTTTGAGAGCTTTAGCACAAGATAACGCAGCAAAGGCTGCCTTATTTATAGAAATCAGGCCTGGCTTGGATGTCGCAGAAACTAATCAGATTAACACGTTACTATAAAGGTGGGATTTACAAATTGTGACAGTAAACATAGGAAATTTGTGTGAAATATGACGCCTGTTTATAGAAGACCCACTTACAACGTAGCCACAGATACAGTGTATATTTTAAGACATGTATGCCGGTTACTATATCGTTGAATGAAAACAAAGTCAATATCAAAGCCAAGAATAAAAAACAAACAACTCACATGGTCAATTTTATAGTCACTTCGTAGCTTTAATTTCGGAGCTTTAATGCCTATTTCTTTCAATCTTCGCCTAACAACAGCTCGCACAGCATCTTTGTAGTCTACTGAAGAAAATTCCGTCATTTCTTCTGCAGGTTTTTCAAGTTAAATCTTTCAAATCATTCCCAATATCCAAACACAAACTGTTTTTACACAACATTCATTCGAACCAAGGCGCTCTCGACATTGAACCTCGCTGATTGGTCAGTCGCGTTGCACGTGATATGATAATTGTCATTCCTAAACAGGGGGGGAACAGGAGGGAGCAATTGGAATTAACACCGGAAAACGAACTGGGGAAATCCCGGAAATCACGGCCGTTAATTCAAAAATTAGAAAGTCTTTAGAATTTTCTATACTGTTGGAGGTTCAACAGCCTTGGCTTATAGTATACTTTTAAACAGGGATATGGACGCGGAAAGGGCTTTATGGCTAAACCAGGCGAGTCAAAAAGATAGTCAAAGTTCCGGAAAACTGAAGAGAGGCAGGGGAGTTAGAAGATTGATTTTTGTTGTATACGTGTTCATTGCAATATGGATGGTTACTTATGCCTTTATTGAGAAGAAAGAAGTAAAATTTCTTGCTGACAACGATCTTTGCAATAGAATAGCAAAAAACGAAACACCGACAAAAACCTGCTACAGAAGAGAGGAAAAAGAAACGTATCCAGTTTTTATAAGCCTTGGATTAGGATTGTTGGGGATCCTGCTTGCGCCTTTAGTCCGATGTTTGTGCGAGTTTATTGAACAACTGCTTCACCTGCAGATGCGAAACAGAAAAAGTGTATTTGGGTTGTTTAAATCATGCTTCAGTGTAGTGCCGTGGAGGGCCGTCGGTGTTGTTTTTGTAATCGATTTTATATTCTGCATGATTGGGAGGAAGAGCTTTCAAACTGGAGACTTCATGTTTATCTTCGGAGGCATCGGTGTTTATCCATTGGTAGCATATTTACTTAAATTGGACGGACAGTCGAAGGTTGATCTTGCGAGAAGTCTAGAGGAAAAAGGGCTGTATCCAGCATACACTATTGCCTGGTATTACTATTTAAATTATCTCAGAAATGCTGTACCGATATTCCGCAGATATTTTTGCAGTAAGGAAACTCCAAATGGTATTTCTCATTTAGACTTTAAAAAACTGATCGTGCTTTTTCCCCACAACGCCACTAAAAAACCACTGTTTGAAATAGACAATAGCTTGAAAAAAATTGGTGGTTTTTCCCAAGGTGGATACAACTTCCCTGTTTATGAATTTACATCCCATGGAAAGCAGTATAAGTGTGTTATAGTGTGTGCTGATGAACCAATACAATCTTTGCAACAGATGTGTTCTCATGAAGGGGTTAAATGTATACATGAAGATGATCTAAGAGAGCAAGTTGACTTGCTGTACCAAACATTGGAAAATGAAGTTCTCCATAGAGATGAAGAGTGCAGAAATAATTGTATTTTCATAAGTATAGAAACAGAAAATATGGTGAATGGATGGCTTACTGAACAAATCATGCAAAATATCAGAAAAATTGAATCTGAAACTGAGCACACAGCACTGCTGCATGAGGAGACCAACAAGAACTACTTACTATCAGATAAAGAATCAGGTCAAGACTTTTCAAGAATCAATACCCCTCATATCTTTGTGACACCTCACACACACATGACCACTTCAGAGGCTACACGAACTAAAGTTGTCAAGCGTCATCACCGTCACTTGCCAGAAAGAGTAGTACAAAACAGAGATATATCTCTTTTGCTTGCCAGTCAAAACGTCCTCAGGTCAAAACGTCCCCGGGTCAAAACGTCCCCAGGGCAAAACATCCCCACGCCAAAACGTCCCCGGGTCAAAATGTCCCCAAGTCAAAATGTTCCCAGGATAAAAAATGGATTGATCACAAACTTGAGGAAACCAGTTTATAATGAATAACTCTTATAACTCTTAAGGTATAAAGGGTCGTGAAGGGTATAAAACTAGTCTAAATTTATATCAAATCCCAGTTCCCAGTCTAGTTTGGCCGAAATCCCAGTTACAAGTAAGCCCATTCCCATTTCAAGAAATAAACGCTATCCCTGTGCCCAATTCTTACAGATATGTAAGAGGAAGATTCCATCCCTACTACTTTTGGGATGAAAGTGAAGAAAGTCAAGGTGAAAGGCACTATGAAGGTGATTATTAGTGGCTCAATAGTTTTGTGGAGCAAATCAAATTTCTGGGAACATCAGACTTTCCGCGTTTGACATAATTATAAGAAAGGTCTATTGCCAAGTTTGGCTGCAAAATGTCACATAGTATGAAAAATATAGCCATGCAAAGTAGGCAATTTTTGTATACTTTTTTACTTTGGCTCAGAAGTGTGTAACTTATTTAGTTACAAGCTTCTAGCTGAAGTTAAAAAGTATAGAAAATTACCAAATTTGCATGGCTATATTTTCCATACTTTACAATATTTTGCAGCCAAACTTTGCAATTTTATTAAGTTTAGAGTAGGGTATGCACTTTTCTGAAATTCCCTTTTTCTTGCCTAAATCAAAAGTTGGTCTATTATACAAGCAGTCAATTGATGACAAGGATTTAGAATTTTATAAACGGTTGGCTTATTGCACTAATCTACTAAAAACAACTACTCAAAACTACACCACAACCTCCTGTGGAGTCTGTGAAATCCATGGTTGAACGAATAAACTTGTGGAACCATTGGGACTGATAGGTATACCTCCATCGCAATTATTGCTACTCTGGTTTTAAATAATGAAAGTAATGAAAGATTACATCACAACCCAACAACTAAAAGACACACTAGTCGCTGTAAAAAAAGTTTAAAAAACCCTGGTCAGAGTAGACTTACTATATATACCACTCTTAAAAAATGTTGCAAGAGTATATATATATATGATAAGTATAAATATATTACACTGTATTACAAGCAGAAATTTAGTGAGTACATAACATTTTTAGAGCTAAAATTCATTGACCAGCAATCATTGTCAAATGTTTATAAAACATATCAAAAATACACCAAGCATTTTAATTAGACTAATTAGTAAATTGTGACTAACCGTTACATAGTTGGCCAATTGTGAAATTTAAATACAATCAATTTCTTTTACATGTAACACTTTCGAAAGTGCGTCTGTATAATCTTCAAGCATTCTGTAGGATATGTCGAGCTCTCTGGTTAGCAGTTCCGATACGAACATCGTTTGATTCAGCCTAGTAAAATGAAACTAATGAATAAATGCTATTAGCTTTTGATCAAATGGGAGTTAACAAGCAACAGTGGTCCAAGCAAGGCAACCGTCTCTTTGATCATTTTGGCAAAACAGTTTTCAGAGTATACACATTTTAATGAAATCAAACAAATGACAGACTGGAAACACTCAGTAAGTCACCATCAACTTTCATTCGAATCTTCGTTATTTTCCGGACTTTCAACAACCACTTTCGCACCGTAAATTCTCGTATTAGATAACAACAAACAAATCTTTTAAAATAAACCTTTTACAAAATAAGTCGTAAACTTCCCTTGATAACTCATAAACTCGAACCGGCTCCAAAAGTTTATATACAGGGTGTCCCAAAAAAAACGCAACCACTTAAATATGCAAGAATATTAATATATTGTTCGGGTTTGCACCATAGTTCAGCTAAAATGACTTTTAGCATTGTAAATGAAAGATTAAGAGCCATTTTCAATTCCCAGTGGTGCTTATCTATTGTGCTTTAGAGCTGTATTAATGTTCTGCATATTTAAGTGGTTGCTCTTTTTTTGGGACGCCCTGTATGGTGCAAACCCGAACAATATTAATATTCTTGCATATTTAAGTGGTTGCGTTTTTTTGGGACACCCTGTATATCTTGCAGTAAAAGTACAATTCTTGTATGTAAAAAACCCACAAACCGGAAGGATCAAGACTTCCACGAATTGTTCACGTGTCATTAACAAAACATAATCTTTAGCACATTTTATTAGTGTTTATAATATAAGTATGATATAACGAGCAATTTGATTGGCTACCGTGCGTGCATTGTGGGCATAATGCACGTTTAATGCACGCTTCTGGTTTCGAAGTTTTTGTTGCTAAGCAACATCTTAAATAAGATGTAAGGAGAATTTTATTATTGATCATATGAATAAATTTTGTTGTTGCCCTATAATTTCTTCTTATATTATAAAAGAATTAAAAAAGCTCGTCGCGTGCCTTTATGGTGTAATAATGCACGATGGGGGAATGTTGGAAGAATACTCGAGAAGCTTGTAAAACACTCGGGTACGCCTCGTGTTTTACAAGCTTCTCTCGTATTCTCCCAACATTCCCCCATCGTGCATTATTACACCATAAAGGCACGCGACTCGTTTTTTAATTCTTAAGTAAAAGTACAATTCTTGTATGTAAACCCACAAACCGGAAGTATCAAGACTTCCAATACACCTTTTACGCAATGAAAAGCACGTGTAGTATCACGTGACATTTATATGTAAACAAAGCGTGATGTTCGGACAATGATAGCGCGCGCAATATTTAAATATCGAACTATGGTTGCCACAAAAAGATGTGCTTGGGGTACGTGCAAAAACGACTCTCGTTACCCTGAACGTATGCAAAAAAATGTAGAAGGTGATCCTGTGACATTTTTCCACTTTCCTGGAGCGAAGAGATGTCCAGAAAGGAGAAAACGGTGGATTGAAGCATGTAAACGTGGCGACTCATTCAATTGTAACAAGGATAGTTACGTTTGCAGTGTTCACTTTGTGGGTGAAAATGGGCCCACAAAAGAAAACCCTGATCCTATATCTGCAACAACAAGTAAAGAAAAGGTTAGTAACAACAATATTATCTTAAGTATGATGAGATTTTAGCCCACATTTCGTGTTTATTATCGACTGTTTGTTTACATACGCAGCAGCGCATGATGAACCGTAAACGAAAAATCCCTGTTGCCAGACAGAAGCCCGTGAAGAAACCTCGTCGAAGTGATGTAAAATCTGCTGCAAATTCGCTGCTAATGCTAGCCCAAGCACCGACGAATTGTTGCAAGACCGACACCGAACTTAATGTCGCTGAGATATTGTTGTCGTTTAGTGCAAATAGTGCTGCGACTGTTGGCCCTTGCAGCAATCTGTGCAGCGACAAATCCAACAACGAAGATCATCCTAGCATCGACGAAACTTCTAACGTAGAAACGTTTGTAGACGACAAGATTGAACAATCAGTTGTTTGTAGTACGCAGGTGAGCTGATAAAAGCAGTACTGAATGTTTTGCGCGTGAATTTCGGTGATAGTGTTCACATTTATGTTTAGACCAACGTTGAGCTTTGTCATTTGAACCCATATCAAGACAAAATGTTGGTAGACAGTGCTGAGATGCATAAGCATCTTTTCCTAGCTAAAGTGGACGATCCAAAGAAAACGATGCACTATACAGGTGAGTAGTTAGTTTTGTTTTAAAACAAGCTGTGTGACGTGATTTATTACAACTATTTATTGTCTTTGCAGGCATGAGCAAGGAATGCCTTGATACGATTTTTAATGAAATCTTAAAACAAAAAGCAAAACGAATTCACTATTGGAGGGGTAAAAAGAGAACGAAGTTGACGACCAGCCATAGTATGTATATCAAGAAGAAGTATGATATGTGCAAACTCACAACCAGGGAACAGTTTCTGTTCACATTAATAAGGTTGAGAAGGAATGTCAGTATTGAAATGTTAAGTGGTATATTTGGCATTTCTAATGGGACTGGTAGCCGGATTTTTGTAACCTGGATTCTCTTCATGAGTAAGGAACTAAAATGTTTTGTGCCCTTCTCAACGTTAAATGATTTGCAAGGGATTGAATTTCCAACGGCACTTCGTGGTATAAAGAACCTCAGAGCTATCATTGATTGCACTGAATTCTATGTAGAGAAACCTTCGAGACCACACTGCCAAAGAACCACCTACAGCCAGTACAAGTCCACCAATACCTTCAAGTTGTTGATCTCAATGTCTCCTTTACCTCATCTTAATTTTGTTTCAAGACTCTTCACTGGCAGTATTAGTGATAAAGAAATCGTAAAAGAAAGTGGTTTTTTGGATCATCTTGAAGCAGGTGATGTGGTGATGGCCGACAAAGGTTTTAATATTCAAGACCTGCTAGCACTCAAAGAAGCAAAGCTTTTGGCCCCACCTCTTTTAAGGAAAGGAAATGTGTCTGCTGTAACATCAACTCAAACTCGACGTGTGGCCACAATAAGAGTACATATTGAAAGAATGATCAGAAAACTAAAATGTTTTACTATTCTGAAAGGTGCTTTCCCTTTAACAATGAAGCCTCATGTAAACTCAATAATTGCTGTTTGTGCTGCATTAGTAAATTTGCAGCCCAGTTGTATAAACAAGGAGGAAGAATACTGTAGACTTGAGCTGTAAATTATTTTCTATGTTTTGCCAATAAACTCAGTCCTGTAAGTTGGTTTCTAATCCTGGTTCTATTTTCTTCAGCTTCATCTTCTGTGAACCAACAATGAGTCAATTTGACATACTCATCAGGATTTTCCTCATATTTTTCAATGTCCTGTAATTAGAGAAAGCACTTTTTGTAGAGTAATAGAAAACTATTCAATTGACATATTGAATACCATTTACCTTTTCAAAGCTACTGAGAAACATTGCTATGTAAATCCCACAGTTGTTAGTATGAGGATCCTGCCTTGGAACCTATATATAATAGACAAAAAATGGTTGCATCTAAAAGAACACTGAACAGAGGTTAAACCTAATACACTTTGGAAATACAAGATATATAGCACATATATACACAAACCTTTAGAACATGGCATTTCAAACTTGTGCATCTATTGGGATTCCCTGATATATTAGACATATGATCTAAATAACTATATAAAAAGAAGACACATGAATACAATATTAATTGCATGTGCACAACTATATTGGCCTCAACAAACCCACCTGATTAAATACTTCATTTCAGCTCTTTTGCTAGAAATTTCCCAGGATAAAGAGTCCAAAAAAAGCACATGCCTGTAAAATGTAATGCAATACAACATTATTAATTATAAGTAATTAACACTTAATTACAGACAAAAAATATAATACTGCACATAATACCATGGGGTTATGATGGCTAGTAACCAGTGTAGCCTGCAAGTAAATGAATATATAGTTCATTTAGGATAGAACAATTTTCTATTGTGGATTACATTTAAATTAAGTAATCATCAGGTTGTTTCATACCTCCTGTTGATTGGAATTACTATGTAGTCATTTTTCAAAATATCTGCCTTGAAAAATGGTTGGGCTGATAGGATTCGTTCAGACCTACATTACATAAAACATAATCTGATACCAGATAGACATGTATATGCATGGTCATGACCAATTTAATAATAAATACTTGTGCATGCATGCAGTAATTGAGAAATACCTGCTTGTTGCTTTTCTTACATCTTGTTCCCCACAAAGAACAGAATAAAAAAGAGAATCGATGACTGGGAATGGACAAGCAAGTTCTCTACAATAAGAAGTGTTTTTTTTGTGATATTAATTTAACCAGTTCTGTGTATGAATTTTACATGAAGTGAATATCACAAGCTTTTATACACTTACTCAAATAAGACAGTTACAACTGTGTCATTAAGCATCATTCCTGGCTCGAGGGTTGTAATATCTTGCTCATACACTTCAATACCGTGAAATTTGAATGATGTTGTTGTAGTGGAATTGTTCCCATCACAATCCATAACTTGCATATTGCAAGGTTCATTGCAAGGTAATTGGGTTACCATAGGGGAAACTAAATAAATATAGATAACATAGAATGTATTTGTGATCACTTAGTTAGTAAACCACTATCTAGCTGAACAACTAATTGTAATTTAATTAAGCACAGTGCACTGCACTGACTCACCTGAATGCCCATTGTTGTTTGTAACTCTAGGTGCAGTTTCTTTGTTTGTATCTAGATTGTCCCCAGTTACTGTGTTAGCAACTAGACAAGCAACAGAACAAACATATATTTCACAATTTGAAATACAATCTGAAATTGTAACTCTGTGATATATATTGACAAATAAACATAATTACCATTCAAGTTTGAGTCTGCCATCATACAAGGGAGAACTTCTGCTTTCCAAAATGCTTCCAACTGATTGCAAACATGGTCCATAAATGCAGCATCATATGATACTGGCAGAACAAAAATTCCTTGACTTGTCCAAACAACAAAGTCACAATGAAAAAGCTCAGAAACAAACATTTGTGCCTGGATCTGGTGATAGTATGCACTGCTTTTGGTAAGACAGAAGGTCTTATCTTTTTCAATACCACCAATTTCTGGTGTCAAAAACGCTTTTTTGGGATGCATATCTTTGTGCTTCCATGGACATTTATATTCGACAACAACATCTGGACAATTACTGGAACACTGGCATGTCTTTATGTTGTCGAGACTGGCACCAAGAAATTTTCTCTTCTTTGAAATGAGAAAGCCTTTAGACACTAACTTTATATTGTGGTGTTTGTGCCTTTCAACTCGTAAGTAAGCATCCCTTGCACTTGTCTCATGAACTAACCCCCATGTTAATGAGTTGTGTGGTTGTTGTGGCAGAACAATGTTTGGTGGTACTTTGGGATTTGTAATCATGTTTACCAGACAGCTGACATCTGTCTTCTTTGGTCTGTTCTTTTCAATAGTTGCCTGTCTGGTAACAACACGCTTAACTTTCGATGCTGAAATGAAACCAGCTTTTTCACAATACCATTCTTTGCACTGGAACTGTTTTACCGTAGCCTGGTTGATATCATCAATCTCCTTGTCTGTGAATGATAACTTTTGAAACACTAAATCTTCTGTGGCATGCTTGTTGCTTTCCATGCAAATAGAAATTTTACGTTTCATGATCCCATCACTTGAACTGGTACCACTTGTACTCTTGTCACCATTTTCAATGGTCAATAGTGTTGGAGATTTCTTTGGTGCGCAGTATCGTTTCTGGAGTACTGGCAGAATGGCAGGACGTTGTTTCATTAGTTTCATCAATCCGGTAAGTCTTCTCAGCTTTCTTTTCTTTATGGGCTTTTGGTCCTTATGAGCTCTTACGTCCACGTCAATGTTTTGAGAATATGCGTGGTCCCTCTTCCTCAGTTTGTACGAAGGTAATTTTGGTTTTTCAATCACTAGGTCAGATACTTCGCATGCTTTCGTACTAGCGCTAGCTTTCTTGACCCACACACAACTGCCACTTGTCACGCTATCTTTACTTCGCGTGTTCAGCACCTCTTCCAGCGAATACATGGCGGCCCCGATGTGTTTACATCCCCCATCACGGCCTCCTTTGCACATACACTTCGCCTTCAAAACGCTACCTCGGTTGGGACCATGACCTTCCAAGATAAACCAAAGATCGTAGCAAGGTTTTCCATCATCAGTTTTCACCTTCATAGCTGGTCGCACCTTAGCTACATAGACATGAAGCCTTTCATTGTTCAATGTTTTAGTCATTAACGATTCTACATGGCCATCTTCAAATAGACTGTAGTCGTCGAAGGATTTGTACGCAGCTAGACCTTGCTTATCGTACGCAGTCGAATGGAAAATCAAATAGTTGAATATGTCGTACAAACCGAAAGATGGAGAGTCGATGAAGTTATTCATCACAGACATTTTAAAGGGGTTTTCGATTTCCATATCATTAATAATCAAACGTTCATCGCTTGCAGCACCATTCTTTCGATCGTTTGTTAAGGTTGGAAGTAGAGGAATACACATTCTTTCAACCGCAGCAGCTATTTTGATCAGCGTAATTTTATCATAGCCATTTACACTGACTCCTCTTGCAAGTAGAAAATTTTTAATTTGAACTACGGTCATCTTTTTAAAGACATCGGACTCGCGAGTAGCATCCATAATCCGGACAAAGCACTAACGAAACAACTTTTTACTTTATATATGAATATTATGCGAATATATATTCAGGCTTTCTATACGATTTAAATATTGCGCGCGTTTTCATTGTCCGAACATTACGCTTTGTTTACATATAAATGTCACGTGATACTACACGTGCTTTTCATTGCGTAAAAGGTGTATTGTTCACGTGTCATTAACAAAACATAATCTTTAGCACATTTTATTAGTGACGCGCAGAATCACTTTCTTACTGTATTTTATACGTTTATGTAAACTTCCAAAGTTTCGTATTAATAAAGATGAACGCAGTTTCTTTATTGGGAAGAAACGCATCTACTGCTCACGCATCTATAAAGAAACGCAAGACAGGCTATCTCGTGATTTTGGTATACGTTGTCGTTGCAATATGGATGATTGCTTGTGGCTTTTTCGAAGAAAAGAAAGACTATTATTATCCTGACAAAGATCTATGCAACAGAATAACAAAAAATCAAACATCGACAGAAACCTGCTTCAACAGAGCCAGAGAGGGAAAAAAATCGTTTTCAATGATAATAAGCCTTGGATTCGGAGTGTTGGGAGTCCTGCTTGCACCTTTCGTACGATGTTTCTGCGAGTTTATCGAACAACTGTTCTACCTGAAAAGTCGTAACAGAAGAAGTATATGGAGATTGTTTATATCAGGCTTTGGTAATGTCCAATGGGCGATAATCTGTGTTTTCGTTACATTGGATGTGATATTCTGCATAGTTCTCAGATATTATGAACCAGCAGAAAAGACCTTTACAACTGGAGACCTCATGTATATCTTGGGAGGCATCGGTATTCCTCCATTGGTAGTAGTTTTACTTAAACTGGACACAAAGTCGAAGCATGACCTTGAGATAAGTCGAAAGAGAAGAATAGTGAACCCAGGTTTCACCATTGCCTGGTATTACTATTCAAACAATCTCAAAGAGGCTGTATCTATATTCAACAAATGTTTTACCAGACGTGATACTCCAGCACATGATAACACGGACAATATTCCTCGGTTAAGTTTGAAAAAAATTATCCTGCTTTTTCCTTCCAATGGTAAAACAAAACCCATGTCTAAAGTCGACAATACTCTGAAAAATTCAACTTCAGTTTCTAAAGATGGATACAAGTTTCCTGTTTACAAATTTAAATTCAGTAAAAAGGAATATAAGTGTGTCATAAAATATCCTGAACAGCCTTTTAAAACATTACGAACAATGACCACGCCTGAAGGAATACGATGTCTAGACAAAAATGATCTCAAAGATCAAATTTGCTTGTTGTACGAAACAGTGGAAAACGAAATTCTTAGTACAGATGAGGAATGCAGAGGTAGTTGTCTCCTTGTTAAAATGGAAGGAAATATGGAGCGTGGATGGCTTGCTCGGTTAATCATTCATCAAATTTTGAATGTTGAACTGCAGATCACCCCTACACCAGCCGAAGTAGAAGACTCTCAATCGGGCTCCGACTCGGGCTCCGA